TCTTCTATCCTGCTTTTTTCTAATAGGGGTGTCCATAATTTGATAAAATGAAGCTTTGCATGTATCCTGCAGTGTAATTACCAAGGCATTTCTGCATCGTGTGCAAACCTGGAAATCTGTGGGAACTTTAGGGTGAAAGTTTTCTAATATTCTTCTCTCATGATAACTTTTGAAAGTTCTGTTTAAGTACTCAATTTCTCTATTATCTTGAGGGTAGGGTACTGGTGATCTCTTCTGTGGAGCATTTTTCTCACATAGACAAATTTCATAATATGAATAAGTAAATTTATTTTTGGGTACTGATGCCTGTGGAATCCCTTCTTCTTTGGACATGGAGCAGTTTTGCAGTAATTTACAGTGAGGGTAGGGATGAGGGAGGTGCAGCCAACCTCACATTATTTGGACAATCCTCCCCCTCCTCCTGCTCATGGTTACCTTGTTTGGATTAAGCTTCTTCAGAGGGTTGGGACCTATAAGCAAGCCTCAAATATAAATCTTATTGTTGTGCTCAAGTCTGAACTTAAACTATTACTTCTTTTCAGGAGATAAAGTTTCTCTCAGTTTCTATTGAGGCTGGCTTACCTCATATCTCTGTCTCATGAATTTGAGCACCCATTGAAGTAATACACTTAATATTCTGTACTGCAAATACAAATGTAGATAAACTTTGCATGTCATAAGTAAAATCTGGGAAAAACTTAATATTTATGCATTTCTGAAGGGGAAAGAACCTATTGTGTCTCCAGTCATCTGGCCTGGGTGAGATTTCAGTTCTGTTGGGAAAATTAAGCATCTGAAGTGGCTTTGATAAGGTCTGGGATCTTTACAAACTGTAAATTACAATATTTCAAATTCCCTGCACCTTACATGTCAATATATGTACAGAGATAAAAATACTGTCTTTGTGGAGATGATAGGGCAGTGTACATAATTATTGTATTTAAATAACAGATGAAAATTCTACAGCTAATCAGTACTAAGAAAAAGAAATCAGTGTTAGGGCTTGGATGGGTTTCATTCCTGATCAGGCAGGAGGAGAGAGGGAGAAATTCAGCAGGCTCAGTGATGTGCAGCCATTCACAGCCACAGGTGATAAAACCAAACAGACCGTGCAAAAGTTGTTCACTCTTTTTCTTCTTCTCTCAGTTTTTCTCTGCTTTTTGGGGGATTGCCAGATTCCAGTATGGAGAGGAGTTTATGTTCAAAGGGACAGAAAAAAACCCGGATCATCCCTTTCCATTTTATGTAGTCTCATTTTTTTCTCCTTCTGTCTCAAAAAAAATAAAAATACCCCAAAAAAAAGAAACAAACAAAAAAAAAACAACAACAAAAAACCGCACCTAAACAAAAGTGAAATATGGCAAACATAATACCAATGCCAACTTATCTAAATATCTTGGGCTGCAAATGGCAGCAGTTGAACTGTTCCATGAGCAGCTGGGGATGGCCACCACTGGAGGGCTGGAGGACAAACTCCCTCCTGCCCCAAGTCCAAACCTTTGGTGTTCCCACAGTTTTACTTCAAAAACTGTTTGGGGTCCATCCTGAAGGCCCTGCAGGTGCTGGGCCCTTGTAGATCCTGGTAATGGCTCAGACAGTGATAAATGAGAACGTTTAGAAGCAAAGGGAAGATTGGAAATGCTGGGAGTGCAGTGGCTAAAATGGATAGAAAGGAAAATAAAGCAGTGTGAGCTCTCTTTCGGATAACAGTCCCTGTTGGATTAGAACTCTTGCCTGTGGCAGTCCTTCTGTCCATCTATTAAGGGCTAAAATCAGATTAAGAGCACATCCCTTAAGTGTTTTTCAGTGTCACTCGGCCTTGTCTCTGCAGCTTCCCACAGGTTCCCCCCAGACTGATTATGTCTGACATGTGCATCCCCTGGCTGCACTTCTGGGGTCAGTGTTTTCCCCTAAAGCTGCTTTGCTTTTCTAGCTGAGAGGAGGGTTCAGAAAGCACATGGGAAGAAAAGAAGGTATTTGCTTTCCAGTAAGGTAGAGAATATAGCTGAGAATGGTGGTCCCCTATTAGTGGATTCATCTCACTGTAGCTCTGTTCCCGTGTGCATTTGCAATACTTCCCCATTTCTGTGTATTTAATATTTCCTTCAGAGAAGCTGAAGTTCAGTCATTAAATTAAAGGATAAATAAGAAACTGAGCAGTTCTTAAATAGTGGGAAACATCTTTAGGGGACCAGGGTATAGAAGAAAGGAGGGGGAAAGGCCAGAGATGAATGCAGAGAAGCTGAGGGAGGGGAGGAAGAGAAAGAAGAGGTGATGAAAAGCCAGAAACAGCAAAGTGCTAGAAAGCTCAGGCAACAAAAAGTCTGATGAAGTAAAAAAAGGAACAGTGAAAAGGAGAAAAATTCAATTGTTTTTGACAAAGGATTTTAAAATAAAATATCTGTTTACTAACTATGACATTCTGCATTGGATTTTTGTGTAGCATCAGTCAAGTAAAATCACATCTGTGTGCTGCATGTGGAGGCAGGAGAAGGATGGAGTGGCTTTTTTGACACGCAAGATGAGAAACTTGGGGAGTCTGGCTAGCTGTTCATTATCTGATTGTTTGCAATAACTCTCTGCCTTCCCCAGCCTGATGGAAAGCTGATCTGCCACATCCCATCATCCAAACAAAATCCCAACGTTGCTTATCTCCATTAGGATCTTGGCTACTCTGATACTCCAACCTGTGGATTTTATACAAAAGGGTGAAGTTCTGAAAGGCACAGATCCCAAGTTACAGCCCTATTGAGATTTTCACTCTAAAGTAAAACTAAGATCCTCCTTTGGTGTTTCAATTAGCCATAAAACAAAGCTGCAAAGTGTCCTCTGCAAAGGGAATGTCCCTGTGGAGTTTGACTTGGCAAGACTGGGGCCAGAGTGAGTTATGGGAAGGAGTTAGTGCTGCAAAGGGAAACTTGAGCTGTCTTTGAATATAAAATAGGAATATTCATGCTGTCTCCATACTGTTTAGGTAATACTTGGAAATTTTGTTGTTTTCTGTATATGCCTGTTATGTCCATAGCTTCCCTTTATAGGTGCATTCCTGGAAATCCAAATTCTGACCCTTTTGATGAGCCCTCTCTTTCACATCAGTATCAGTTCACTCTCAGCCTTTAGCAGGAGCCTGCTTTTTATAAGTTTGTTTCAGGAATGGTACAAAATAGCAATAAATACATGCTTTGTTTAGATTCTTGTTACAATCACTAAGAAATCTCTGCCTTTTCCTGATTGCAGGATGAGGAATGTGCACTTTTATTTCCTTTCTTATCTGCTGGGTGCACACAGGGCTACTTGTGTGGGTGATGGTGGTGACAAAAAAAGCCAACTTCTCCTCTTTGTCTGGTTTTAGTGGGGAGCTGATAAGTAAAACAAGTGGTTTTCCTCTCTTCCAGATGGAGATAAGGTTGGAATGATTGCTGCCAAATTAGTCACTGGTTTGTTGATGTTTTAGCATTCACTGTTGTAAACCTTCATCTTGGGCAGAAGTTGTGGGGAACAGTGATGCTGAGGTTATTTCTTCTAATCAGTAACAAGCTTCTAATCTGATCATCAGCTCTTGTTTTCTGGTTTGTTTTGTTTTTGTTTGATATTTTTAATTACTAACAGGAAAATTTCTGCCATGAATACCTATAAGACCAGCATGGAAATCTTAGAAAATAGATATTTCCTACCTGATGGCATCATGTTTCCAGGATGTTGGTGAGGAGGTGTAAAAGTTACCAACAGCTTGTGTTTTGAGATCCTGTGTGTGTTTCGTAGAGATGCTGTGTCAGGTTGACAGAGCATTTTTAGGGGAAGAAATAAATATCTGCTTACTCTTTAAGTACTGTTCTTGAATGCTTGATTTTATTCAGAAGTGTGGGTGGTATTTTTTAAATTTTAAAATTATGATCTACACTTCCATCTCTTGTACTACACTAACTGCTGTCAATTAGAAAAACATCCAAAGGTAAAGTATTTGTCATTGAGAGATCTGCTAATCTTGTGAATTTTCGGAGCCCCATGACCAAAGACTTTGTCCATCCAACAAATCAAATCCAATGTCAAATGGTTTTTGGCCTGCTGGGTATGATTTAAGCAAACAGTCTGCTGACTGTTTTCTGTTCTTCAGGGTATTACCTTAAATTTTAGGGTCCATACCTTGCATTTCCCAATTTCCCATGCTGCTTAATGGGCATGGATGAGCCTCCTGTACAGAAAACATTTGAAGAACTGGCTTGCTTTTCCATCAGTCTAGTTTTATTTTCACTACTTTTCCCTGTAATTTGTTTATTGGTTTCCATATCTTTGAAAATTTTATTACTGTGTTATTCAAGCTAAAAAATAGCTAATTTTTCTTTCCCAAATGAGTTGCTTGAAGCAAAGTACCTATGAATACATGGATATTTTAATTCACTTACTAAATGCATACAGAGAAAATTTACAAGCTGCCTTTTTACCATTTTTTAAGTGTCTGCTGACTGTTGCATAAGCTGAATTATTTACAGCATGAAGCTTCACAAAAGAGTAACAGATTTGGGTTATTTACTTTCCTGATAAGAAAAGGGGATTGAAGTTGCTGTGATATGCTGCTTTGTTAATTTTATATTTGTTCCCCAGTGTGTAAAATCTTTTTAAAGAACTAACATGAGTATTGGCAAACTCTTTTGAAATGGTGTGGAAGGGGTAAGATTAAACAAAACATGAAAAGGTCTTAAAAATATAAGTCAGCAAATGTTTGATAAAAATAAAAGTGCTCAACAGTAGAAAACCTTTAGGATGCTTAATTTATTTGCTCTGTCTTTGAGAATATTCCTGGATGGAGGGCAGAGGCCAGTTCTTGGGAGTTGTGGGGTTTTAGTGCTGGGTTGGTTGGAGCAGCCAAGGGAGCGCCATCGGGAACGCCCCTGGGTGAGGCTGAAGGGTGACGTTTGCAGCGGTGCCCGGAAGGTGCCATCCTCGCTGTCACAGCCAGGGCTGTCACTGGGGCCTCACCAGGTGTGTCTGTGCCCCTGCAGGTGCCAGCAGCCCCCCGGCCAGCGCGGCTCCTGCCATGGTCATCCGCCCGCACAACACCAGCGTGGTGGCGGGGAGCAGCGAGGCCACCCTGGAGTGCGTGGCCAACGCCAGGTATGGGAACACCTCCTCAGCTTCACTGGGACTCTGTCCTCCCTAGAGAACGACAGAGGATGTTATTTTCATCTTTTTGTTGTTAATAATTTGGAGATTGAAAAAGGACGCTCACTCTTCAGAGTGACCTTATGAGGGATCTTTGTCCAATGTTACTGAATTAAACCTATTGATTTTTCTGGCCAAATGAGGGTCAGGCAGGGGTGCTTTCCCACCTGGTCCTCACATGGAAAGGAAAAAAGTGCTATTCAATCAGTAGACATTATCTTGCGAAAAAATTATGGTGAGGGTTAATAATATTTCAGCTGTTGCCTATCAATAGCAGAGGTGATGCTGTTGAACAGTTGATGCTTCCCAGTAAATAAATTTAGTGAGGATCTCCTATGAAGTAATTTTTTCAGGCATTCTCATTTTACAGTGATTATTGCTCAACTGTTCATAATGCACTGTAATACAGAATTCACAGTGTTCCTCCTATGTTTCTATATAGCTGGCCTTGAATATCAGTGGAAGTGAATAGTTGAAGTCCTTGGGTGATAAGACCAACTGATTTACTTTGCTCTCTGAGGGCAGAGATGTGCTTGATATGATTAATATTGTTTTGGTAATTGAGTTGTAATGAAATCACTTCCCATGCAACTGATTCCCATAGCAGTATTTACTCCTTTTGCTTGGAGAAATCAAATTATTAGCACTTAGGTTCTATTGCTGTATCAATTAGCTGTACTTGCATAATGCCACTTGAGTAGTCTGTAGTCCTTGATGTGTAGAAGTTATACATGTATTTACTTTCTAACAGTGTGTTTTGGGGATAGAGGAAGACTTAAAGAAGTTTTATAATTTGTAATATTATATTCCTCCTGTGTATAAACATATATATATATGCACACAGCGATTATCCTGCAATATATATGTTTTATGATTTTATTCTTGTATTTTTTTTGGCAGACCTCTTGAGAGGCTGAGCGTGACCTGGAAGAGAAATGGGATCAAGATCACCAGTGGCATCAGCAGCTTTGGGAGACGCCTCACTATCACCAACCCGACCTCTGCTGATGTGGGGATGTACTTCTGTGAAGCCAAACTCCGCGAGAGCACAGAGGAACCAGCAAGAGCTAAAGCTTTCCTTTCTATATTGGGTAATTCTTGAGGCAATGTGTTTTTTAGTAAAAAAGGCTCTGGGCTGAGGTATAATAGGAAATAAAATTGATATCTTAATATTTCATTGACCTTACATTTGAACCTTTCTTCAGAGAACAGAACAAAGGAGGTGAGGGAGGGTTATCTTCCAAATTAATTCAGCCGTTCTTCCCTGCTAATATAAATTCATCAAATAGATTTTTTTTAAACACTGCTGTGATTGTAAATCCCCTGCGAAACTATACGTTTAATGGGAAATTTGAGAAATACAGTAGTAAAATCCTTAATGGGCAGCTTCCTTAGCTTGGCTTTTAGGTTTTAAATCCTGATTAACTCCTGCCTTGCTTACATCCAGTTTTCATATGTCAAGTGCCTGTATCTTTGCAGGAAGGCTTTCAGGAGCACTCCTGTGCCTCGTGTGCTGCGGGTGCAGCCGGTGCCAAGGACATTCTGCGGGCACAGAGCATTGCTGAGGCAACAGGACAGGGAAGGAATTGCCATTAAAGCAGCTCTGTTTGCTGGACCTCCAGCTCCCAGGGAAACTTTGGAATTAATACTGTTAAAGGGGACATTGCTGCCCTTTCCTTGCCTGTTTCCACCACCACCTCCTCTCCAAGTGTTGCTGTAGGGAGGAGGTTGGAATTTGGAAATGGTGGTTCCTGCCATGTCTGATGAAATTATGCACATTAGCACAGTGCACACAGCACTTTTTAGACTGAAAGTGGTCGTTTAGACTAGGGACACTGAGATGTTTTCAGCCAGACAGGATTGTGTAAAGTAAAGCTTTTCTCTGTGGGAGTGTCCTGGGGAGGTTGGAGCCCTGGCAGTGCCAGCAGTCTCGGTGTTGCTCAGGGTTCAGGCACGTGCACTCCTGGAGCTTTGCAGAGGAAATGCAGCACACGATTCTTTACATCTTTGAGCCTCTGAAAATACAATTTTAAAGACTGCTGTATGATTTGTATTCTGCTAAAGCAATTTGTAGTAGCTGCTGTTAAGTGAGAAAGCAGCTCTTCCCTCTGCAAAGCTCCATTCTGGATTCTTTTAGAGCACTGTGTGTTTGTTATATTTACTACCTGCTGGACAAACTTTGGTTGCAGTCTTTCCTTGCCCTCTGGTCCTTGGAGTTATTACCTTCCCTTTAAGGAGCAGAGATGGATTTCACTTATTTATAGGTTTTGTTTAAATTCTTCCTTATTCATAAGGTTTTATAGTAGCTGGTTTGCCTTTGTTGCTGTGATGTCAGATCCAGCCTAATGCAATACTTAAAGCAGCCTCTTGGTTAATGCAAAAGATTCTTAAATACAGTCACAACAAAACTGAAAAATAATCACTGGGGAATCATATTAAACTAGCAGTGCTTTAGTAGCTTACCTGCTCTCTTATTTTTAAATGTTTTATTTATTTCCTATCCGGTTTTAGGAGGCTGTCAGGGAATGAAGTTATGAAAAGGTCTGTAGATAAGAACAAGCAGATGAAAGAAAGCAGAAACAAATTGGTTACCAATTACTTTTATTTCCTTCTGATGGAACACGACACTTCAGATGCAGGTGTTTACTCAATGTGTCAGCAAAGCCTGATAGATTTCTTTATTTATGAGTTTCTTGAGCTTGCAGGATGGATCTCTAATTCTAAACAGGGAGCCAAATCAAAGGATTAGTAGTTAATGCATAACTTATATTCAGCTTTAGAATTCTTGGATGGATCTGGCTGTCATTTAATTAGTCAAGGGACGAGTTCTAGAGGAAAGTGCAGACAAGATTCAAACCTAAGGCTTTCTGCAGTGTATCTCTCCTAGTCCATGGGGGCAGTACTTAGAGAGAATCAGGAATGCTTGTCCATTTGCATGCATAAAATATTTGTAGTGTGGATGTGTAGATTGGGAGCTGATAATGAGCTGTACTTCTTGGGAGAATAACACAGCGTGGACTTAATGAGGGGTCTCAACTAACAGGAAAAAGGAAATTGTCTTAAAAGAAGAGGTTTGTTTGCAGAATGTGAGAAATCAAATGCAACCCCTCAATAGCATAGCTGTGAGAGCTTCTGTGGATCAAGAGGGGAAAATATTTTGCTATTAACAGGTAGAACTAGGGTAGCAATAAAAAGATGCATCAAAGATGTCAAAAACAGTGAGTTAATCAAAGCTTTTTTCCATATATATCAGTCCTTGACTTTTCCAGCTAAGTCATACAATTTGAGTGTGGCTCAGATGGCGACAAAAGCTCTATTAGAAGGCAGTGGAATTTAGCACAGAGGATGTACTTAATTTATTATTTGTAACCTACAGTATTATCTCAGAAGTTTTGCTGTATATTTCTGAGAATATATCTCAGTCTGTAAATTAAAAGCACAATAATATTGAAGAAACCTGAATCTCCAATGTATTAGAGTAGTACTGCATAAGCAGGAGGAAAATCCTCTAGTTGTGTGCTGCTGCACTTTTCTTCTGAATGTGGCAAAGAGCTCCCTGACATCTTCATATTGTTCCAGAAAAGATAAACGGAGGTGGTTCCAAACCTTGGTTTTATTAGCTGCAGTTGTTATAAATTTTTAAAGGGTATCATGTTCCTCGCTTGGCAGAGTAACAGTTTGGGAAAGATTTGTTGCAGATTAGATAAGAGCACATTTGTTTTATCACTAACAGTTTGAAGATTAAGTAATTTAAAGAGTCTTCCCATGAACAAACCAATTTGAAAGCTGAGATAATCTTAAATTCTTTTGCTCCACTTCTGCAAGTTTTCGTGACAAATGGCAATAGTCATTTCTTAAGTGACTGTTCTACGGGAAATTATGAATTTTAGGAGCTTAAAAAAATGGGGAACCAAACTATTCCACTGTATGAAATCCAAAGTGCTCTTTAAATTAAATGCAGTCAGATAGTAAAACCTGAAAAAAATGAGAAAAACAATTTGATGAAAGGGCCTGGCATGATGAGTGGTTGTACAGAACTGAGGGTTAAAGTCTTGTTCGTCTGTCCAAAGGAATACAAATGAATTAAACAGAGTCAAAGGAGAGGGTTTCCCTTCTTTTGGAGAATATTTTGTGCCCAGAGATCTACATTAAAAGACATGTTATTCTCTTCTTGGGAGGATTCAGCTCTGTGGGACACAGAAAAGTTCCAGTGCTGGTGTGAAGGGCCCGCTGGCTGGGCTCTGACATGCACTGTGGGGCTGTTTCTCCCTCCCCGTTCTCCAGGAGTGTCCAGATGCTGAAGGGTCTTCTTTGTCCATTTCTGCTGCTCAGGAATTTGCATTGTGTGCACAGAACTGCCAGAGCACGAGTTATTTCCCTCTGTAGCTATGAGCACTTCAGTGCCTCATGCTCAGGCCTCTGGAAACAGCAGCTCTCTTGGCTCCAGCTCAGACACTTTGAAACACTACAGATGCCTTCTTTGAAAGTAGTGGAAATAATTTTTCATGTGTAGTGCTTAAGGGAAGCTTCTGATGACTGTGTTCATCTACTGTGTAAGAAAATAATAAGTTTTCAGGGAAACTATACTACAAAATGTCTTTGGACTCACCTAATCACAGTTTGGACTCAAAGGAAAGAAATACTTGCAGCTTTTGATTTGTCAAGACTCAGAGATTCTGAGATGGACACAGACATTCTACCTTGAGCCTAAATGCAACAGGACCTGTCCCAGAGGGAAGTATTGGGACTTCTGGGCAGCCCAGCTCTGTCTCTGGTATTCCCAACAAGTTCTTCCTCCTTTCAGCCCTGCAGACAGGACATGTGTTCCCTGGGCTGTTATTTCAGAACACACAGACTGCAGCTCACAGTGGGGGTAGAAAGAAACCACACAGATCTTTTCATCTCTCTCTGTTTTAACCTGATATTCATGCAAAGAAACTTCCTGCTCCAAGGAGCCTGCTGTACCTGCATCCACAATGGGGCTTCTCTCCCAGCATGGCCAGTCTGATCTTCTGTCTGGAGTTAGACTTTGTACCTACAAGGGGCTGTCAAGCTTCCAGTTCCTCTTCCTTTAGAAGATAGTCACCAAATAAATTAGTTTATGGTAATGCTGGAGGAAGACTTCCATGTTGAAGGCTCGATTTCCCTCTTAAATATGCAGCTCTGAGTTTCTGAGAGATTCAGGAATTTCAGCTTTGGAGGAGCCCCTGGGGCTTTCTCTGTTCTTTCTGACTTTCATGTGTGTATCTAGGATTAGGTCACACATCTCCAGTGCAGCTTGAAGGGTATGTAATGGATGCTGACTGCTATCTTTTGAATGCTAAAATCAGTGACCATGTAACTTTGCACAGGGGAAGTTAGAACAGGATCAAATTTTGCAGGCTCCCAAGGGCTTTTCTAAGACACATCTTTCCAAGTGATGTTTCGAGTGAAAAAAAAAACAAAAACCAACAACAAAAATCCTTAACAACTATTAAAAACACCAATTTATATTCAAATACTATTTTCCCTCCCTGCTTCTACTTGACATTTTAGTGAAGATCGGTCAAACACCAATACAATATCTGAACAATGCACTATTTGTTTCTTTCAGCCTAATGTGGGCTGTGACCCCTCTCATTGCCACACACCACAATGCCAGCAGGGTGAACTTGGAGTAATGGGACCTTTCCTATTCTAACTATTGTGATTCTATAATTTCCAAAAAATTTAAATGTTTGACCTGATACTGGCAAATTACTGTCATTCCTAAAAATTGCCATGTGTGGGGACTTGTGTCTGGCACATTATATTCTTTGGAAGACACTGTAATTTCATCACACATATTAAATTTCAACACATGATTATTGCCTACAATAGTAAATGTTAAATTCATACTGTGTGATTCAAACCAAGCCTTATAAATATGCAGTGGAGTCATGTATACAGCCACCCAGAATGCCCCCTCAGAATGCCATCTGACCCCTATAAATAGTGCTGCATTTTTATGGCCTCTTTCTGACAGTCATTCACCAGGTGCTGTACAACCCAAATTCAGATCCTCTGAATTTCTCCCTTGCAATTAATGCTGGGTATTCAGGCCCTTGGGCACAAAACCTGTCAGATGATACATCTGACACCTCTGAAAAGTGAGGGGCTGAGGTTGCAGTTGCCCAGCACCTGTAAATGGAGCTGTTTCCTCCACAGCCCAAGTTCTGTTGACTTCACAGGACCTTTAGAGCATCCATGCTGCTGGTGAATGGCACATGGGTGTGGAAAAGCTGCCCAGCTGCATGGAAAACTCAGACTTCTTTACTTGGAGAGTGACAGAGCGCTGGAAGAGGCTTCTCAGAGAGGTTGTGGAGATTATAAAGACACACCTGCAGCCTTCCCTGGATAAACCAGGGGGACTGGCCTGGGTAATTTCTAGGGGTCACTTCCAACCCCAGACATAATGAGGTTCTGTGTGAAATCACTCTTTTATTTGTCTCAAAACCCCTTAGGGTATCCCTACACCAATATTGCTGAAATTCCCTCATTTCTTGCACCACCAGGGCTAATTTTCCACATCTGTTAGATTTTAGCACAGCTCTGCTGTCCATGTGCTATTCTGGATCTTCCAGAAATCCCTTCTCAATCAGCCTTGCCATGCCACCCAGGCTTGTCTCAAGTTTTAGTCAGTACAGGCCATAAATTGCAGAGTTGCTCATGGAAGGTTTTCTGTATCAGTGCTTATCTTTCAAGAATAGGATCTGATTCATCTGTGGGCAGCTTCTGTCTCTGTGTCAGGTGTCACATTTGGCAGTGCCTCCAGCTGCTGGAGTGGCTGTGAACAGAGTTCAGCAGGCTTTAGTCTGGGGGAAAAGGTGAGTCTGCGCTTCAAGAGTAGAAATCAAATCTGTTGGCACCGAAAGTCCTCTGGGATTTGCCTGTGGCCTTTAGATTGCATCTTTCTGCTGCTCCTGCTCTTTTTCTGTCTTGTCTGCTTCTGTTTCTCACTGCTCCTTTCAGAAAAACTGATGTGAGTCTTCTTTATAGAACATCACATCCCGTTTGCTAAGTGACAGTTGTCACTGACTTCAGGCTCTTTGTCACGTAATTCATTGCTTGATACCTGCTCCCCTAAGCATCTCTTAATGTCAGAAGTTTCCTTGAGGGTGACAAACAGCCTGTGTGGGATTTAAAGGAAGGAGCACAGGTTGCAGATTAGGATTTTGGGAGGGACACTGGGAAAGACAGCTGTGTAAATATGCCAGGTGTAACTGCAGGAGCTGTGCAGCAGCAGCACATAAACAGAGGTCATGGAACCACAGCAGCTTTGAGGTCACATTGGGTGCTTTGCAGCTGGACTGCAGGCCCACAGTGAAGATAAATCTGCAAATTTATCACTGGTGTGGGAGTATGTTGCTGATCCAGGAGAAAGTTTGAGAGCTGGTGGCTGAAGGTTGCCAAGTTTAGAGTTTGGCCTGTTAAGAGCAGAATCCTTTATAAAAGGAAAGGTGCAGTCAGGACCTTCCTAAGCAAAAGATAAACTCCAGTGACTGGAGAGACATTCACAGAAGAAGCCCAGACTTAGAAGGGAATGTCTAGATTTGTGAATGTGTCTGGATGCCTTCCTGGCCCATTGTTGCTTTGTCCTCACCCCACAATCACATCAGATTGCCATAGAATGAAAGATTCAAATTTTATTGTGAGAGATGGACATGTGGACACTGACCTGTGCAGCCATGGACAGGAAACATCGATAAGGACACTGTGCTGAAGGTTTGGAAATTCAAAAGTTAACATCCAGGGAAATGGAGCACAAGAAAAACACCAGGCAGGACTTGGAGGATGGCATGAGAGGAAGGAGAGTGCTCGGAGTAAAAACACGGACTTAGATGAATTGCAGAGGACTCAGCAACTTAGCTGATCAAACATGTCAAAGTGTGTGCCATCAGTGAATTTCAATTAAACGTTCGGCTTTTCAATTTGTTGTTGAGATTAACGCATGAGATCATGCGCAATAAATCACAGCTTATTATGCATGTTTATTAATAGCTTTATATTTAGGCAGTGAGGATCAATAATGTTAACACATGTATATTATTAGAATATAATAAATCAGGTAGCTTGTTTTTATTGGTTTTGCTGGGTAAACAACTATTCCAGGCTGTTTGCAACCTCCCTTCCTCCCCTGCATGGCATGCTGAAGACTAATATTGATTGGCTTTCTTTGGAATGAATACAGAATTGTAATATCCATTGGTGCTCAGACAAGACCCCAGTTCTGTACACCCAAGCAAGTATTTTATTGTAGTGAGAGGGAAGAACTGCTGGGAAAAGGGAGGTTCTGTTCTAACTTGGTGCCTCCTGATTCACCCCTGTGCGACAACAGCCACGCTTGCTATGCTACAGGTAGCAACAAGATTGTGCAGGATAAATTTATATGGCTTTGATTTTATTTACTAAAATGCTGATGCCCTAGCAATAATATAACTACAAGTTCTTTTCTCCAGTCATGTTTGGTGAAGAGGTTTGAGAGCAGGTCAGCTCAGATAACCTTGGATATTGCAGCTTCCTACATATTTTAAAACATACTCAATTTTCCTTAAAATGGAAATACAAATAACTCAGTTTCACAAGCTACTTACATTGCCTTTTCTGTATTTCCTAAAACTCACCAATGAGTTTCGTTATGCTGCAAGAGAACTGCATTTATAATCAAGTAAAATCCTTCTAAAACCAGTACTCAGATGATAATTGCATTGAACAAACTATGACAGTTTTTAGTTACCATGATAATGACTGCAACCTTAGTGCCTCTGGGACTTTGACATGATGCTCTTCAATTTTATGCTGCATAGAAGAAAGAGCTACATGCCAGCATACTCTGCAATTTCTGCAGTCTGGTCTTTGTTTAATTAAACATCTAATATCTTTTCTTTCACCCTAATGATAAAATGGGGATTTTTATGATTATTACTATAACTTCAATTAAAGCATTAAATCTGTTTGCTTTCATGAAATAAAACAGTTGAGAGGAATTTCTTTTAATTATGCTGCACTTGTCCTCTGATGTCGACTCTGTGACATGCCATGGCACTTTATTTGACATACTTCATGCCTTGCTGAGGTGAAATGCAGTCTAGATACTGAAGGAAACTATCCTAGAAAATGTACATTGTAAATATAAACCTTTATAAACCTCTGGGGAGGGCCCTTCTAAGCAAAAAATTAACATGTTCCATGATTCAGCCCTATAAAATGAAAAGTAGCCCCTGCTCTGAGTATTAATTTGCAGTGCAAACCCCTAAATCTTTACCTTCCATTGACTTGACTCTGGAATTCATACTCAGCATAGGAAACATTGTCAGGCCTTATTTTTATGATGTTTTTACTACCAAAAAAACCCCACCTCCAAATAGAGACAAACAAATCTGTACAAATCTGTTTGTAACCCCTCACATCAAATGCACCAGCTGTAGAGAGATTCTGTGATGAATATTCTTTAATGAGCTCCTGTTTATCACTTTGCTGTGGCTTTGCTTGTTGACTTTTGTTTGCTTTCCCCAAGAACCTCCGTATTTCACGGCTGAACCCCAGAATGTGATTTTGGCTGAGGTGGAGAAGGACGTGGACATCCTGTGCCAGGCCATGGGTGAGTGCACAAAAGTGTTCCAGCCTGGATTGATGGCATGTGTCTGTCCAGTTTGGAAGAAATCATCTTGCATAAACCATCTTTGTAAGTTTTTAATGTTTAGAAGTCTCTGTGGTATTGCTGGTTATCACAGGTCCCATATAGAAGGAAGAGGGTTGGTCTTTCCCCTTGCAGAATTGGATATTTCCTGTAGTTTAGTTTAATTTGGAATAATTCTGGCACATTGATGTTTGTCTGTGGGGAGCACAAGTCCTGCTCCTGTCACTCTGGAATTCTGCCTGTGCTTCAGAGGTATCACTAGAGAAGAGATTTAAATATCTTGAACCAAAAAATGAGTTGAAGGGGGAGCGTGGTTATGGAACCCATCATTTGCAATGCAAACAGTCCTTATTTTCAACAATCACAATGTCCTTTCTTCTAAAACTTAGGGAACTATTATAGTGCATAAAAATGTCAGTAACTCTGACATCTGAATGTAGTTATGAAATCTGCAGGACGACTATTACAGGTAGTTTTAATTGGTAGGTGGCCTATTAATATAAAAGGATTCAAAAGTGTAGAATTCCACCTGACTAAAATGAGGCTTCAAGTTGAGTTCCACAGAAATGCATTCCCAACCTCTTTCAGCACTGTCAGGTAGGATATGTTGTCATCATGTGTTTAGTGCAGGTTTCTCAAAGTCACCAAATTTTTCCATGATTCTGATGAGGGACTGAACATTTTGTTGTTTCACTTTCCCTGGTGCTGATTTTAAGAAGCAACACACATAAAATGCCATGAGGTCCTTAGGGAAAAAGATCACATCCTTGGTTAAAAAAGCCAGACCTTACTAACTGTTATTTGTGTGGTGTCTTCCTCCAAATCAGAGCCAATAAAGACATTTTTACTGTGTGACTGTGTTATTGCCACTACAATTTAAGCATTTTTTTCCTATGTTTTATGTAGGAAAGAGTCAGAACTGCTTTTCTAGGAGCCTTTGCAAACTGTGTGATAAGCAAGTGTGTGTGTTAAGGGAGCTGTGGCTGATTTGGAATTTCAGAAGCCTATGATGAGATCTCTTACAAAAAGCTCTTATGGAAATGGAGCTATCAGATGATAAGAGACAATGTCTTGTTCATTAATAGCTTTTTAAGCAAAACACAGCAGGACTTGCTGTCAGTGGAGTTCCCCAGGAACCCATCTGCTCTCTCAAATATTTTTATGAATTAAAAAAAAAAGAAGACAATCCAACCCAAAACCTGGAGGAATCAGGATGTGAGATTGACTTCAACTCTCCCTTCTACCCTCACTTTTTCTTTGAGTAGTTCCCAAGGGGGTTAATGGGGCACTCATAACCATTTCAGTGAAGATATGGGAACCCTTATTAGACAAAATTAATTATTTCTGTTCAGCTCTTGTAGTGCACATCTAATTTGCTGATAAATGTGGTGCAGGAGCATGAAAACCTGTTTCCCTATGGATTATTTTTTGACTATCTATAATACATTTAAGGGGTAGGTATTAGAATTAAATACAGAGGAAATTTGATCCATTATTACACAAATCTAGCAATTGCCAGGACTTCAAAAGAGGGTAAATGAAGATTGCTGCCTCCCTGCTCCGAGCTGGGAGAACAAAGCACTGGGGAAGCTGCAGAGCTGCCCTCTACCTTTGCTACAAATGGAAGACAGATTGTATTTCCCCTAGCCCCATCAGGTTGTGTGCACAAAGCCCATTTGCCAAGACTTCGTGCACTATGGATGTGTGAGAGACAGATTAATTTCACAGTATAAGCAGAGATTAACTGTAAATAAAATTGCAACTTGCAGCAACCAGCTCCCTGCTCCCTGTAATGGAGTTTCAGGGTATCAGGCCACAGGAACCAGGCTCTGCTGTTTATCTTCCAGCAGTGGCTGATGCTGCCTGAATGTTCAATGGGTTTCCTTTAAATGCTCTTTCTGATTTGCTTGTGGAAAGTTTCGAGCTGCAGGCAGTGGTGGTGGTGTCTGGGGAGCACAGTTAATTGCACTTCAGTTCTACCTGTTTAGAGAAGTAGATGGAAGAGATGCTTTGGGGATTCCCCTGTAGCTCACTGGGATCTAGAGGAGGCGGTAAAAAATAAATAACAAAGATGACACAGTGAATATCCTGAGTCTTTCATCGAGGTTCTTAAGTGAAATTTGGCAGAGAGTCAAGCAGCTGTTTCACAGATGGAGGAGCTGAGCCTCGGGTTCCTCAGTTATTTGCCCAAGGTTACAGAAGAAGTGGCAAAGCCGGAACCAGCGTCTCTCTTTCCTGCCTTCCCTCCTCCCCCTGACACTAGATTAATTTGTCAGTGAAAAATGAATAGTGCTGCATACAACTGAGAAATAAGGTTATTTTATTTATTACTGCCAGTCTTTTAGGCCACTCTCACCTCCTGAGCAGCAGGGTCAGGCCGGTACTGCTTGGAAAGGTAGAGTGCAAAAGGTCTTTAAAGTGTTTTCTTCTCTTCATAATTTTTTCACCAGAAGTTGTTTAGAGAAGAAAAAAAGCAAAATTCCTTTTGGGGGGGGGGGTGTGGAGAGGAAAGGCTGTGGGGTGGGTAGAAGATGAGAAAAGCTGGGTTTAACCATTTTTTACAACCAAATAGGCAGCAAAATTAGAAGAGAACGTGTGTACAACTTGGAAGACAAATCTCTCTGGGAAGATCACTAAAGCCCAGATGAACGCTGCTGACAGGCATCAGAGTGCTCAGATAAGATCCTATTATTCAGACTCATAACTTTGAGTGGAGGAAGATACCCGTAACTGAAAAGTAGAGAAATAGAGATGGTAATATTCAGTTTGTCAGCTGAGTTGGTGATAGGAAGGTGTATCTCACAGTGATTATAGGATTAGAAGGTTTGCCAATACTGTTAGTAGAATGGGATTTGTGGAATGACACCAGTGTTAAAGGTTTGAGTGTTCTGAATGCAAGATTTCATTATTTCCTTGGTGCCTATCAAGTCTAATGTGTGGGAAAATGGAGTTGCTATTATTTAAACTTGAAATAATTTTCAAGCTTCTCAGCATCAGGAGAACTATTCCATTTTGCATCATCTGTTTCTTCATTACTCAGTGATAATTTGTATTTGCCCAGGAGGATTTTCAAGAGATGAATAACACTCTCACCAAGAATTGCGAACATTGAAATTTACTCTAATTCTGTATATGGGCTGTTGTATGAAATTTAAATTATGCCTATTGCAAGCTCCTACATCATGTCTATTCTCTATCAAACAATGCACTTCTACGTAGTGGGTTTCTTCCTGAGATGATTATCTGCACTATGAGTACATTTTATTTTATCAGCAGAACAAAAGCATCAGAGGTGATTGAAGTAAATGATACATGTTTATAAAAGTAACAACAGCAATTGGATGCTGTTTTTCAGTCATTTCTATACATTGTTTGTACATTCCTTCCAGAGTTAATTCAGCTTTTGTCTGTATAAAGAGAATAAGTACACTGAGAAAATATGTGAATAGAAGCATCACATATTGGATGGAGTAGTATTTAACTCTGGGAGTTTTAAAATGATAATGATGATTATATAGATCTTCCCATGGCACTTTAGCTCTCGGAACATCAAGTAACTGCCAGCATTGCAGTGAAATTCATTGTCTGCAGATGCTCAATTCATCAGTGACTCCATGCTTCGGTGACACTTCTCTATTTGGGCGAATTTCACCCACCCATGAATTTAAGTTTGTGGTCTCTTATTACAAGAGACCTTATTACAAGGTATATAAGGTACCTTATTACGAGAAATAGTGTAGGTCTGAGGCTTTAAGTGAAAAGTGTTCAAAAACACCCCAAGTGCTGTGCCCAGTTCTGGGCCCTCTGTTCAGGAAGGACATTGAGGGGCTGGAGCGTGTCCAGGGAAAGGAACAGAAGGGTTTGGCATGTACAACCTGTGAGGAGAGGCTGAGGAAGCTGGAGGGGGCTCAGCCTGGAGAAAAGGAGGCTCAGGGGGACCTTCTTGCTCTGCACAACTCCCTGACAGGAGGCTGCAGTGAGACGGGGTCGGGCTCTGCTCCCAGGGAGCAATGGGCAGGATGAGAGGAAATGGTGTTAAACTGTGCCAGAGGAGGGTCGGGATGGACATCAGGAAGCATTTCTGCACAGGAAGGTTGGTTAAGTATTGGAAGGAGAAATTATGATCTTGGAGGTCTTTTCCAATCTTAATTACTCAGTGATTATCTAATCACATAATAAAATACCTGCCTCACTTCTGATCTCTGCACAGAATCCCCAGCATTTGATCCAGTGGGGATTTCTGGGATGTAAACATAAAACATTGTCTGATATGAGCAGTGGGATGGGAACAGCTGTCTAACACTGTTCTAGGCCCCTGACATCTCTTGAGGAAAAGAGAATCCTACACTACTTGTGTATAATAAATTTGCAGCCACTTCATCCCAGGTGACAGGGACATGACAGCAACAAAAATATGTGTGAAATAACTGTGTCAGGGTTTGTGGAACATGCTCATGAAAGAAAACAGAAATAAATGGGACTGTAACTTTTATCTAGGCTAGGAATTTTATTTCTCTTTATGCCTGCTTTTTTCAAATAGCAGGTGAAGCTTGAGACTGAATAAAAATAATAATAATTTAAAGCTATCCTATTGTTGTTTGTACATTGCTCAAACTAAGCTGCTATACTGGGACTCGAGTACAGCCATGTGAGCACTTCGTTTTTCATGTGTAATTTGCCATTTCCTTTGTATTTCAGCTATCTTAGCTACAGAAGCACAGAGGAATCTTATTTGGGATAGAACAGCCTTACAGACTGGCTGTATTGCCACACTGTTTAAGGAGCATGATTCTGGCTTTCAACATGAAATTGCTCCAAATCTTATTTTGTAGTAGCATGAAATATGATTGGGTGAAGAAAGTAATTTGATAACATGTTTTGTCAACATTCTCCCTTAGTATTTGCTGTTTTTATTCCCTCATGTCCTGCAGTGTGTTATTACCATTGATAATGTGAGATGCAGCCTCCATTTATTTAAAGCAGCTTGGAAAAAATACAAATCGGCATAGAAAGACGGGAAAACGGGGATATGGCCTAAAACAGGCTCTGCAAAGACTAATAATGATTTCTTTTTGCTTGAGCAGGTGTTCCCATCCCCACCCTGGTGTGGTACAAGGACTCGGTTCCCCTCAGCAGGCTGGAGAACCCGCGGTACAAGGTGCTGCTGAGCGGGGGGCTGCGCATCCACGCGCTGCGCCCGCAGGACGCCGGCATCTTCCAGTGCTTCGCCAGCAACCAGGCTGGGGAGATCCACACCTACACCTACCTGGATGTCACCAGTGAGTGAGGAGTGCTGCCACGGGCTGCAGGAGGTGTCACCCCTGTTGGTGACCCCACACCCGTCGCGTTTCTCAGAGCTGCTTTAGTTCAACCGCAGAGCTCTGAATTCTTGTCAAGGGGAGCTGCCCCAGCTGTAAGGAACCCCAAAACGCCCCTGTGGCCTCAGCAATCTGCTGAATCGTGTGGAAAAGCTCTCCATGACCTCAGGAGAGCTTGGCTTGAGATGAACTCCCCTATTTCACATGGCAAAAAGAGATCTTGGTGAAAAGAAAATTAATTGTGAAATACTTTTATCTTTCCTTCGTTTCCTTCCAATTTCCACTCTAATGTAATTCCATTCTGAACTTGAGCTACTGCTTCATGATTGTGCATGCTATCATTTTATTTGCCTTTCTCTGCAAATGCATTTGGTCAGAAAAAAGAAAGAAATTTCAAGTTAAATGTCTTTTCTGGCCAAAAAGTCAGATTAAATGGTTTTGTTAATGAAGTGCATGCTTCTCTATGGAAGAATTACAAATCCTAGTAGTCTCTTTTAACAGTGATTATTAACAGTCATTTCTGTAATATTAAACTTCCCTTCAGGAAGCTGATTTTTAGCCCAAGAGCACTTTGCACATGCTGACCAGAATTCCTACTGGTCTCAGAAAATAAATCAGTCCCCAGTTCAGCTCAATATAGATATAGGAAACTGCAGGGGAAAAACTGCAATAAAATGCAACTGGGGGAAAATAAGAGAGAAAGAAACTTAGAAAATGTCTTGGATAAGGCTCAGGTTCTAAATTCTTTTGGCTGACATTTAAGTTTCAAAGTTAATGCCTCTCTCAAGTTGCTTTTCATCTTAAAGAACTCTGTTATGAAGATGAAGGAAAATAGTTTTGTTTATCTAGATTTCTCAAGTTCCCCCCAAACACTCATTTTGATCTTTATCTTCCTTTTTCTTTAACCTATCTTACTTGTACAGGTACAAGTACTGATAGATTTTTATTTTCTGTGTAGGTAATAAACAGGATTAGGCAATTCCTGGGAGATGAATAAGAAAAGGTTACAGTCACTGCTGAAAGATTTTCATGTCTTATTGTCATGTCCTTCTCCGTGATCAGCTCTATAAAAGTGGATGTAAAGTAGTCCACGGTAACAGTTAAAGGATCTTTCTGAGAGGTGAGGTACTGAGTTTGTTTGAATTTTTTATTCTAGACATCAAGCCAGCCTTTATCCAGCCCCCAGAGGACACCACAGTCACCGAGGGGATGACTGCAGTACTGACCTGTGAAGTTTCAGGAGCTCCACGACCTGCCATCTCCTGGAAGAAAGGTAGCCAGTTATTAATGTGTAGAAGAGCTGCAATCCACATTTTCCTGCCCATTCCTGTTGTTGAGATCCTGTAGATCCATTCAGTGCCTCTTTCCCCAGCGGGTTCGCTGTGGGGCCATCATGAGCCAGCTGCCTGGGCAGGCTGTAAGATTTTGGGAGAGCTGGGATTGCAGTGCCTGATCCCTGATCCTGCCTGACACTAACCATGCTGCTTCCCCCGTGTGTTTCAGGAGAGCAGATCTTAGCCAGTGGCTCGGTGCAGATTCCTCGCTTCGTTCTCCTCGAGTCTGGAGGGCTCCAGATAGCGCCCGTGTTCCTGCAGGATGCTGGCAATTACACTTGCTGTGCAGCCAACTCTGAAGGAGCTCTGAATGCTTTTGTGATGCTGACAGTGTGGAGTAAGGATAATGCTTTGTTTAAAGTCTAACTTTAATCAAGTATTAATCAGTTTTTGTTGTACGCTCAAGAAATTTTCATTAGTAATTATGCTTTTCTCGTTAACAGCATAACTTGTATGATTTAATAGGAATAATGTGCCTATTTTAGGAAGCCTATCACAAATACCCTTTTTGTTTGGAGAATTATGCATATAAATATCTATTTTGTGAAAGGAAGTTTATTTAAATAGAGTTTCAATCACAATTACAGTTTTACTCAGGTTTTGCTTTGGTGTCTTGCATTGCAAGTCTGAGCTTTTAACCTGTAGATTTGGTTGGTTTCAGGTGGTTTCTGCCTCCGGGAGTCTGCAGGCAGCACAGGCCAGTCTGAGACAGTGGCCACAGTCACAACAGGATAGGATTTTCCTCACAATTTTGTATTTTTTGTGGCTCTGCATGCTGTTGGAAGCCAAATCAAAGTGTAGCAGATTTCAGCTAATCCCTCCCACTGCAGACTGTGTGAGACAGGGCATCCTATGAAATGGTTTTGTCATTCACCTTTTTTCTCTTGATCTCTATATTTTTATATTTCTTCTGTTGAGGAAGTGAGTCTGATCCAAGAGGTTCACCTGTGTAACTCCTAAGTGAGTTCAATTGAAGGGTAACATGGTTTTCACTACTCAAGGTACAAAATAATGATCCCTGAGCAGGGACTAAGAGCAACTGAAAATAATGAAGATGATGAGGATTAATAGACAAATGTTGTGGCTTCTCTCCAGCACTTGAAGTACTGATTGTGCTGCTGATGTGTGGTGCATATTTGGCATTTATTAATCCCCAAACTCTGCAAGCTAAATCAGCCACATTTTTCCTTTTGAAATTGGGATTACCTGAAAACATTCCTGACAGTAACTGTAACATATTTGTGTCCATCATGTTTATGTCTTATTGACAATATTAAGTTGGTAGAAATTTCAGGATGCTGTAAACTGACTGATATCCAGGTGTATGGATCAAGTAAAGGAGATACTGCCTATTAATTCTCAAAGCTATGGTTCTTACAGGTATTAAAAATAGTTCCTGTTCATTGTACTGCATGAGGGGAAGAAAAGTGAATATAATCTAATGTTTGTGTAGCAATAGCACCATTATAAAGCCAGAAGCCTTACATAGGTGCATCAGGAGTAATGCTAAAAATTCCATGATGTTTAGAGTCAGCTTTTGATTATGCTGATGGTCCGTTCTTGTGCATGTGTGAGATGTCTCAGTAGATGCTGATTATCTCTGCAGGGATTTGAGACTTATTAACATTATCCACATATCTTCCAAGCTCATCCTGGTTGTCTCCCTACCTCAGCTGATGCTCTCTGCTGCTGCTCCTGTGTGTGACACATAATGGGATCTTTCACACCAAATCAGGTTGCTGTAGTTACAGCAATTATTGTGTTCTGAACCTCTAGGAGGGGCTTGAGTAAGGATATTCTGAAACATTTAAGTAAACAACATCTTTCTGATATGGAAGATTTTTCTTCCAGGAGCTCCTCCACTGTCCTGGAGTTGATGAGGCTGTGGGGTGCTGTTTAAGTTTACCTCTTTCTCCTCTTTTTTAAGTGCGTTTTCCTTTGCACAGATTTTCCTCGGTCTTGTTTGTGTTTTTGAGTGCAGTTTGTTTCTTGACTCAGTGTTTGCTTCCACACACGCACTGAGACTTTAGGGAGTTGCCTTGACAGACACCTGCACAAGCCAAGGGAGAGTTTGGAGAGCTGCACCATTCTCCTCTGGGCTTAACTCGTGCCCTGCGCTGCTGTGCCTCTGCACACCCCACCGCGTGTCCCCTGTGTCACAAAGTCTGTAGAGGAAGAGGAGCCTTCGCAGCAGAGGCTTGAAGGGCAGTGTCCCTCTTGCTTTGGACGACAAAGGCTCGGTGGCTCTCTGAGTGAATAGCCAAGGCCAAAGGCTCTAATTCACCTGGCTGTGCTCCTTTCAGATCGCACTTCCATTGTCCACCCTCCCGAGGACAGCACAGTGATCAAAGGCACCACAGCCACCCTGCGCTGCGAGGCCACGCACGACCCCAGAATCTCAATCAGGTTGGTGGTGCCACTTCTTGCTTCTCTGGTTTATCCCAGTTTGATTTCATAAGCTGCGTGAATAGCAGTAGGTGAAAAGTTTTGGGACCCCAGATTTTCACACCAAACCCCTGATTACTGCATTATAAGGTTGTAAACTGTATCATTAATCATATAAAGCCCATCTTCCATTTCAGCCTTATGTATTATTTACAATGAGCTATGTTCCACTTCATGACTTCAATATAGCCTTCCATGATTTTACTGTCAAGGTTAATACACTATCAATAAAACCAACTTGTCAGAGGCTGATACTTAATGAGAGTAAAAGCCAAAGAGAAGGAATAGAATTTCAGAAGTCTTTACTCTGGGGTGCATAAAAGTCATGCCAGAGATGCCCATGTTTTTGGAAACAACTCAATAACTTGGGCTTATAGTCTGCTCTAACCATGTAAAGGAAACCAGAATTTGTCTGGACTATTAAAATTTGAATTAGAGCATTTAGATTAAACTCAGAACTTGAAAATAAATTTGCCATGAAAATTAATGTAGTCTGAAAGCAACATAAATGAAATAAAATGCAAGGAAGAGCTTGGCGAGTGCTTGAAGGGTGAACTGCAGAAAGAACTTTGGAAAGTGAAATATGGGTATAAAAATTCAGAGATGGGAAATTGAGTCTGTGGGTTTCCCACACCTCTATTACATGTTGGGAGGGGTGTTTTTGCTATGTGAGCTCTAGCAAGCCTTCAACAAGTTTCTGATCCTGGCAGCCCAGTGTTACAGAGCTGGCCAACACCCACCATAAACTGCAGAATTTCTGTTCCGGTGGGGTGAACTTAAAAACTTGGACATGTAACAGTATCCATCTTTTCCTGGTAAAATACTTTATATCTCGGATGGAATTACATTTTTCATTCTGATTGCTTGATTTAAAACTTGAATTTGTAAAAGACACTGCTCTTGAAAGTAGCTGCAGGGGCCTGTCATTTTTAACACATGCTGACAGGAGCTGATCCCTTCCAGACAATTAAAATCAATCTATTCTGGTGTTCTTATGAGTGATCAATAACAGAAGCATTGTGATACTCAGGTACCTTTGGAAGAAGGACAGTGCTGTGATAAATCCATCCAGCAGTTCCAGGATCACAGTAGAGAAGGATGGGACCCTCCTCATCAGCCAGACGTGGTCGGGTGACATCGGGGACTACACCTGTGAGGTCGTTTCTTCCGGAGGGAACGACTCCAGGACAGCTCGGCTGGAAGTGATGTGAGTACTCCAGCTTAAATATTCCCCACACTGGGTTTCAGACACCCTCAGGGCTTTTTCTAACATTTCATTCTAGGTGCTGTGGAGAGTCAGCAGTTCTGATTTTTTGGTGTGGTTTATTTTTTTTTTTTAAGGGAATTGAAGGCTGGTTCATTGCTAATGAAGTGTCTTTGAAATGCTCTGATCTCATGGCTGAGCCTGCATTGAGCAGGAGTTTGGACCAGAGACCTCCTAAGGTCCCTTTAAACCTGGATCCTTCTATCACCCCATGCTGTAGGGCTTTCCCATAAAGCCCAAGTGCTGTGCTGTGATGCCAAGGCCTGAAAAAAAGAAAATTTTTTCTTCCTTTTAGTATTTTCTTTGTTAAACATTTATCAGAATAGCTGCTCCCTGGATGGGCATTGCTTACTCTTGCATTCTCTTTATACATAATTTTTCAAGAAAAAAAAATATTTTTATGTATTACTTTCTTTATTTCTATGGATCTTTAAAAATAAAAACAAAAAAAATGTTTAAAGTGCCATTCAGCTCTGGAAAAGGATTATAAAAATGTCATTACATGGTTCCATATTTTCTATTTCTGTCATTCCACTGGGGTGAAGTGCACTTCCATTTTATTTTTATCACTAAAAGCAACAGCTGTGGGTTTGGTACATGTGTGGAGCAGATCAAATGAAAAAGAAAAAAAGAAGGTAATGTTTTATGTAGAGTTATTTATTTATTTATTTACTCGAGTAGTACGCACACTTTAATTTAACTAAAATTGCATCTGTTTCTGCTGGTCATGCCTGATGTCTCTGAGAAGATGGCAATTGTGTGGTTGGCAGTGTAATGAGTTCACCTCTGAGATTTGCTGTGCAGAGGGCTGTTTGATACAGCATCATTCTGACAGTGCCAAGGCTCCGTCAGATGCCCATTTTCCGAGAGCGGTCATACATTCTTTTTCTAATTAAGCACTCCTCAGCTCTCCTCCCGGAGTGCATTTTACTGCTGGTTGGAATCCAAGAGCAGAAGACAATTCAGAATATATTGCTGCTACATAGCCACGCTCGCTGCTCTCTGAGGCAGTTTTTGAATGGAGGGCAAAAAATCACAGTAAAGACTGAAAAGAATGTTAAAGCTTGGACTTTGAAACAAAGCTATAAATATGTGCTAAACTCTTTAGCAGCAGGACGGTTTCCTAATGCTGAATAGCAAAAGCTGCCCTGTGCAGCCCAGTACAGCCCAGGGAATTGGATTTACTTGCAGTTCCCCACTGACCACTGAGGAGCTTCTTTTATGGGGCATAAAATCTGGGCTGAAGTTGGTTGGGAGAGGCTGGTCCTGTGTGCCCTGCTGAGGCACCCCAGCTGCTCCAGCTGTGTTGGCTGGCTCCCCATGCACTGGGACTGCCTCTTAATCCTGCCTCTCTACTTCCTTTCATGTTCTGTTGTTGATCGCCCATCTCCTGTTTTTCCTGGAAGAATTAAAGGAATCTATCAGACCCACTCTTTCAGAGGAGTCAAGTAACTGATAAGTCACTCAATAACACCTTGAATTGTGACATTTCATTTCAAAGCAGGGCTGCAGGTAGTGCAATACTGCCAGAATACATTGCATTTCCTTGCAACTTTCATCATTATCATTTGGCTCAGCAGCACAGATCTGCGAGGAAGAGAGATACACGATACAACAGGAGTGAAATGAAGAAGAAAATATGTGGAAAGGAAACGTCTGAAGTGAAGCCTAAATTAAATTCCAGCTTGTATAGGAATGACAGATCTATAACATTCCCTGTTCTCCCGGATAATTCCCTCGTGCAGAGCATCAACAAACAGGGCATGCACATTCCCGTCGATGAGCACTTACACTTCAGGGCCTTGAGTAGCACTAATGGCAGACAAATGTTCAAAGGAGGCCTCTCAACCAGTTACAGACTGGAGCAGCCACCAATGGATGATACATAGCCTTGCCTGACAACTCCAAATCTCCCCCACCTTTTTCTCCCCTCAGGAATCAGCATGTTCCTCCTCTACCTCTGTGCCCATCAAGAGGAGTTTCCAAAGATGCAAATAAGTTCGTTACTGATTTCTGTTCAAACTGATTCAGTTGAAAACCGTCAACCTCCAGGTTATTTAATCTCTGATGGTCCAGTTTTCAGATCTCTGAAAAGAAGGAAAGAAAACTCTCTCTTCCTTTGCCTGCCCTTGCTGGAAGTCAGGCTTGGGGACAATGGTGGTGTTCCTTGCAGGAGGAACCTGCACGGATAGCATGGCACAGATACATTGGTGCTGCAGGCAGGATGGATCATCTACCTCAATATGAAAGAAGAAATAAAATATTTGCAAAGGAAAGCCAGAAAACTAATGAAGAACTTGCTAAAGTGCAGCCAAAGGTTACCTTGCTCATCAATTTTGCACTGATGGTACTTGGGCACAGAAACTAATTGCTAGTCAAGATACTCTATTCATTCATTTGTCTTCCCTCTAAATGTGTTTATTCTCCATGTACATCACTTGATTTGATTTGCATGAGGTAAAACATTTGAGAGTGATGTTTCTATTCTGCAAGAGATAGATTTTAATTTTACACTGACTATGTTTTTCTTCTAGTAGAATTTCTCAATTGCATATCAGAAACATTTGGTGATGAGCCCCCCACTTCTCTCACATCCCTGCAAGTCACAGGGTTTGATCCTGAAAGTAATTGCATGTTATGAAACATCCCAGCTTCATTTAGCTTACTTTTATAGTCCTGCAAACACAACCCTGAAATACATACAGAGGGAAAGGGATTGTACCTAAAGCTGCAAAAGCTGAGTTATCACCATGTATCACTCACCTGATGGGAAACTGTGCTGATTCCAGCTTGAAGTGTCCTGAGGATTCGTAGGATGCATAAAATATTCAGAATTGCCACTATCTGTGCCTGATGATACCCACTGCTCAATATCAGCCTGTCTGCAGCCCATGCTAGAGGATGTCTTTGTTGTATGAATGTGACTGCAAAGTATGGTAATGCTGCATTGTTGGAAAATCAAAGCCCTCTACAAGCCTCTGTTATGTCACAACATATAGTAAAATCTTTTAGGCTCTTTTTGTATGCAAAAATATGGGAAGGACAATGTATTACAAAAATAGGCAATTTATTCCTGGCAGCAAGTTCATCTTCTTTCAGTTCCCTTTCATCAGAGAAAGAGCTATTATTGTTCTGTCTTCTTCAAAAGCAGGAGAGGGGAGCTAACCACTTATAATAAACCCCAGTGGATTGCCAGAAATGCAGAGTATTGCCTTTGTCAGCCATCTATCCATGAATTTGGATACCCTTTTTACTGGACTATTTATAATTGCCACTTCTTCCAATTTCTTCCCAATATACCCCATAAAAAAATATTGCTAAAATTAAAATCGGTGTGGCCAATGCAGTGTGAGATAAAAATGATGTCCAATTACAAATGTAACTTGATACAGATCCCACATCCCTTGGTTCCAATTGTCCATCTCTTCTCCTTTCTCCAGGGAGAGAAAGCAGAAGGAATGTCAAACTTGAGAATATATTATTCCTTCCTCACTGGAAAGAAGGCTTCTATTTATTTTTCCAAGCTCTCTATTGAGATGTCATCCAAGACTCAAGGTTCACTGCTGAGTCTGAGTGCACTTGATACTCAAAGGAGAAATATTGCCTAGAAATACATTTGGAAATAAATGCCATTGTGTCTGTTTGACATTGAAGGTATAGCAGGAATGTAGATATTTTCAGCAAAAAGAAAACATAAAATTCAAACCTCTTTCCCAAGTCATCTCCAGATCTGAGCAGATTGAAATGGGAAATAAATCTGTGCACTCTGGAGCTCGGCAACCCTTTAATTCCAAAAATTCCCCTTCTTACAGACCTCTGAGAGACAAAGAGCCTCAAAACTCAGGGCTGCCTTGCAGGAATTGGAGAGGATTCTTTTGCAAGAGAAACTGCAAAGTCCTGAGCAACAGTTGCCACGTTTGTTAATTTAAACCATGATAAACCTTTACCAGCAGAGCCATCAGGGCTGAGCACTGCTGCCTCAGCCCCGTGCCGTTATCAGCCCTGGCAGATGAACCAGCTGCTCCTGAGCAGACCCTGCCTGCTGGACCTCACTGAGGGAGTCCATTATAAAACAGGAGCAGGGCTTTTCAGAACCTGACAAGGAAACTTGTTTAATCTCCTGTGCCTTTTTAGTAATCCCCTCTTCAGTCACAGTCTCTCTAATTACCTGCTGTTGGACCGTTTTTCTCAGAAGTCTCTCCAAACCATGTCTGGTTTATTTTTCTCAGCAAATAGTCTGCTTTTAGCTAATTTTATAAAACACTCTATGTGTTTGCTGAGTGAATTTTTCAGCTGCCCTCTGGCAGTGATGAGCTGACTCAAAACATTAGGGTTTCTGTTTTGAGCATGTATCATTTGCAGCTGGCTAATATTTCTCTCCCAGATTGTCACAATGACTTCATATTCTTTTCTTGCAAATGCACTACTTTAATTGCTTTGTCAGAGTTCCCTCAGGTCACCTTGGTGGCAATGCCATTAACCCTGGGGTTATCTATCAATTACAGATTTTAAAGTGTCCATGCACATATTTTACTATCACATAAAATAAGTTATGGAAAACTTGCCTCCATGCAACTCTTCAGCATTAGAAAAATGAGGTTTTAAGATACTCTATGTTGAAAAACTTCCATATAATTCCTGTTGGGGCTTCAGTGAACAAAAGAAAGATAATGATGGAACTATACTTTGCATGTCTGGTCAAGGTCTGTTCAGTGCTCTGGGTGTTATTGCTCTAAAACTCATCCACTTTCTTGGTGCTGACCAATTCTACTCTGAGGTCCTACTCACCCTGAGAAAGGGTTGAAATTAGAATTCTCTGCAATAATTTCTTGGGTGTTGGAAGTAAGGAAAAGTAATCCTCTTAAAGGAAAAATAGAAGCAATGATATTTTTGGGGAATGTGAATATTCATGATGGTGGTACAGGTCTCATTTATCTTCCCTTCCGCAGGATATGTGGTAGCAAATGAGAAGGAGACAAAGTGTGAGTGCATGCTGAAGGAGAAATTACTACTTTTTTAATCTCTGCTTTTGCATACTACAATGGGAGAGGTACACTCCTGTGCTGAAATGTCTTTGCAGCTTTAAATATTCATTTCTGTCCAGGTGTGTTTCTTAGGCACTTGTTCTGCCTGCCTCAGGGGGTTTAAATCTGTGAGCACCATCTGTTGCTGTTCAGCGTGGACACGTTTGGGTACAGACAAACCCAATATTTGTGATATTTGTGGATAGGGTGTCCTGGATGGAGGCAGCAGCTCACACTACTCAATCTCTGTCTGAACAGAAAGTGCCCATTTCCCTTCTGCTGCTGCTGATTGTCCTTGTCAATCTGAGAGAAAAATCTACTAAACCCAAATCCTAACCAAGCAAAACCCCAGGTTTTAACCCAGTGTGTGCATTTAAAAAACAGGGAAAAACAGAGAAACTCTTTTCCAAAATTCTTCTGAGTGTTATGCACTTGGGAAAAGAGACTGAGCTTTAAGTCTTGCTGCCCAGAATAGCAGATACATGGGGATAATCTGCTGTGAGCTTCCCCTCAGCCATTCCTCTCACACTGCTGCTTCTGTGGCCATCATCTTCCAGGAGGAGCTGGAGCCACAGCCCTGCTCTGAGCTCTTCCCTGCAGGGACTGGTGATAAATGAAGTGGGAACTGGGACTTGTGTGAGCCATGTAGCAACAAGACGTTTCACTCTTCCCTTCAGTAATTACCTTTGCCAGCTTAATCACAAAAACTTTTCCAACCAGCTTGCCTAGGACATAATGATAAATTGTGGTGGGGGTTTAATGTTTATTATAATTTAATGTTTCATTCAAAATTAAGCAGCACACTCCTGTAGTCCCTGGGTAAATGGCCATATCTTACACCCCCACACTTTCCAGTGACAGCTACACTCTGTCACCCAGGTCAGCTGCCCTCCTGCTTTATTTCCAGGTTCCCCTCTTCCTTAAATGTGTTTATCCAAAATTTCACAGTGCTGTGTTCAAAATCTACTCCCTTTGGGCCCACACATGATCCTTGCTGTGCCTGATGTTTGTTTTAGCCCCAAAGTGGCCATGTCTGAGCTGTCAGTGCACGCCCAGAAAGGAGTGAGAACAGTCAACTTAAACTCCTCACCATCAAGGCATCTCAAGCAAGCGAATTAATGAAGTTGAGATCTGAATCACACCCTGAGGTGTCATTCCATGTTTACTACAGAAAGAGCCTGGGGTCACTGTGCTGCTAATTTGGTTCTGCGTTTAAAGTCAAATGAGATGAGACAAGGCTTTGAGTCTCAGGTTTAGCCTTAGGAAATATCAACCCCTCTTGCCTGGAGAGAGGTGGGCAGGGAAGTGCCTTCTGCTTCTGGTGCCTCATTAGTTGTGTGTTTTTCTTGCCACTCTTTGGCTCTTCCAGCAATTTTATTTTTTTTTTGATGCTAACTCCACAGTGTGTATCCATCAGAAATGCGTAAACAAAAGCATTCACGGCTTAACAGAAAAATAATAAAACTATTGTCTGGCTCTCCATATGTTCCTCAATCTTCCAGTAGAAACAGAAATCCAGGACATATTTATTGTTCTGGCTTGGAGCCAGAGCCTGTATTTATTTTGGTGAGTGGCTGAGGAGTTGCGGTTTTTAAATAACTCTGAGTCTTCAGTGGCAAAATACATCACAAGCAGGACTTGCTGCATTTTTAATGCAAACATGTAAGTGCCCTTATGGCTTTGTGCTCTGGCCTGAGCTGTGGAAGGGTCACCCTCAGCTTTCCTGGGAAGAAGGGCAGATTGAATGGGTTAAAACTGGTCCTACCTGCTTTCCTTTCACTCCGAAATCTTCATTCTCCTTAGGAGTCAGAACGATAAGGAGCAAAAATCATGCTTAAGTATAATGCTGGAGAGCTTTTATCTCTTAAAACACACCAGCATTTAAGGGTTGCAGCAGAATTTAGTGTTCTCACTTCACCATGCAGCTCCCACTTTCAGCCAATGGGTACAAATGAAATGTTTTTCTACAAATTTCCTTTATGTGTAGAAATTACACATTTTAATTGAGCTGCTGCTTTATTTTTGTTTTTGAAATGTTTTATGTTGTATTTCCATGGGGTTTCTACAGGCATTTTCACTACATTTTCTGGTTGGGTGCTTCCAAAAAAATCCTTATTATAGGGAGGAAGGATTCTACCCATGACAGGATAAGCCTTGAATCCGTGAGTAAATCAAGCTGTTCTGTAGCCTAAGAATACATATGGTAATTTTGATTAGTCGCTCTGTGTGGATAGTGTCAATGTCTTCTGCTTCCTTGAGTATGAAAAATTCCATGTTAAGTCATATCTCCCATGTGTTTTACTGTTTATACATATCACTGCTGTCACATTGTAGGACATCATTGCAAGACGGGAGAAAAAGTGAGAGAGGAAATTTATTGACCAATTTGCTCAGTCAAAAACAGGATGAAAATTGGCTTTTTGCCACATTTAGCGACATGTCCATTAGCTGTTCTATGCATCAGCCTTGGGACTTTCAGCATAAATTTTTTCCCCCCCTTCAAACAGGATAAAATTGTGAAGAATTCTGAGATGTCTTTCATTTATTTAATTGTACAATAGCTCCTGGTGGTTTTATATCCATCATCACACGGGGCTGATGTCGCCTGCCTTTAACAGCCTAAAAGACTGGAGCGGGATGAAATATAGATTAATTTTTCTCTGCTGGTTTATTTTTTCCCTTCTCTTACCCTTTTTCCCTTCTAGAGAGCTGCCTCACTCCCCTCAGAACCTGGTGGCCACCCTGAACTCCTCCTACAGCCGCAGCGTGGTGCTCTCCTGGGTGCGCCCCTTCGACGGCAACAGCCCTGTGCTCTACTACGTGGTGGAGCTCTCTGAGAACAGTAAGTCAAATACTTCTCAGCCTCGTGGTGTTCTTAAACCATTCCTTCAGACTCACCTCTCCCCAGAGCTGCTGACAAAATGCTGCTGCAGTTTGCCGAAGCCTTCAGAGAGGGGTTTTACACTCAAGTGTTTGCACGCTGGAAGAGTGGAATGACAAAGAAGGCTGAGATGGAGGGATTTATTTACAGGAAGGACTTAGTTCCACCTCTTGTGTTGCCAGCCAGACTTGAGGCACAACAGCTCATTTCTCAGTACAACAGCAGTAGTCAGTTTGTTCCTTCCCGTGGCTTTTTCTCCAGTTTCATGGAGTTCTTGGTGTATTCAGAGCCCCAGTTTCACCTAAAAGATGCAGACAGGGGGACAATTCAAGCAACTTATGGTCTGTCAAAGGAACAAACCTGGATGTCAAGAGGAGCTGCTGTCCTACCTCTCTGTGGGCTCCTATGTTTGCTCTGCTTTCTCTGGATTATCATTTTACACCCTTCCTTGAGGTAGGTGGTTGAGAATGCTCGAGTGCAATCCAAATATCTGACTTCCTGCATGACAAACCTGGGCATTGGGAATTGCCACTTGCCAGTTTTATCATGCTGTACACCAGGCCCTCCATGGCTCTCTGTCTGCAAGGTTATTCAGGGACATTGCTAATGCCTCTTGAGGAGTTGATGGAAAGATGAGGGTATATGGAAATCGGTCACCTTGGCAATACTTTCTAATCTCTATCACCCTAGGAGCTGGAAATCCAAGCTGAACAATTGATTCTTGATGAAAAAATTAAGAGCATCACTTTTTGTGACATGTGGAAATTAGTTACTGCATAACTGAATGTGAAACAGTTCTGATTTCTGATTATCTGGAGAGCAGCAGTTTGTTTTGCCACACTGAGAGCTTGAGGGGGAACTTGAGCTTCAGATCACATACAAGCCTTTTGCTTTGCAGGCTGGAGTGCATAACTGCTCAGATGTGGAGGTCCTAGAACCAATGATCTTCACAACTTAAGCAAAGTGCAGGTTTCTAATCCTAGCAGAAATCCAAAGTCATGCCCAGGACTGCTGCCCTTAAAATAGTTCTTTTCGATCAAAGATTCTGGATCTTTTTGTTACAAATGAGTAAGAAAATCCATGATCTTCCCCTCATACTCCTTCTCTACTGTTTTATCACCACCTTCCTTTTTATTTTCACTCTTTTCTCCTTCCCTCCCATAGCTACAGGCCAGTTCCTGCCTGTTTTTCTTCTTTTCCTTCCCTGGTCTTTTGCCCAAGGATGTGTTTGCCTTCTGCTCCTTGTTTCCCAGTGGCTTTGTTGATGACAAGCTAGTGAAGTCCCAGTCTGGGAACATGATGCAAAGGTCCTAGAGCTGTATTTGCACAGAGACAGCACAGAGGTGGCAGAACATGTGCACTTGGATCCTGCAGTGGGCTGCATCGACTGGGAGAAGTCCCTGCAAGAAAAGACAGCTCATTCAGTGCCAGCAGAGTTATGGAATTGTTTCAATTGGAAGGGACCTTGAAGATCATCTCAATCCATCATCTTTCTTTCGTCATGGAGGAGTTTGGAAGGTCTTCAAGTCCTTTCTACCAAGGATGCTTTGCAGTTGTATAGGAATGGGATAGATATCCCATCATTTTAGAATTAATTCACTGAAATTTGTCAAAGGCTCAGCCAAAATCAACAGTAGTTCTTTGGAAACCATGCACACAGTCCCTGAGAACACCACAGGGTCCTGTGAACCACTGCTCACTCTGTGATAGATTAAATTTTTTTTGGCTGATGCCATTGCAGTCTGCCACTGAGAGGGTCTCATCATCCCAAAGCACAGGTCTGTGTCCTGCCACAGCTCAAAGCTGCAAAAGCCAAACACAGGCCAGCTTTGTTGTGGACTGAGCTTCTTAACTCCCAGATATATCCCAGGTCTTGCTGTCCTTTAAATTTTTGTCTTTATTTACTTTGCCTTTATATGCAATGCCCACAGAAGTAGAACAGGGAAGAATCTGAGCCCTTGGATATTCCACTGTTGCTGTGCTCTCTTGTTCCATATTTACAGAACAGGACAGCAATGTCAGCAGTGACTTTGGTTTGGAACACTGACTGAAGTGTCTGCACACTGACACTGGCTTGTTTTGGTTTCTATTTTCCTGAAGTGTTTGTTTTTCAGGGTTATTTTGATCTCAGCAGTGTGTGGTTAATATTTAGCTTCTCCAGACCTCCTGCTCCTCTGGAAACCATCACCTTCCCTTTGTTCCCAGCCATCCCAAGCACTGTTTGTGCACAAAGCTGGTATTTGATGTTGTGTATGTATAGCTTGGCCTGATATGACTGCAGAAACTCTTTGCTTTTCAAAGACAATTTCTGTTTGGGTTTTGTGCTGCAGAAGGAGGAGTGACTGTCAGGGAGACAGGGAACATCCTCCACGAGCTCTGTCACTGTCACAACAGAGCAATGCATCTCCCATCCCCATCCCCATCCCCATCCCCCTTCAAATGTGAACTTTCAAATGTGAAGGAGGACACCTTCAGAATTAGCGTTTATTTTCCAGCAAGCAATGCTGTGCAGATTTTGTTCTTAGTTCTGTGGAGTTTGAATATTTGGAGTTGGAGTGTTTTGGTTATAGGTGCTGAAAAGTAGCCTTGTTTTGTTGCCTTTTTTCAGGTGTTTTGTTTTGGATAACTCTCTCACAGCTTTAGGACCCATGGTAGGTTTTGAAGCACTTACCATCAATGAATACACAACAGTGTCTGTTGCAGAGAAATAGCTGAAGAGGATTCAAAATAACAAGTATAAATTTCAGGGGTTTAATTACCAGCTGCATTAGAGGGAGGCGTGTCACTCCACCTGGCATGGATTAGAACTCCTTTTCATTAATATCAATTCAGTAAAGAGATACAAAACCCTTATTTTAATTAGAGGGAAGAAAACAGTGGCAGATCGTGCACATAAATTGCTGGGAATATGAACAACTCTAGCCACCTAATTTTTAAAATTAATGTATTTGGCGCAATGCAATAATTCTCAAAATACAAGTATTCACAGTAGACTGTGTCTGTGGGTGACTTGAGACATATGGCCTTAAACATTTGGGGGCAAATTTACAATCTAATTTGAAAAACACAGTTCCAAGGAAACGCAGTCATTAAGTATTCCTGCCCACACAGAGCCAAGAATGTGAACCTTGATTTGAAATAGGATTTTCAAATAAATAGTACCATGCATTGCTGTCATTTGCACTAATATAATTTTGGATGTTTCATGACCTGTTTAGCCCCATTGCAATTTACCTCGGAATTCCAATGAAGTGTCTTCATGGAGTTAGGAGGGGATAATGCTTATTTTATTCCAAAGAGGTTTAGACTAAAGAAATTAATCAAAAAATATTCTGAGTCTTTTAACTGAAAAAATGAATTAAGTCTTATAGAATTCTGCTGAGAACAATTAAGATAAAAGCCCATTTTTGTTTTATTGTATTCTGGGATATCTGTGCTGTGTGAGGTGATGATATAACTCAGATTCAACACGTTGTGCTAATGAGGAGATAATAAAAATTCTTGTGGAAAGCATCTCTACATGCTTAACTAAAACCTATAGTTTGGCATCCTGAATTTGGAAGGAATATTCAAATGGCAAATATCGAACTCGTTGATAAATCCTTGCAAAAATCAAAGTAAAACTGCATTGTCATTATGATTGTGGCTCAGATCTAGATATGATAATTTTAAAATATACTTTTTTTCAGGCCACTGGTAGACCTTGTATAGGTCCTACTAAACAAAGGATGAACCATTTAGCTTTCATTTGGATTTTTTGCGATGTCACATTGCTACAAAGGTTTGAAAGATGAATTCAATGTATTCCAGCAGTATAGCAAATTCTGATGATGCCATTTATGCAAAACCCCCTGAGAAGGAAAGAGATGGAAATGTGTTCCAAACCTGCAAAAATCAGTTTTCTGCAGTAGATCTGATCAGTAATATCAAATTAGAAATTATTTTTGGGGAAATTGCAATTAATGCATGAACTGTAGGGTAGACTGGGAAATAGAGAAGAAACACCTCTTGGCACATAGCCAGAGTTATTGAATGCGTCACAAGCCCATCCAAAAATTCATGACAGAAAAAAAAATGTCATTTCTAAAACCCCAAAATGACATTGTAAACCAGAGAACAGCCTGTGAGATTCTTCATTTCCAATAAATGAAGCTGGAGAGGCAATCAGAGTTAATTCAGAATGCCCAATATTTGTGAGACGACAGACAGCTCAACATGGAAGTTGTTCAGACAGCAGCAATTACAGGGGAAGAGCAGCAGAGCCCAGAGTATGTTCTGGGCAGCTTAAGTTAAATGAAGGATTAGCAGAGTCTGTTCAGTCTAACAGAGACTTTTTTTAATAGTTTGACCTGGCAAGTCTTTTGTCACCATGGAGCTTCTCCAGGCTTCCTAGGACAGGTGAGTGACAGCCATCCCTTGAGGACAGGAGAGGCAGTGTTGAAAATTTTATGGCATGTTTCCCTTGTCAGAATTGCTTTTCTCCACAGTGAAAAGAACTTCTGCACAATCCTGGGGTTGGTTGTGTGTATCTAAAGAGGGAGATCCATTTTTATTTGGAGTGTTTTGTTTATTGATTGTAAAAAAAAAAGAAGACTTGACATTTAAATTTTAAAGATACTCTGCACACTCGGTGTATCCAATGCTCCAGGAGTGAGCAAATGCTCCCTGAACCACCCTCCTCTCTGAATCAGAGTGCCCAGGAGATGAATAGGCTTCGTTTATATTAGTTTCCAGTTTAATCTCTCTTCCTGCCAGATCTTATATCTTCCACCAGGAGAGGAAAAAGAATTAATAAAGTATTCTACAGATGCAGCATATAAACAGAGCAAAGCCCCAAGGTGCTGAGGAGATTAATAGGGCCTGTTGTTGAATCAAACTGCTCACTACATTGAGCTGCTTGGGTTAAGCACTCTCAGGTGGTGTTTACACTGGCAGTAAACAAATTAAATGCTCTAGGAAACGGACCACTGCCCAAGTAGCTCATACAAGGGTATTTCACTCCCTTCTTGGTGTCTGCTCTTCCATTTTCCTCAGGAAGTTCCTTCAGACAGTGCACTAGGTCAGCCATACCTTACCTCCAGCTTCCCTTGAGTTGTTGCTGTGCACTCTGGCTGTAACAAGGCTGTCTGGAAAATCTCAAGGGAAGCCTGTGAAAATTCAGAAGGAACTAAGGTGCAAAAAACTCCGAAGCAATGCTTTTCTAGATGGCACAGGTGTGCTCCCTCTAAGAGCTCTCTAAAAGAAATCCAATGTTCGGCTATGATAAATTGACATCAAGATCTTGCAGCCAAAGTGGCTGTTGTTAAATCAACAATTGGCAAGGAAAAACCTTTACTGCTGTGCAAATGTCCCTCTCCAGCATTCCCAGTATTCTGCTGTGTCAGTCTTCCTGTTAAAAAAGGCTTCGTTCTGGCAAGGCCCTTACTGGAATAAATACATTTGGAGTAATTTGAAGACGCAGTGTTTATAGCCCAACTGGCATCACACCCTAGAGGACTTCAACTTGTTAAGGAATCTGCCAGAAAAGCAGAAAATGAGTGGCTTCTGTCTTGGTGTGAAGTTTAGCAGCCTTCCACGTTTGGGACATCTCATCTCATTTTCAGGCAGACGTTGAGGTGACCTGCCAGGAGCCACGATGCACTTCTGATGAGCAACATGCACAGATAACTTTGCCAAAATCTACAGCGAGCTCCTCAGCAATTTCCAGAAGTGTTAGTAATTTTGAGCAGGGAGCATGAAAACAGCTGGTATTATTTAAAAACTGAACAAATCTTCAAATTGGCTGATTCTGTTGCTGTACTGTTGCAACACAGACCAAATGTCACCTCTCTCTGACTATTTCACTCATGACATCAGGGAGAATATGTGACACCAGGCTATGAAGACAAGAAGTCAGAATATTTAATTTTCTACATGGTTTGTTTCTGACCTCTTTGAAAACTTGCAAATGTAATTTGGGCATCAGAGGAGCTTGATATGGCAAGAATATGTGAACTGACAGCGAGGGGTTTACAGTGCTGCCAGGGCTCTTTCTGCCAGGGAATCTTCCTAGAACAATTAGACTCCATGCTGAATAATATCTCTAGGGAAGAAAAAATAAGACTGCAGACACGTAGAATCAGCAGCTGAAGTTTTCTCAGGTCTTGCAGCAAAGGACTGATTTGGCAGAGAGAGTCATGCTTCTACACCTGCTTGCAAGCTGGCTAGGAAGATATTCCAAACTGACTGTGAGTTTCATTAGAATCCTTCCACCAGAGCCACTGATGGGTGTGGTGGTGTGATGGCCTGCCAAACAGATGGGTTGTGAAATACACAGCCCATCTGTCTTTATCATGCTTGTTTCCTCTTTTATTAAAATGTTAATGAATATAGTTTTTATTTATTATGCCATGACATGTGCAGCATCACTTTCCAGTAGACAAATGTGCAATCTGCATAACCGTGTGGGCTGACAGGAAGGTTTCTTCTGCTGAAAAGAAACTTCTTCCCAAAGTTCCTCTGAGGGAAGCAAGCACGAAAAGCTCTGAGCAGTCAGAGCCATTTTCTCACTTCTGCAAGGCTTTTGACAGGCACTTTAATCTTTTTTCTTTTTTTCCCATGCTAATTTTTCCAACAGATTCTCCCTGGAAGGTTCACCTGTCAAACCTTGACCCGAAGATGACTGGTGTCACTGTGAGTGGCCTCACTCCAGCCAGGACCTACCAGTTCAGGGTGTGTGCAGTCAACCAGGTGGGCAAGGGCCGCTACAGCACCGAGACCAGCAGGTAATGACAGGCAGTGTCTGTGTGCTGAAGGGACAGCGACCTGGGGAGGGGAAAATGCTGCTTGGGAATGAAGGAATAAAATAATCTTTTGCACAATGATTGAGAAGATGGAGAAGTTGCCGTTTCCCAGGTGTCTGGAGAGTGCCCTGCAGCTGGCAGGAGCTGGGGATGATGGCATTTGGGGGATGCAGGAGATCAGCACATCATGGGAGAGGTGTCCTCATATTCCAGAGTATCAGTTGAGCAGAATCTCAGAAATTACATTTTGCTCTTATGCTAAGCCCCAGCAGTTAGCCCGGGCAGGAGCACAGCTCTCACCCTGTCATGGCAATGTCACTTCTGGAATTTACCCAGATGTGACAGAGAGGGATGGCTTCATCATATTCAGTTTCCAATGCATCCCCCTTCTTCTGTGAAGAAGCTTGCTGCAAGCTTGAATTGCAGAACAGCTGAACTCTAAATGGCTTTTTCAAAATGTAGGAGTTTGATATGAAAAATATTGAAAGAGCTGAAAGAAACAATTTGGAAGGAGTCACAGACACTGGACCCGAGCTTTTACTCATTCAGGCTTGTAATCTTTTTAAAGAGTTGTAGCAGCCTGGGTGATTCCAAGAGAATAGGGTTACCTCAGCTGTCTGTCTTGTTGCTTGCTTAACTGATTTCCTATTATGTTGATTTGTTGTAACTATTTCATGCATGTCTTCAGCAGTTTGATCAGCATTATATTTCTTTCTAGTCATCAGACTGTGATAACAAAGAGTGGTTCACTTGGAGTGGATAGAGGAAATAGACTGTTATTTATGATTTCTTTCAACACCCATGTCCATCACATTTTTTTGTACTTAGGTTGATGCTACCTGAGGAGCCCCCCAGTGCCCCCCCTAAAAACATCGTGGCCAGTGGGAGAACCAATCAGTCCATCATGGTCCAGTGGCAGCCTCCTCCTGAGAGTGAGCACAATGGGGTTCTCCATGGCTACATCCTCAGGTAAATCCTTTCTTAACCTGGGAATGCAGAGATAGGTCCAGGTGTGCACAGGGGAGTTCAACTGGTGACTTAAGAGGGTAATAAAAGGTATCTCTAGTTGAATTGAAGATATTGGTTATTGTTTGAAAATGCTCAGGCTGCCCTGATTCATTAAAAGTGAAAAAACAGCCACTTAAATTCTTGCTTGTCTGTCCTAGAGAGTCTGAGGGCTGCATCCATTCTCCAAAGGACCTGCTCCCTGTGGAGACTCGCCACATCCTTTTATTCCATTTTCAAAGAGAAGTGAAGCTCCAAGTAATGCAAGTGTTCACATGGGAGGCTGGTACAGTGCAGTCTATGCAGATGTATATTTGCTTATTATAAGCTCAGCTCCCTGCTCAAAAGGTTAATTAAATTTATCAAAGACACAACAGGGCTCCTGCCTATGCAGGAGCAGCAAAAGAATCAATAAACTTCAGTTTTGTGCCAAACAAAATGGCAAGAGGGAATGACAGGTCAGATGCTTCATGGCAGACCTTGGTTTGGTTTTGAAAATCAGCCAGTTGAGTAAGATTCTTTCAGCCCTGTCTGTATTTATTAATGAGAAACACATTCAGGCAGGTAACTGGGAATCCTGCACCCATCCAGTCTGGCTGCTTACCCAGGATTCATTGTCCTGGAAAGGATGTTGTCACTTGAGAGACTTTGCAGAGCATTTCCCTTAGGTGATTTTTTGGGACTCAGTATTCACTCCTACCCAAATCCCCTGCAGATTACTGCTCATTTGGCATCCTCCACACCCTGCCGTGCTACCAGCCAGCTGGAGCCACACCTCAAGTCAGGGAGGCATTTTTTGTGGGAAACTCCCATCCCATGATGTATTTCCAAGTGAAATACATCCTGTAGTCAGGCTGCTGACATTTTTAATACAGTGTCCTCCAGAACTGTACAAGATAACTAAATGCTGCAGTTTAAATGCCAACATCCTGTTCAAGCTTTGCTCCTACTTTTGCTGGCATGGGTGGAAAGGCTTTTGTCATGCTAAGAGTGTTGGTGAGCTCCCAGAATAGCCCTGGGAAGTTCCCTCTGTCTGCAGGCAGAGTTGAGTGTGTTCATCTCCCTGTCCCCTGCACAGAGTCCCTCAGCAGAGGTGAGCCCCTTGTGCAAGTGCTGTTGGTGCAAGGTTTTAGGGCTGGGCTCAGTTTGCAATGTTTTGTCATCCATCAGTGAGGAAAGGTCCTTTAACTTCTGCCTGCAGATTGACCCTTGTCTGGAGTCTTGGGTTCCCATCTGCCAAGGATGCAAACATTCTTTTTATGCAGTTCTTCCCTGCAGATTGGTCTGCTCAGTGTTAAGATTAGTTCCTCAGTTATTGCCAGGGAGTCTTTCCTAGTCTCAGCATTAAGTCCTTTAAAAAACAATCCCATAAGCTCCTACTTCTGGCAATCTGTGCTGTTTTCTCCATATAGCATTTCCAATAATGTTTAACTTTGGTACTTTCTACAGTATTTATCTGCATAATTGATCCCTGACCTTGCTGGAACATATCTTTCCATTTTAATGGTGCTCATATTCATTATGCCCAATCTGTGAACATTTTTGGTGTCTTCCTGCTTTGTCTTGACAGCAGAGCAGAGAAACCATTTATTCAACAAGAATTTAAGATTATCACATAAAAGCACAAGTATCCCAGGTAATAAACCAGGCTGTTCTTCCCAGTTGAATTGTATGGTCACAGCAATATCCACTGAAGAACACTGTTCCTGCACTGATTTCTGCAGAATCAGGGTATAGCAGAACGAAAAGCACCAGCCACCCCAGAGACCCAAAACTCAAGACATGCAAGATGCTAAATTGATGGAACACCTGAACTTTAAAAGTGAAGGTGCACTGCACAAGTCATGTGGAGTATCCATCAAAGTCCATGGTGAGAAAAATCATGAAGACATGACATTTCTGAACTGGCCTCCTTCCTCTGCCCTTTTTCTCACTGCCAATATTGCATTTAGGGCTCTGCCATGCTAACAGCATAACAGATTAAATCACAGGAGCACTTACACCTTGTCTGCTGGGCAGGGGACTAAGAACTGACTTGCCAGGGAGCACAAGCTCTGCACAGGAGAGGGGGGGGGGGAGCAAAACATTCAATAAACTCAGCTGAGGGCTAGTATTTCTTTATTTCCATTTATATTTCGCAAATGGAATCACACCAGTGTAGCATTACAAATATTAAGTGTGCTAAAGGATGGTCAGGCAGGCAGCAGAAAATAAACATGTCAGTGATTAAGAACTGATCTCTTTATAGGAAGATTTTAGAACAAAAATCTCTGGCTGAAACACATCAAGTTGTCTAGTCATAAACGTTTCACTGATTTTACTTAGATGAATTTAAAATGTCTCTGTAAGATCTCAATGGAATTGTTCTGTGTCAATAAACTTTTGGTGATTGCAGTGAAGCAAAGGATGGGTAAGTGTATAAAAGTTGTGTGGTGAATAAAAATACAAATGTTTCCTTATTTGTCTTTTTCATGGAACAGTAATGTCTTGTGTCCCTTATTTGGCCTCTGTTTTTTTGATTTTTTTTTTTTTGTAAATTAGCATATTGTGAGCATTCACTGTACCACTTTCCTAAAGGAAGGAAAACAAACAGTATTATTCACATTCACAGATTTGCAAGGTTTGTTTGTTTTCTATAATCTAGTTCTTCAGTGTAGTTTGTTGGCCTGAAGAGACACATCAAAGGGGCTCTGTTTTCTGGAATACAGTTTTTACATGAGAAAATATATTTGGTATTTCAGCTGCTCATATCTCAGCAGAACGAATTTCAGGATATTTATCACCCACCTGTGTTTGACACAGCCCTGCTCCTGGAACTCCAGTGCTTATCCAACCCTTCAGTCTGTATTCAATCCTTATTTTAATTATTCTGTGAAGTAAATTCTGGTGGACACCAGGAGTGCCAGTGGCTGAGATTCTAGGAGGTCAGAGCCCTCTGAGCTCTTCCTTTTCAGATTTCAGAAGTGAAGGAAAAAAAAATAATTTCTCAGGCTGATTTACAACAGCACTCTGATAAAAATCACATCTGGGCTATTTTTTATACTAAATCACAGTTTTTACTAGACAAGCCACATTTAAAAAGCTGTAATTTTTCTGCAACCATAAAACAGGATAAAATACCCGTTTTGTTTAGCCCTGAGCCTGTAATCTCAGTGAGATCAGATTATAAATACTATAGCAGTCAAACATGATATGGTCTTATCAGGAGTTGCTATGCTCCTCCTGATTATTTTTCATTATTCTTGGTAAAATTCTGCTGTAAAACTTTGCATGTTGCCTCTTCACAAAGGAAGCTATTTTGTCAGCCAGGATATTTTTTCTCTAATTGGTACCATCTAATTAACCAGCTAATTCTTCTCCCCATATGGCAGGTATCGCCTGGCCGGCCTCCCAGGAGAGTACCAGTATAAAAACATCACCAGTGCAGAAATCAACTACTGCTTGGTGAAAGACCTGATCATTTGGACCCAGTATGAAATCCAGGTGGCATCTTACAACGGAGCTGGGCTGGGAGCCTTCAGCAGGCCTGTGACAGAGTACACCCTGCAGGGAGGTGAGCAAATCCCAGCAGGATCTCCTTGACCATCCCACAGCTTCCCCAGGGGATGTGCTGCCCACCTTAGAACCCAGGAAATCAATGGTCACTTCAGTCAAATTTGATAGACAGCTTGGAGCAGGGAGCACCTGCAAATTTCAAGTGCCTGGTCAGAGCCAAGTCTTTGCTCTATCTCTTGCAGAAAAAGCTGGGAGTGAAGGAAAAAAATTATCTGTTTTGTTGACCCTCGTGATGACGTGTTGGCACACTCCAGGTCAGAGTCGGCTGCAGCAGAAGGAATAAATAGAAATGCTGATGAGAGCTGGGGTCCTGGGGAATGGATTTATGGGACCTGTGACAGGCAGGGGCTGAGGTTACCCTGCCAGGAGAGTTAGAGAAAATATGGCAGGGAATTGGTTTTATCATGGCCAAGGCAAGCAAGATGTTGCATGTGCAGTGTAGGAGATAGAGTGAACCAGCTGCATTAGTTCTGATAATCACAGAAAACCTTGTTTTAGAAATATGGAATAAATTGTAAGGAAAGCATAGGGAGAGAAATACAACCTGTGGAGAAAGGGTTCTGAAGCATTTCAGCAATGGTGCAGATACTTTCAAAGGGGAAGATAAAATGATCTTTAAAGCCCTGATTTTTATGCTACAGCTCCTCCACACTTTTCTAAGTGCTTTAAGAAGAGTATAAATTATACCAACAAAAGGATATGTAATTACTTTTTACAACCAGTGTAAGGCATGTTTACACCTCTAGATTGGTATAAAAATCTGTAGGATAATTAAGTGCCAAGTCCTTAAGGCTTCCATATATTCCCATAATTGCAGGGTTGCGCTGGATGCTGAGCACTGGACAGTACACAGGCTCTACTTCGCTGGTCATAAAGCAATTATACTGTTTTAAAAACTTACAGATTTACAGTGCATCAGTTAATTTTCAATCAGTGAAGAAGATGTTTGTTAATTGTTGCTAGGAGTAGGTTATAGCATGATTAGATACAGTTTGAGGTGTAGGGAGATCTTTAAGAACAAATTATTCATACGCAACACTAATTAACCACAACAACTAGGGAAAGAACTATCTATATTTTGTCTTAGGGCATGTAAAGTCTCATAGTTCAGAGGAGCCTAGGCACACTCAACCTCATTCTAGAAGTATTTATAGCAGACCTTAAAATGTTTTTTCTTGAATTCTTCTCCTTCAGCCAGGATTAATTGTTTTCTATCCCACTAAACACCCGAGCTCTGCAGAGAATTGTTTTGCCCACAGAATTTGAATCCCTTTTGTGATGATGCTTGTAATTCATTACCTTGTTTATTTGCACATTTTAAGCTATCATAGTACCTTAACCTTCCATCTATTAAGGCCCAGGTTTGGACTTCACACTCTTTTTTCTTAAACCCTGTAATTGACTCTAATTTCCCTTGATATTATGTGCAGTTATTATCATCCTTTATTGATTGGCTGTCTGTTGTCATTTATAAGGGTATAAATCCTCTGTTATAAATTAGGTGTAGTCAGTCCTGCATTCATGTTAATCAACAAGAGTGTTTAGACTGCAGGCCAACCTGCAATGGCCTCTTTGGCTTCATGTAATTCCTCAGTGCTGGGTAGACAGAAAAAAAGCTGGATATTTCTGATTTATTTCATATTGGCATTTGCTAATAGCTGTTAATAACTACCTCATGGATGCTGCCACTTCTTGATGAACCTTGCTGGGTTCACCAAAGGTGTATGTCCTGTTTTTAAAAAAGTTTGAAGCCTTTTGACATTTAGGGCTGAAAAGGGAGACTGGTTGGCATAACTACAATTTGAAACTGGATTAATATCATGTTGTAATGTCTACTGTCCAAATCTCTGCTCCTTTATGTTTATTGTAGTTGAGAAAAGACAGGGAAATCTAGTGACTGTTTCTTGCTCCAGAATGTTTTTCCTAAACCAAACTAGCAGGAGTAAGAAAAAGCCATGTGTAAAACTGCCTTGTAAATCATATTCTGATTTTAATATGAGCAGAGATAAATGTCAAAGAGACACACTCCCATCCATCCCCCTCTCCTGCTACCACACCACCACTGCCTCTGCTCTGACGTGCATTAAATGATGTGAGCTGTGCTGGCAAGAACCTGTCTGTCCGCAGATGAAAAATACCTCAAACTCATCAAGTGTGCAGTGCAGGCAGAGCCTGGGAGGAAATGAACCCCGGGAGCAGATCAGCCCATTGGCAGGAGCACATCAGCATATTGGCACCTTTGTCATAGGGGGTATTGACTGGCCATATAAGCTGTGGATTTATACCAGGAGCTAGTCTATTAATCCCTTATTAGTCCTCTGGCATTGCTTTAGTCCACTGAAAACTAATAAGCTGCTCCAAGCTCCTCAAAAATCACCAACTTCCAGAACACAGCCAAGCTGAGGAGATGCTGAGGGATCTGAACTTGGGGGAAGCCAGTGCATTATGTCAGTGAGATAAAATGTCAGGAAGACTTACTGGCAGAGCACTGAACATCCCAGCACGAGGGTCAGACAGGTTGACTGCCTCTAAAATCTTGAAAGTCTTTTCAGAGTGATATTCAGCCTAATCCTTTGATGCTCTGTATATATAGGTCTTTCTTCATCAGAGTTTCTCCGGCTGTTCCTTGCTTTGATGTTACTTTTCACAGGGATTTGTGCCAGCCCTCTGCATAGGGCAATTTTACTTATTTAAGTCCTGCAGGACTTCTTGTTGCCCTATGAAAACCTGAAGTTTCCCCATACCTTTTCATGTAAGAACAGTTTTGTGAAGGTATAAACATCTTTCTGTGGTATCAATATTGTCTCTGCTCTGTACTGTTGGACATGTTTGCCTTTTTCTGCAGGTTGATTTGATAAAACAGCAAATTCCACCCCTTACTTTGGGTCTGTCCCTTTCATCTCACCACTGTGAATATCTCTGAACTTCTCCCTCTTTGAAAAACTCCCACCATGCCTTAGATTTAGGCAGGGCAAGGTTTACAAGTACAGATATTTCTTCCATTAGCCTTTCCATTGACATTAACCACTTCTGTCTCTACTTTTAGTGCTTTTTTTCTTTTGATGCATATCTTAAAAGCCAGTCTTATATCCTGAAGTTCAGAGATCTCAGCATGTATTTGAATGTTGTTTAGTTTTCCCTTCTTTGTTGTGCATGGACACCTTGCCAGGCCAAGAAGGTCTGAGCAAAAGTGAATAAAAGTTACCAGACTAGTGAGTCTTGATGGTGTGGAAAGGATAAAAGCAAGAGGAGTCTGTTCTGCCAGGTCCAAAGTAGCTTCTTCCTCAGGCACTATTGAGATTAATCAGAGAAATGTGTATGACTGAGGTAGAGGAGCCAGAAGAAACTCAGTTAACTGAAAGTTTCCTGCTTTATGTAGGAAATAATTCTGAAAAAGGAATCCCTGACTGCGAAGTGTCCTCTGCAGTCATTGACTTTATCTCGGTGAAAAGATATTTTCTTGGCAAAAATACCTTAAAGATCTTCTTTCACTTCCTTTGGGGAACCTCCCAACAGCCTTGGGGCACGTGTGGCTGTTTTGGGCCCCACTGCTCCTGTGCAGAAGCAGGTTGGAGTTGTAGTAGCTGGGTGGATTTTATCTTGCTAGATGTAATTTGCCATCTATTGCTTTTATTTTATTTTCAAATTATTTCACAAGGTGATGAAATTAGCAGATGTCTCAGAGAGGTCCCTGGCCCCCAGCTCTAAATAAAGAAATAAAATCTTGTCTGTGTGAGAGACATGCAGGAAAGGAAGGAGGCAGTTCCCAGCCTCAAGAAGCTGAATCTCACACTGCTGAATTTCAGAATTCACAATTTCAGATGTGTAGTGTTACAGAGACCACTTTTCCTAGGCACCCACTGCTGTTAAGAGCACAGCCCAGAACACCAGCAGGGAACAGAGGGGAAGAGGCTTCCCAGGAGGAATTACAGCTCCACATCCCCACCGCTCCCATGGGATGTGCAGCTCAGCACCTCAAGCTGATACATTTGAAGGAACAACCAAATCCTCCCCTAGAGGAAAACCTGCAGTTCCCTAAGCCTGCCTGAGACAGGCAAGCTGCCACCTCGAAGGTCAGGAGCTCCAGAGGAGCCTTTTTTGCAAGCCTGTGTTTAAGATCTATATTTAGGAGCAGGAGTCTGGCAGTCAGAAACTCCACGGGATTTCCATGCTGTTTGCACATGGCCAGAGACAGAATAATTCCATGTACACATGCTTAACCTCCGTGCCTTGTCTCCTCTCAATTATCTTGTCAGTGAAACCCTTTTAATGGTTTTTATCTAGAGTGCTTCCATGACCTTTTCTACTTGGAATGCTCTACATTAACCCGCAGTCCCGGGGGCTGAGCTCTCCGCAGATTTCCAACCACATGAACTTTATCAGGAGGAAACTAACAGTTGGTTGTGTCTGACCAATTTGATCTGCAGCTCTGAGATGACTCCCAGATGGATCTCCAGTGTGAGATGGCTTTGGAATACTTGCAGACATGATGAAGTGCAGGTTTAAAAGCTGGGAGTGTAAATACTTGGGGATTACTCTGTTTGTCATTGGCAGCTTCTGTACAGTTTGACAACAAATTTGTAGGAAGAGGACAGGCATCTACCACTAAATTAGAAAATCCTTTGTGCAGACAGCCACAGCTTCAGGAATTTTCTCTCCATGATCTTGGAAAAGTATCTGAGTTTTGAAGTGACCAGAAGGTCAATTCTGATTTAGCTTCCCTCAAACTTCTTTTCTTTTTAAAATGCAGAACTGCTCAGATACCTAAGGAAGTTTTTAATATCAGGACATAAAAGGAAAATTTTATACTGGCACTTTGAAGTAAATTTGAGATTATAATGCCAATATTTTACTGATTAAAAATATAAAAAAATGTATTACATTATGCCTTCTGCAGTATAATTAAGCTTGTGCATATCAGATGGACCATGTTTTTTCCATCTTTTAAATGCATTAATTGAGATGTAGATGTTGATTTTTCAATAAAGATATCCAAGGAGGAAATGTGATACAAATCATGATCTCCAGCATTCTGATGGTTTTATGTTTTCTGTTCATAATTTTTTTCCCCTTTCCTTATTACAGCAGGTATTTTCTCTGCTAACACCATATATTCTTGTTTCAGAAATGTATCTCCTAATGAACAAAAAATATTTCCCTTTTTTAAACAAATAACTAATGCATTTGGTTATCCACATTCCTAAAACTGTAGTAAACCTATCCTCAAGTGTTTGCCTGAGCTTTTTTGAGAACTGTGAGGACCACAAATGAAAACTTGGACCTTGGTGGTGCTCAGCTGGTTTAGCCTTCCTGGCAGGAGGAGATTAATATATCAGTGATATCCTGGTGAATTTCTGATAACAAACTAACATCAAGACCTGTAACAATTTTTTTCTGCAATAACAAATCTCTGGCAGTTGCAATATCTAAACATGCAAATATACAGGAAAGTAAGAACTTTGACTTTTAAAAAATTTTATGCAGGTTGACCATTAATTATATGAGGTATTGCACACAAAAGCAGATTCCAATATATCTTGTTTCATCAAGAACATGAATAAGAAAAAATGCATTTAGTGGGGCTGTAGCCAAAGCAACTCATTATGAATGTAGAGTGACTTTAGTATTTATGACTGTATGATGATTTGGTGAATCTCTTAGCTAGAAAAACTTTATGATGTCTACAGGTCATTCAGATAATAGTATAACCTTCCAAAAGCACACAGGGAATTATGATACATGGCAGGAAGTAGGGCACAGATTCTAATGAAAATTTAGAGTACTATCAGATAAACTCTGCTTTCAGAACTCAATAATTATGCATAGTTCATAAATTGTCACATCAAGTTTTAAATTAGGGCAAGAAGGTTCTGACTAATACGCAGCTACTGAGGTTTAAAAAAGTGTGCAGAGCAAAGTTGTGGAGCCATGGCAGAATCTTCAGGGAATTTTAATAACAGAGGGCACTGTCTGTCTTACTGTAGTGTCAACACTACTTAAGAATAATGCCCCTTTATGTCTCTTCCAAACAAATAATAACTTTTGGTGGGAAACGAGGCAGTTTTGCATTTTTGAACTTCTTTTCTTCATTTCTTCTCCACACAAAGACTTATCTTCCAAAAAGTACTTTGGAACTTTAAAAGTTTCTGCCCTGTTTTTGAAAAGTGTAGAGGAAACCACCATTTCTCAGTGGGAATCATGGATTCTCCTTAGAAGCACAGATCATTGGGCTTTGGTAGAAACATTTCCTTGGAAGCAGAAGGAACAAAGGCTTCCAGGCTTCAAAACCACTTGTGGATAGTTCCTCTTTCATAAAATACAAATGCACATGTCTGTCAATAGTGATATTTTTGAAGCATTATTAAGCTTATTTTATGGGATTTAAAGTGTCTTGGTCCATTTCTTTGTACTCAGATAGCAGTTTTCTTCTTAACATTACTATAAGCTTGATAATTTCAGAAAAATAGGCCTGTCTATTAATATTCTTTCCTCTGAGAACTATAGAAATGACATCTTAAAGCACTAAATTGAAGAAATTACTTGGAATGAGACATTTTATTAAATGGTGAAATATTTAAGGGCTGGTTTTGGTTGTTTGAAGGCAGCATGCCTTTATGTTCCATGCTTGCTTTTGTATTGAGAAAACATCTGTCTAATTAAATCCTTGGCATAAAATGTTTATGCAACTTTTAGTAGATTAGAGGATGTATTGGCTCAGGATATATATAATCAATTCAATATACATGAATGCATATCATATAGAGATAAAATGAAAACAACTCCCAATTCCCAAGAAAAATCTTTATTGCATGTGATATGACTGGTCCTAATTCTTTAAGCAGCAGTAAATAATAAACAGATGCTGTTGCCAGATTATAATTCACAATTAAAACCTTAATTGTGCAAACTCCATGTTTTCTTGTCTGATCTGGGGAATTGAGCAGCATTAAAGGACTCAGGAAATTTCTCTCAGAAACTCTTCATTCTCTGTGCACTCACGGATGACTGAAAGAGCTGTGCTCACCTGTCCGTACGTGGCTCCTGCCTCAAGTGTTTCTGAGAAACTCCTCTGCAGGATAATAAGCTGCAGATAATAAGCCTCTCCTCCCCTTGAAGGAATCTCCAGTACAGGATGAGAAATTAACCCAATTACCCAGCTTTCCAAATTGCTGCTGTTTCACAGGAACTGCACCCTTCTCTCAAGGTTGTTATTACTCTGTGACTTGCAGGTGACACTCAGGGGCTTCTGTGTAAATTTTTGTGGTTTTCCCTCATTCTCTCTTCTCTCTGTTTTTGTTTTGTTCCCTCTCTGCTCCTGGGAGCAGTGCCCACAGCTCCACCTCAGAATGTGCAGGTTGAAGCCGTGAATTCCACAACCATCCAGTTCCTCTGGAACCCTCCACCCCAGCAGTTCATCAATGGCATTAACCAAGGGTACAAGGTGAGTACAGACTCCAAATAATGTCTGCATGAACAGTCCTGGTGTAAGCCAGAATGTCAGCCTTATGATCTCTGAATCTCTAAAGCGACTCTGTGCATTCAGGAGTATCTTACACAGGTAAAATAAAGAGAGAAGTGAGCAGATGTTGCTCCTAGCAGGGCTTGGAGCAGCCTGGAATAGTGGAAGGTGCCCCTGCCCATGGCAGAGGTTTGAACTGGATGATCTTCAAGGTCCCTTCCAACCCAAACCATTCTATGATTCTAATATTTGCAGTTTATGTAAGTTCTGGAAAGGGAATGTGCCATAGCCTAGAAGTCCTTATACCTTTGTCATTTTCCTGGCAAGTTTCCAAAGCCAGAAAGCAATTCCATGTCAGTTTGGAAAGTCACCTCAGGAGACATGTCACTGTGGCACTGAAAACCAACCTTGAGGCTCCTGTTTATGCTAATGCAAAATCACCACTCATTTCATTGGAACACTAAATAATTGCCTCGACTTTCCCACTGTGCTGATCTGAGAGATTTAAGAATGTAGAATTTATTAATCAGGCAATATCTGTTAGAGTGCACAGAGCAGAGAGTGCTTAACAGAGCCTCTGACCAGTGGAGTGTTTGCTGAGGAACTGGGTAGGGTGGTTTGTTCTCAATAGAACCTCCATCAGTGATTCAGCAGTCAGAGCATAACAAATGAAGGGTTTAAAAACCTCCACAGGGAGAACAATGAGAAATCTTGCAGGAAATCAGAACAGAAAAAGGGAAGACAGGTGTGGTCTATGAGCAGGGAGAAGCAAGCTTAATTTGAGTGCTGGGTGAAGGGACATGGAGTGATTTGAGGAGGATGTTGTAGTTCAAAAGACAAGTTGTGAATTAAGGGATTGTACATGGATTTGAGATGTTTCAGAAGACTTGATCCTTCTCTAGGAACGTCTCAGAGTGACAGAGAAACTAAGACAGAGATATGCATGGGAATTTTGGTATTCCTGCCCAACCCAATGTATTTCTCAGGAGGACCAGCAGTGGTCTGAGAATCTCACTGCTGAAGAAGTAAATAAACACATGGAGATGTGTGTGTCTGCTTCTGGCAGGGATAGAATCAGCTCTCAAGGCTCAGTGACTGACAGGGCTGCAGCACAATACCCTGAAACTCCAGCACAGGAGTAGCACTTGGCTTCTGTTCTGACTCTGGAGAATAAAAGCACTTTTGAGGCTCAGTGGACTGCAGTGCACTGTAATTTTCTGGTGGAAGTCCAAGCACAGTGAGCCCACATTTGCAAAAGTCTTATTTCAGATTTTCATCCTCTGTTATATTCAGAGTTTCAGTCTAAAGATCCTTCATCTCATTGCATAGCTACCTTTAATTTTTGTTTCCATTTCTTCAGCAATGCTGTAAAAGAAGTAATTTTGTCATTTGAATCTGTCAGTGGACAATGAAAACTTCTGAAATTATCAAAATTTGTATTTCTTTGATTGCAATAAATTGCCATAGTTTTACCATCCTGTTTCTCTCAGGGGTTGGGAATTACAGTTCAAAAACTGTGTGAGATCATTTCTGTCACTGGTTTTTACAGAGTAACTTTTTGTATGATTTATAAATTTTTAGTAGTCAAAACCAGGCCTTTGCCTTTCTTAAGGATTAAACTCATTTTTTCCCTTAACTGACAGAAATGTTCACCTGCATTTTTCTGCACACATTTCCTCACAAACATCCACTCAAGAGTTCAGTCTTCCAAAGTTATAAATGCCAATTGAAATGCACAGAGGTGATTTAGAAAAGAAAATAAAATTTACAGTCCTCTTCAGCCATTATACATTTTTATCTTTTCTTTGAAATTTATTTGCATTTCAATAAGTTGTAAAGTGCACTTTCTCAAATATGAAATATTCCTAACAAAATTACTCTTTATAGTCTCCTAACTGTGCTTTCTGGTTATCAGATACGCTAGACATTGGCTAAATGTGTCAAATATGGCTTATTAATTTCAGGTATCTATTCATGTTTATGAGCCTGAAATCAATACAAGTAGCATGATTTATACAGATACTGAGTCAGACCTGGAATTCTAACATTCTCCTGCAAGCCACACGATAACGATTTTTGGACAAAATAAAAATTTCATAAACACTTTCAAGTTTTAGACCCCTAAGCCTTTAAGGCAATTTCAAAAATTGTTTCAGAATTTCAAAGTCGTTTGCCAAAAATGAATTTTTTAAGTCCTCATTTAGGTACCTACACATGAGGTATTGCACTCTCAGAGATATTGATCGCCCAGAACATCCACTGAGATGAATGAAACCTGGAAGACTGAGCTCCTCTGACAAGCACCCTATTTTAAATGCATGAAAATGTCTTCAGGAGTCTAACTTTTGGGACTCAGGTGTTGAAAATTGCAGTAATCATCTTTACAACCATTTCTCTATTCTTTCTGTAGTTCCAGAACCGCTTGAATCATTCACAGTGTGGATGTCCCCAGTCCACTGAGCTTGTAATGCTCCCAGCCTGTGAGGCAGGGCTGCTCACTGGGGTGCTGGGGGAGCTCTGGCAGGGGCAGGAAGGTGTGTGCGCCCCCATCTTGCTCCCTCTGATCCCAATAACCTCCCCAGACTGTGGGATCTCAAAGAAAATCCGATAAAGCATTTATGACAAAGTAGCACCGAAAGTGCTTTTCTTCAGCCTGCCTTCAGCAGCAGCAGAGACTGGCCAGGCTGATGAGACAAAAGGCTCACGTCATCTGAATAATGATTTGCCATAATTTTGGCACTGCTCAGCAGCAGCCATGGAGAATTGCAGTGCTGGTGCATCCCCATCAGCAGTGAGTGTTACAGACATCCCTCCAGTGTCACAGTGCTGCATCCATCTGTTCAGCATCAGAGCTGACAGAGGTTTAACAGCATTGCTTGGTTCCTTACAATCAGATTAAGACTGTTTTGGCAGCCAACCCGACTTTGATTCCAAATAGACACAACTTCTAATGAGAGCTCATCCATGTTTAAATTTCCCAGCTCCTGGCGTGGCCGGTGGATGCTCCCGAGAGTGTGACCGTGGTCACCATCGCTCCGGATTTCCATGGTGTCCACAGTGGCTGCATCACCAACCTGAGGAAGTTCACCAGCTACTACACCTCAGTGCTGTGCTTCACCACCCCAGGGGATGGCCCTCGGAGCCCTCCCCAGCTCCTGCGCACCCTGGAAGACAGTGAGTACCCACATTTTAAACCTCTCTGCTTCAAATTTGACCTCAGGCTCACAGCAATCTCTTCTCATAAGATCTCATGTCAGATGAAGACCTCAACCAGTTTTCCATGGGTGTTCTTTCAGCCTGTGGCAAATATTTGAGTTTTTTTGTTTCATTATGGACTAAACCTGGATGAATTTTATTTATATTGATGATTAGCTAAGAGCTTCATAGTCTGGTTCAGCCAACACACAGTGCATTATGTCTGCAAATCCTTGTGCTCTTAAATCCATGTTCAGGCACCTAAATAAATATGAATTAATCTTAGGAACTGAGCACTGGAACTTCCTGTGGAGGTCAATGATTCATTTACAGTTGTTTCCTGATGTTACTCAATAAATTAAAAGTGTATGTATCTATATTATTTTGCAAGTGTTTGTGTGAAAGAACCAGAATCACAGCATGGCAGTATCTTGCATCTGAAAAATGGGGGCAGGATTAAATAAAATGAAATTAATGGTTTAGCATGTAAATTATTTCCTGCATCAGAAAATGGTTTGGTCTCTATGACCCCTTGAAGTTGTTTCCTCAAGACATATTTGGGCCTAACATGTGCAGTGTGTGTCTGATGTGGATAAATTGACTGTGTCCACAGTGATCTTGGCTCTGGCCAGTGCTTCAGGAGCATTGTAAACACTGCTGCACATTTGCAGGTTTAAACCAGAATTAAAAGTGTCTAATTCATCCATTAAGATATTGTTTTTAGAAATACTACTCTGCCTTAATAGGGATCTTTTGGGTTAGTTAGTGTTCCCGTAAAGAAGAATCCAATTGTCATTAACATTCACAGGAGTGAGGCTAAAGTGCTAATCCAATTTTTCATTAAATACTTTTGAAGGAAACTGGAGAAAATTACTCTCCCATGCATTTTTACTAGTGTGGAAAAATGTACTCTCTATGTACTAGAACAGGTTGCCAGAGGTAGGAATTTGAGGACCAGAAATCTGTGTGAGCCACTAATCTGTGAGCCACTAATCCAAGTTGTGTGTCTGGGATGAAAGCAAAATTTGAGGTGGAAGGAGAAACATGCATTAGGTTCCTCTGTGCATTATCAGCTTTTTTGCCCATTTTCCTAAGGAAAAAAAGCTTTAGCCAGTGATGATTTGTAAATGTGTTTGAGTTCATCTGTCTTCTCCCTCTTGGCACAGTTGAATCCTGTGGTTGATCTCAGTGAGTGCAGAAGGGTAAGAAACCAGAGATACAAAACTCCTTGGATTTCATAAAAAGTTATCAGCTGGGAAGTGGAAAGAGACTGTCAATATTTCTGCTGAAGGAAAGGCTGCAGAAATGAAGCTTAAATGCTTTCCACAAAGTGGGAGCAGGGGCAGAGTCGTTGCCCTGTCTCATTGAGGCTCTCTCTGGGAAAAGCTGGGATCATGTGCCATTTTAAACACAAAGAATTCCACTGGGAAACATAAACCAAAAGAGAGCCAGACTTGTATTTTCTAGATTATCTGAGACATTTTTTGGTGTGTCCAGCTACATGCTGCAAGAAGCCTCAGCAGGAGAGATGAGCAGGGTTGATTTATTTATTTATAAATCCTGCAGAATTGCTTCTCTGGGTTTTCACAGAGTTCCGTGCAGGATGGTGTAATGCATTTTGGCAGAGAGCTCCTTGAAGCTGAGTTACTTCAGGATTTATGTGGTGGGAAAAAAGATTTGAAAGGCCTGTCATTCATGTCCACAGGTGATCATTTTCTGTCTGGATAGCAAAGTTAGGCAGTCCTTTAGGAAAACAGGGATCTGTTTGCTGACAAGCTGTAGGTCAGATAAAACCTGACATCTAGTCACAGGCATTGTGTCCTGGCCTGGAGTCACCTGCACCTGTGTTTCCTGGTGACTTTAAAATTGGGCCCCAACTGCAGGGGCTGATTGGAGCAAAGCTTTGTGAGTGTGTGGTTTCAATGTCTGCAGCTCCACAGTCCCAAACAGAGATAATTCCATGCTTTTGTTGGGCATTCCTGGGATCACTACGGGCTCAGCAGTTCTTCTGTGGTGCTTTGATTACTGGGTACTGCAGAGTGGGTTTGGGAATTTTCCTCCCTGGGACTGCAGAATTGCAAATGGGTTTGTAGCTGACCTACTGGCAGGATTTGGGATTTTTTTTGTCATAGCTGGAGGGGAACAAGAGGCTGGACTAAATTGAAGAGGAAACAAAACATGAAATTGCAGACAAGAAATTGCCAACTGATGTCAGTGGAGCTGGAGGATACTCGGGCAGGCATCCAATGACAGAAGCACAGTGAATATAAAGTGAACAAAACCTCCTTTTTCCAGTGCATCAGTTGAGGACAGAACAGCATTTGGATCAAAAATCAGTCAGGTTGTCTTCCTTGAAGATCAAAATTGAGGGAGGATGGCATATTCTTGACAGTCATTCCATTTTATGCTCTTTCATTGCACACTGGGGAGCTGAAATTTTTAAGAGCTCTTGAGCTACATCATAAAAACCCTTTAAAAAGTTTCACACACTTGTATTCATTTTACAGAAGACAGTTGCCATTATGTTGGACATTTTTAGAGTTGTTTTGAGGGAATTTATTCAAGCAGTGGCTCGTGACTCTGTCCTTGCTGTGACCTTGCATAGGGAAAAGGCTCTTTCCAGCTGAGAGGATTGCTGGCGGTGTTGCTGCACAAAACAGGGCAGGTAAACACCTCACAGGTATCCTCGAGGGAAAACAGTAATGCTGTTAGATCTCCACACATTTGGGATGATGACTGGGTGAAATAATTGACATGATGATAGCCAGAGTGTTTCTTCCCACCTTGCATTCTCCTCTCACTGAGGTTTCCAGCCTCACTTAGCCCTGGCTCAGGGACATATTTCTCCATCCCTAACCCTACCACATGAATCTGATCCCAGTTATTAACATCTTTCCTTTTCTGCTTTGCCAGAGCCAGGAGCTGTGGGACACCTGAGTTTCACTGAGATTCTGGACACCTCGCTCAAGGTCAGCTGGCAAGAACCTGTAGAGAAGAATGGCATCATCACAGGTATCAGCTGCTATCCCTGCTTTTACTCTTTTTTTTTTTTTTTTAATTCAGTGGCGGGGGGGGGGGGGGGGTGGAATGTGTTGTTGCAGTGAAAAACTGTGTAGTGGAGCATTTAGGGAGAATTTGGGCTATTGCTGGTTTCCTGGCCCCTCCTCTGGGTAATTGAGATGTCACCAGGGAGTGTTACACAAAGTACAGCTCCAATTACTGGCAGCTCATGATTGTGGTTACTGGAAAAGCAGTTTGTGTTAGAAATCAGCTCCCCACGGGGAGTCTGGTCTTGTTAGATCCTCTGTGACCTCCACCTGCTGTACTGAATTTTTGGAAATTTGGGAGACTGTGCTTGGCCTTTGCCCCAAGAGTGGGGGGTCCCTACTCAGAGCTCACAGGTGCAAAGTCTGGATTGGCGTTGCTGAGGTTTGCAATCAAGACCAAGCCTGAAATCAGCAGAATCCTTCCTCTGTGATCAAGTGGTCTGGCTGTGGACTGCGTGACAGAATTTGCATGTCATTACTTAATCTGTTATAAACTATCACAAGGGTTCAGAACTCTCTTGTTTCCCTTTGATGAGTCTGCCATTTGACAAGCTATTTATCTATTTACTGTGTGCCAGTGTAGATACAACAGCAGCAACTTCATTGTTTTTCAAAAAGGGAGGTATAAATACTTGAGGAAACCTCTAGTTCTTATCAACAGAGGCAATATTGTTTTCAGATGGGAAACTATTGCAGCTGCACAGGATGGACATTCCATTTAACAAAGGTTTTCAACGTTTTGAAGCACAAAAAAACTCCCAGATTTTAAATTACTGGAGGTAGTTGGGAAAGGAGAAAATAATTTCATGTGGATCAAAATATTTTGGGTTTAATTTTTTTAAATTGTGTTACCATTTTTTAAAATAAATTTTAGGAGTTTAAAAAAATCATATTTTCTGACCCTTCACCACTGAAATGTTATATCAGTCTAATTTCCTGAAGCATTTTAACTTTGACAGTTGTAATTATTTTGATAGGGTTTCACTTGTCAGTGTTTTCCTCTGTGTATCTGTGACGTGCACCATTTGTAGCTGTGTGCTCCAAGATGTTTGTGGAGTCCTCATGCAGATCATCTCCGGCCTCTCCACCATGGAAACCTGCTTGAAATATGCACTGATTTAAGTGGTTTGAGAATAGAAACTAATGACTCCTGAAAGCAGAGCAGTATTGATTCAGTGAGGATGGCCAAAGCTTTTCAAGCCCAATTGCTTAAATTTAGGTACCTCCACCCAGGATGATGTAATACTGATCCTTGTTAAGCAGCAGGTAGCAGCTCTGTGCTTGGTGTTGCAGAATTACTTTGCAAAAACAAGCTGTCCCCTCCCTGAATGGGTTGAAACCAGATGGAGCCAAAGGATGGACTGGGTTATATTTGGGGTAAATTGTTTCAGAAGGAATGACTTTCTCTTATTCAGGACAAAGCACCAGTGTGAAAATGCCCAGCAGAGTCTATAAGGAAAAAGAAACCTCCTTATTGATGCAAATTGCATTTGGGATAGAAGAACAGCAAAATTGTTTGTGCCCTGAGCACCTCAAAGGTTTAGAGAGGGCTGCTTGGAGATCTGAGTGCTCAGGGAGGCAATTATTCATCATTTCTGCTCGTTGATGTCTTTACTGGACCTTCTTGTTCCCTGCACGGGCGCTGGGAGGAGGGAAGCACGGACGGGGTGCCCAGCAGCCAACCTGCTCTGGGAAATTGCCCATTACTCTTGCTGTAAATCTCAGTATCTTCCTCGTTCCCTCAGCAAACGTTGATTTATGAGGATCTGGATGTGGACGGACAGTTTGTGATTGGGTGTAGTGCTCTCGTGTAGAGAATTTACTCCACATCAACAGAAAATTATTTCTGAAACTCCTCTGGTCATTAGTTCCCGTTAGGCAGTGTTTTGTGGAGTGCCAAAGGGTGGGGAAGGATCTGTGGCACCTCTTCTGTCCTCACTCACACCGAGCCAGGGGAAACCCTCTGGAAGATCCAGCTGTGCTCCCCACGCACGTTTCTGGCAGGGATCACATCTGGAACACAGGGAGTGTGTTCTCACCAGCCACATGGCCCAGAGTTCTGCCCAGCTGCCACTCAGTGTGGCTGAAGTGCTACTTGAGGGTGCAGTGCTTGTTGTTGCTTTCCTTCAGCACTTTTTTTTTCCATCTGTTTTTGTTATGCCTGATTGCATTTGGCTTTGTGTCTGCTCACTGTGTATGTACAGATTTTCTGTTCTCATCTTTTATATGACTGGAATTTAACTATGCATTGGGGACTGAAATCCCTGACAGTAAATACTGCCTCTTTGCCTTTTCTTCAATTTACACAGGAACTTGGGATATTTTTCTTGGTGAACATTTTTTTTTTTTTTTCACAGAAAATAAATACATAGGGACTATGTGCTTAATGGGCGGGAAAGCTGGGTCTCTTCTGTGGTCACAAGGGAGAAGAGATAAAATGTCCAAAGAATAATCACCAACATTTGATGTATAACCTAAGCTTATCCAGATGGGAGAGGAGATATCTCAATCACTGAAGATTGCCTGGTGTATACTGAGTGACACTTTCCATTGTCCGTAAGCAACAAATGGATAAAGGGAGCATTAAAAGTCCTCTGCTTATCTTCCTCTGGTTATTTATTGTCTGGAACAGGCTGCACCCACAGCTATTGAAAGAAGAGGGTGCTTGTGATGGTCCTTCTGTCTGCAACTCCTTCCTGCCTCTTGACTGAGCATCAAACGCAGGGGACAGTCAGCCCCCACCTTTCTGCTCATCCTCTGTTAATTCAGGCAACAGAGCCCTTAAATGTTGTCAAAATCTTCCTACAGGTTACAATCCTGTCTGTGCTGCATCAGCTCTGGTCTGGCAAATGATTCTTAAGTCTATTCAGAGAGCATCAAAACACCACAGTGTTTCCACGACATCAGTAAATTACTGAGTTAATTAATTCCCACTTAGACACTTGTTTAAATCTGGTTCCAGATGAGCATTCAGGAGATTTTCTCCTTCCCCTCTGCAGTGCAAAGTCAGAGGAGCATTTGTGGTGTAGCTGGAATTGTTGAAGCATCACCTCCCTTTATCACTGCCCCCTCACCTGAAATGTAATTAGTGACTGTGTGAGCACACTGAGCCTATTTTCGTGCAAAATCAGGTCAAGATGAATCCCTGTCAGTGACAGCAGCTCAAAAGAGAGGATGGAGAACATCTCACACCTCTCAGACTCTTGCAGAAATTTTTGTCTCACCATGCTTTTGGCTCCTGAGATGATGCTTTCTTGCTGGTTAATACCATGAAGGATTTTACTGCGTCAATTCATATATGTTAATCAGCTTATCATGTCTTTTTATTTTTAAAAAAAATTTTTAAAAATCCTTCGAGCTCTCCAACTGGTCTGAATTCCTCATCTTAGATGATGGGAACAGGAACCCAGTAGGGAGTTTCTCTAGCCAGTTTGCCTTGTGCATGGTTCACTCAGTGGGATTCCTTTCTGTTAGTCCTTTTCACTCACTTCAATTTCACAGGCATTCAAGAGCTATGTGTATTTTTTTTTTTTTCACCCTCTGAGTCAAATCACAAAGAAAGAGGCAATCAAGCAAACTTTTCAGACATGCTCTCCAAGGACTGGCACAGCGAGGTTCACGTGGGTTCAAATGAGAATAAAGTGGGACTGGGCAGGAGGAGGACAAGCAGATTTGGAGGTAAAATTGAGCAAATCAGACAGTGGAAAGTTTCAAAAGTTCTTGGAAGGCAAGTGGTTATCAAAGGGATAAAAAGGAAAGTCTGGGTATGATAGAAGAATAATATGGAGGTCAGGGCAGGTGTAGCTTTGGACAATGCGTTGGCTCCAAGATGGTTTTGAAAGAAAGGATAATGATTCACCCTGCTGAAGGATTTCTGCAAGGAACAAGCGGTGGGGAGTAGAGGTTTTTCAGTTCCTAGAAGATTCCCACAATGTTCCTGCCTGCTTGTTATTGTCAGATTTCTACATATTTCTAGATGGGCAGCACTGAAGGTTACTTCAGTATGCAAAAGGAGAAAGCCCTACTAAGCACATAGAGATTTTTAATTAGATATTCCAGTAGATATTACATTTTCCAGTGTTTCTTCCTGTTTGCTTTGTAGAGTTCACAGAATGAAAGTCCACCTTTCTGTCAGGTTATTTCCAGATTTCCAGGCCATTTCATACCAAACATAGAAAAAAAACACAGCTGAGACCTCGTGTCCTCCTGACAGGGAGACAGTGCTCTGTGGGGTACCTGCATCAATTGTTTATTGGAAATAAGAATATTTTAAAAATAGTTGGGTATTTTAGCCAGTGTTTACTTCAAGGAGGTTTTTTTTCTGTTTATAAAAGGTGATCACAAGGAATGGCATAAGGAACGATGATCCACCACTGCCCACCAGCCCACGCAGGAATTCTCTGGGTTATTGGTGTCCCCCTGATCTGTTTTGCAGGGTACCAGATCTCCTGGGAGGTGTATGGCAGGAACGAGTCCCGCCTGGCCCGCACCCTGTCCAACAGCACCCTGGAGTACAAGATCACAGGGCTGTCCTCCCTCACCACCTACACCATCGAGGTGGCGGCCGTGACCGCCCAGGGCAGCGGCTGGGTCACCTCCTCCACCATCTCCTCTGGAGTGCCCCCAGGTTGGTCAGCCTGCAGGAAACAAAACAGAACAATACCTGCTGGTTCTTGGTGTTTCTGTGTTCCAAAGGTCATGGGTTACTTCAGTTCAACGGCAATAAACATTATTTTATTTGTAAAGCACTGGAGTTCTTTGCCGCATAATTCAGATTTAATTCTTGGAACAGACGGAAATGTTAATGTGAAGATATTTGCAGTTTGAAATTTCCAGGAAGTTCAGGATGTTTAATACAAATACAAAAAAAAAAGTGTGGGTATGACAATGGAATGGACAAAGTAATAAAGTGGATACAATACAGAATCTCTTGACATTTACAAAGTGACATCAGAATGAAGTCTGAATCAATTCAAAGTGTTGCTTTTGGGGTAAAAACAGAGTTTGGGTGATATTAAAAGGGAAAGGATTTTCCATGTGGAAGTAATATAGCTTATGTCAACTATGAGTGGTTCACTTGTATAGTGAAACTAAAATCTTATTTACAAGAATTTGAAATTTTGGCCTGAAGAAGTATTTGAGAGGAGGCAGTTCTATCCCACATTGTCCGAGTTACCATTTGGGCACCTGTACATTTACCCTTTCTGTATTATGTTTTTAAAATTCTACACTCTGCCCCATCCAGTGTAAAAAGCAAACTAAACAGCCAATTCATACCTCAAATAAGCAGTTTCAGTTAATATAGAGGTTACAGAAGTAGAATTTTCCAAAGCGGAGCAGTTATTGCTCATCACTGAGGGAATCCAATTTTTCCATTCCCCAGTATTATTTCACTTTTCTGTGTGTCCTAAAGTATGTTTGCCCTTCTGTTCCCTAATCATGGGTAATTATGACAAGCTGCAGACTGGATCAATGCCATGATATCTGATGGCAGGGTGCCTGCCAGATAACAGCATTATCCCACTTGGGCAGGGTTAGTTGATCGATCATGGTTCCCACAAATGTGAAGTAAGAACCAAGAAATACTGTGCATACCTGAAATATGTGCCAAAACCCTGCCCATTGTTGGCCTTTTGCAGTTGCACAGGGTGCAGCATTATCATAAAATTGCAGAATGGTTTGGGTTGGAAGGGATCTGAAAGATAATTTAGTTCCAACCCCCTGCCATGGGCAGGGACACCTTCCACTATATAATTACTGATTATAATAGTTATTTCAATTAGTTATAAATGCAGGTGACTGTTGAGAATTTATTCTAAACACTCTATATTTAATCTCTTTCCTAAACTTGCTTTTGTTGTTAATTCAGATGATATTAAATATGTAAATGCCACTGTAATCTTGACTGATGGGAGGCAAAGATCTGACTGGGGCTTTTCCTCATAGGAGATCACCCTCTTTATTTGCTACAGGAATTGAAAAAAAAATAATCTACTTTAATCAGGCTTTAGAAATGCCCTGGAAAACCTAGATATTATAGGTCAATATTAAATACACTACCCAAAATTTTGAGGTTTTTTCCAGTTGTAGTTTCCAGTTGTAGTTGTATGTCCTCAAAGAAGTAAATAAACGTTATTGTAATTTAATTCTGGGGGAACATATTCAGTGGAATTAGGTGACTTGGCAGACCTGGAGCTGGGAAGTGCCTTCCCCCCCAGGACCACCAGGGTTTGTTCATTGGGAAGCTTCTCTAAAATAGTACCTGTAATTCTGTAGATGGGCTCTTTCTTTCCTCATTTGATCTGTAACAATGTGGTACATGCTCAGAAGGCAGAAATAGTAATGTTTTGAATAAAACTCTGCCAAAAAGAAAAAATAACCACAACTGGGGCAAACACATCCCTTTCTGCTGTGTTTTGGGGGGTTTTTTTATGTTGGAAACTGAAGGTCAGCTTGTGTTACTGGCTCCTAGACAAAGGGTGTTTCTACCTCTCATTTATTTTTCTGTTTCTTCAGAACTTCCAGGTGCTCCAACCAACCTGGTGATTTCCAACATCAGCCCTCGCTCTGCCACGCTTCAATTCCGCCCGGGATACGATGGCAAAACCTCCATCTCCAAGTGGATAGTGGAAGGCCAGGTATGTCCCTGACAAAATTATCTTAATGAAGTTTCTGGGGGGTTAAAAGAGCCTAACTAACTAATTCCTTTGGGATTTTCAGTTTTTGTTAAACTTTGAACCAGAGCTCCTCTATGAATGCTGGAGTTGCTGTTCAGGGGGTTCTGGGAAGGTTGGGATGCAGGGGAGTTTGAGAGGCTCAGTTCAGAAATGTCTGTGTCAGCCAGGGAGGAAAGGATCAGATGAATGCTGGGACTTCTGTTCAGAACAAGAGAAAAAAAGTGATATATAATATAAATGTGTATATGTATGTATGTGAGAATGCTTATCCTTTAAATAATTCACATGGGGTTTTGTTTATGTTCAGAACACCAGGTACAGCATAAACAGCACACACAGCAGAGCTTTAGTCCATCCTTCTATTTTATAAAGGATTTGAAACTTGTGTTTAGGTTCTGTGAGGTATCTTTTCAAAAGTTTGGAATTATTATCTCATAGATTCAGGAGTATAGCAAGAATTGCTCTGAACAGTAAAGATACCATTATTCATGAGATTGAGTGTATTTTTCTGTCTTGTAATGGAATATATCAAGGTTTTCTATCCTGGCCTCTAGATATGAATAGGATGAATTCTCTTCTCCATCAGCTTTAAACAATATCCCTCTTTCTGCTGTCATTATGCCTTGGAGGAGTTATATATTCCTCATTTGTTCTCCTGACAGATGAGCTTTGCTTCTTCCTTTCCTCCCACAGGTCTTTATAAATACTATAATCTGTTTTTAAGACCAAATGTTGGACTTCTTAAATCACCGTCACCACTTAGACATGTTGATACAATCACTTCACTTGGTAATGAGATTGTTGTGAACAAGTTGGTACATTTTGTGCCATTTATATATACATTATGGCAAATTACAGAATTAAACACCAAAATCCAATAATATGGTGGCTTAGCACATTCTGAGGAGCATTTTCCTGCTGGAACACTGTATTGATGTTGGTAGGAATTTGTTAATTCAGTGAGTTGCAGAATGCTGCTGAAGTGGAGCAAATTTGAATGCTTTAAAACTGCAGTGATAATTACCATGAAGTTCATCTGCATCCTTGAAGAGCCCTGGGTGCAAACAGTGGTTTGAACAGTCCTTGGTGTGCAGGGAGGGTCTTTCTTATTCACAAACCCTCACCAACATCTCATGAATCACTAGAAAAGTCCAGGGGTTCTTGGTTCTGACAGATCCAGGAATTATTTGTTCCTTTGGAGGAAGGAACACGGCCAAGTCCTTGTGGAATCTGGGCATTCCTTTTAACCACAGCAACCCTACAAGTTTCTGCTGCACCACACCTCACTTCTCAGCTTCAGCACAACAAGAAATGTTGCTCCTAGTGGATTTCAGGAAAAAATAAAAACTCTTGCTCACCTGATTAATGAAGATCAGTTCAGGTATGCAGTGAAATTGGTGAGTCCTCAAGGATATAGCAAATCCTGTTTCCAGGATGACAGCTGCATATAATCCTTTGTTCACAGCCCCTTTCTGCCAGCACTCCTCTCAAACTCTTTCTCTCTGAAAGTACAATTTCACAGAACTTTCAGCCAATCTAAAGCAGAGATCTGCTTGTCCTGTTCCTGCTCCCTCTCCCCATCCCACTTACCAAGACTTTTCCTCCTCCTGCCTTCTGTGTGTGCTGACACAGGATCAGTCCTGGAGCTGCTGCGAGCTTTGATCCAGCCAAGAACAAATGATTTTCAGACAGATCAACTCTGCACAGGCTGTGTGTGATCAGAACATCATTGTGAGGGGAGGGGGTGTGAACATGGCACTGGAAGCAGAGAAAAGGCCAGGAATGCCTCTGTCTCCACTTGGATCAAAACTGCCTTGGACCTGCCCACCTTTCAAAGAGCTTTTGCAAAATTGGTTTTTGCTGCCAGTGCCACCCCAGTCTCTAATTCTGCCTTTGATGTGGTCTGTTCTCAGCGGGGATTTGTCCATGCTGGGGTGCAGGCTGATGTTGCAACATCTGTATTTTAGCACAGACAACCATAATTGCTCCTCAGGACCGTGCTGGATTGAAGGGCTGTGGTTGTGCAATACTGGAATGGAGGGAGGGTTTTTGTCCTTCTGGATCTTTCATTCACTGACCCATGTACAGCTTTTAATAGCAATGTTAAGTGTTTCATGCCTTGGCTTTAAATTAAAAGCCACTTAAGGGGCGGTTTTGCACATTCTGATTTTAAAGCTGGTGGTATTGCCAAGGGACAGGATGACATTCAGCTATAAAACACTAATCTGTGATTTGGGCTCTTCACCTGTGTCCCTCCCCCTCTGTAAGCTGGGCAACACCTTTGTTTTGGACATCCCTGATAATTCTGACTCTTCTCTTCCATCTCTGCTGGGAATTTACCTTTCATTCTCAATGTCTGAGTCCTTACAGACAAAATTCAGCTGTTTTGTATTCACAAACACAACCAACCTGCCACCAACATGTTTTTCTTCTTTGCTCCTTTATTTGGCAGAAAGCTTCCTTGGTGAGGGCAGGTCTAGAAAACGTTCCAAGTGCTCCAGTTTGGCTGAGAGCCATTTTTGAAGTCTGATCCTTCATGAACAATTTGGATGAGAAACACAGCTGGGAATTCCAGCTGACGTGAAATTTTTGTGCATCTGGCCTTGGTTTCTGCCTTTTTGTTCCTGGGGTGTGAATTCATGGGAGCCACTGTGGAACTAATTCTCAATTATGTCAATGAACATGAGAGGAGATTGAGTCTTGAAGAGTTTAGTGTTGGTAGATATGAAATATCAAGCATTAAAAATCCCATTTCTGTGTTTCTAGCGAAGGCACATTCTGTACTTTTGAAGAGATTTTTTAAAAATCACTAGATTGTTTCTTTTCCATCATTTTATCTTGACTCAAGACTGGAGAAAACTGGATTTCCAAACAGAGAAATACAAACATGTACCAATGCTGTTTAAAAAATACTTCTAACATGTTTTTTTTCTATTACACAGAGTATCATTTAAAGGGAAGAGGCTCAAATGTAATATAAAGGTACCACTGACACTTGTTCAGAGTGACCAGCAGTCCCCCTGCCTTGTGGCATTGACACTCACAGGAAACTTGTTCCTCTACAAAGAATTTCAATAAATCCTTCCAGCCATCCTGTCCTCTCAGATGCAGTTAGAGCATATATTGCAAACTCCTTTTTTTGGCCAATTTTCTGCCAAGAGTGACTACAAATCCCTGCTGGTGTTCATGTAGTTTCATGTTTGCACTCTCTGGCAGTTGCAATCTAGTTTCTTGTTTTTCTTGTGTTGGATTTTTCCTGGGGTTTATTTTCAGGAAAAATGTGTATAAATTGATCATGGAATGGTTTGGGTTGGAAAGGACCTTGAGGATCCCTTATTTTCAACCCACCCTGGCTGTGCTTTCGTGGGTGCTCAGTCCACACCATCGAGCTGATTACAGAATCTGGGATAACTTCTGGTCAGTCAGGTGTGTTTTTCTGGTGATTAAATTATTTGCAGGCAGCACAAGACCTGCAGAATGACTGAAAGCTGTTTCCAAAGAGGCATCACATTTCTTGGAGCCATGAGTATATGGGCTATTATAGAGAGTTTTTGCTTAAAGCCTTTCTGCTGTTTTTAGAAATGTTTTTGTATGAATGTCATGGTGAGCAGGAGCAGAGTTTCAAAGTGGTAAAACCTTTAAAGTATTATCTCTGTGTTGCTTTCTAAAGCTGTGGTTGGGAAAGAAGTTGCAACTTTTCCCATGAATTTGTGTGGTTTTGTGGGTGAAGCCGGTGACCCAGATAGGATTCATCCATTGCACCAGGTGATTCTCTGGGTGTCGTTTTCACTTTGGAGCTGGTAAATAAAGTGTCTGAAACTCTGACAGTTTTATGCCCTTGACAATCTCTAAATCAAAAATGGCTGAATCGATGTAAGGATTTAGTGAGAAAAAAAATTGCACCGGGGCTGACATCCTCTGAACCAAATTTCTCCCAAAGTGATTTCAAATGTGTGAGTTATGGACCTCTAAAACGAAAACTCTGACACATCTTGAACTATAGCAGGACAAGGGCTACCTCTGTAATGTACAGAAACATTGTTTTCCTTTCCTGCAGTTAGTGCTTCATAACTGAAGTTCTGGAGGCGTTTCTGTCTTACACACATGATTTTTTCATGCCAAATTTTAATTTTTTGGGTTTTCTCTTTAAAATCAGAATTCTGCAACTTTGCTCATGCAGTGCATTCCATCAGAAAACGTTGAGTCATTTTATAAAATATGTAACGTTTTCCTTTTAAGAAACGGAGAAACTAATGCATGGGGAAGTAAAAGGTTCTGACATCACTCCCAATATTGTTTTACACTGTCTCATTTCTGCAATAATAAAAGAATATGCCCTTTTATTGGATGTATTGCCTTGGGAGCAGCTGAGGGATGGCAATGAATATGTGCTGAGCAGTGATGGCTGATGGTTGTTGAGCATTCTATGAGGTGTCTCATGGGACAGAGGTGTTTTTATTGTGGCAGTCCTGGGTCCCTGGGGGCTGTGGCTCCGTGGCACAGGGAACTGGGAAGGTGCAGAGTGTGTTCCTCGAGGAGTTTTTCTGCTGATGGTAACAGAAAAGCAGCTGGTGCCTCATCTGCCTCCCAAAACAAAGCACCCACAAGCGTGTGTGATGTGTCAACAAACACCATCCTGCTCTGAAGCGTGCATACACTGTTATACAAAAAAACAGCTACGAGAAAGAAAAGCCTTTAACTTCACTTGATGTTCTGCAGAGCATCTCAGAGTGGGCTCTCCTGCCCCTCAAAGGGATCTTTTATCCCAACCACTGCCCGTGGTTCTTTCTGCCTCGTGGGAATCCCTTTGTACTCTGATTCTTGAAACTGATAAGTTTCCTCTGATCTGGCATCAGAGTGTTTCAGTAAAAATAGTTTCCTTTTCCTTCCACAGCCTGAAACTTGGAATCTGCTATAGATTTTGTGGAAGTTAAAAATATAAAGTCCATCGCTGAAGGGTTTCTTCTAAGGCTTGCTTCTGAGATCACATACGTATATATATATATATATGAAATAAATAAATGAAACTTCTTCTGAGCAACATGGACCTAGTACAAGATCCTTAATATTTCCACCTTTGCAGCCCACCAGAAAATGTCTCACAGAGGCAATGTCAGCCCTGCTGGGCCTTGTGGTCCTTAATGTGTATTAATGACCTGCCTGCTCTGCACAGCAATTGCAACCTGTGGGCCTTTTTTTGGGGTTTTTTTCTCATTATTTTCTTAGGTAAGAAATATTTTAAAAGCTCTTACTGCTCTTAGAATACAAAAAAGACAACTTAGTCACCACAGGAGAATATTTGCAGCCTCCAGAGCACTGTGGATTGTTGCTATACAATTACTGCAGCACTTGGAGGTGATGCTGTTACATCCAAAATTTGCAAAAATAAGCATTTGCTATAGACTTCCTACAGTATTAATAGAAAATTCATTTAATAAAAAGTGTTCTGTTTCCTTGACTGAAATCAACACTCTCATCCTTTCTTTGTGTAGGGCTTTTTTTTTTCTTTTAAATCTCTTTATTAACTCTTTGTTCTGCAGGTTCAGTTTAGGGATGTTCTGTTTTACTGTGCAGATCTGTCTCAGCTTGTTTCCCTTCAGCTTCCACATCCATGGTCTTCACTACTTTTAATGGAGCTTAGTTAGGACTAGAAATTTTAAAGGTCCATAATTTTCACTACCATCTATTTTGTATGTTGTTTAGTGTCTGGCAGTGACCTTGATCCCCAAAAAGTCTTAAAGGCCCATCAAGAGCTGTTCAGCCACATCCTCCATGGAATCAGTGTTCTGCTGGGAAGATCAGAGAGGTTTCTTTCCACAGTGCAGTGCAGAACTTACTTCTCTGGCCTAATTTTCTTTGTGTCATTTCTTCATGCACAAACATAAATATGCAGCACATCAAGTCCTGAGTGAGCGAAGAACTAAAACATCTATAAATAAATCAGGCTGCTTCTTCTGAAGGGGGAAAAAAAAAGAAAAGAGTGAATGAAACCTAATTTTCTATTTGAAGTACTTGGGGTATGAGATACTTGGGGCTGTGGTGCCTGTCGAGTGTTTGACAGTGTCTGTGGCTGTAACTCGTACACAGAAGTTGCAAGGGATCTGTTTCAAAAAGATTAAAGGAAATGGCTCTTTACACAGTGGGTTGTGAGCTTCTGGAATGAGTTGCCACAGCAGCCTGTGGGAGTAGATAGTGTCAGTGGGTTAAAAAGGGGTGAGGGGTCTTCGTGGATGTGAAATCTGTGAATAGACACTGAAGGGAGGAGCTGCCCAGGTACCCCCTGGTACCCTTCAGCCCCTGACTGTGGGTACCAGGGAGAGGGAATTGGGCTACACCCACCCTTTGTGGTGGGGTTGGAACACCAGAGGAACATGCTCAGTGTTGGGGAGTTATTCCAGGAGCTTTGCCTGAGCTGCCCTGGGTTTCAGCACCTGCAAATCTCCAAAGTGAAGCCCAGCCATCCAGGCTCTCTCTTCTCCCCTTCTCCACACTCCTCCCATGGCTCTCAGGCACAGCCCTGCACATGCATGCTGCACATCTTCCAGCCTCTCTCTCATTCCCTGTTGGTTTCCTTTAAAGTCCTGATTCACCTTCATTTAATCTCCAGAAAGCTGCACAGAAAGCAATGCTCAATTCTCATCAGTGTTCAGTCCCTGCTAACGCTGCTGTGGCTGAGGGCCCATGTTGGGCAACATGTTGTGATTGATTACTACAAAGGGTTGCTCATGGAAAAGTCTGGTCTAAGTGCAGAGCAGCAGATGAGGTTAAAACACTTTTGTTCTTTGACTTTGTTCTTGTTTCTCTGTCTTCATTTCCATGGCATTTTGCCTCCATTGAGACTTACTTAATATGCATCAGTTCCTGCGAGTTATTATCAAGGCTATTTTTCATTCTCTTATATTACTACTTGATACTTTTGTATTGTGGCAGGAAGATTGAACAGGGTATTATTGCTCTCATGTGTTTTTTCTGGAATGGATCTTATCACAGGATCCAGTGAAGTCCCATCAGGTACAAGGAGACTTGGCTGGGTTTCCTCTTTACAAATAACTAGGCATATAAAAAATAGTACTAAATGTGTTTAACAGCATTTGTGCTTCCACTGCTGTGATGACACACATTGCAAAAGAGGTTATATGTATTTATTTTTATATATATTTATAACCTACTTTGTATTCCTTCCAACCTTTCCTTTGTACAGGTTGGTGTGCTGGGTGATGAAGAAGAATGGGTCACTCTTCATGAGGTGGAGAATGAACCTGATGCTCAGATGCTGGAGGTACCAAACCTCACTCCTTACACTCATTACAGGTAAGAACAGCAGATTCTGTAACATGAAAAAAAAAAAAAGAGTAAATAGTAGCATGAAACAGCTTTCCTAATCAGAAACATCTAATGGGTTTTAGAATCTGAACGCAAGGGAAAAGCTGTGCTGTTTTCATAGGTTATACCTAAAATTACCAATCTGATATCGTTAATTGTAATTAACATAAAATCCGGTTGATAAGACTGAGAAGGAAATTCAAGTGCTCAATGAGATGCTTTTAAAAGTAACTGCTATCCTGTGACTTCTCTCCCTGAAGAGAGCACCAGTGGAACATCAGCCAGTGACAAATCAATCGTAGTTAAACTGGTGCAAACCTGTAATTACATATTTGCATCAGCTTAAACATCTCTTTATTGATTTAACTTAATTTGGTAACATCAGTTAGATTAAACCTTTGTTTATAGGAATTTACCAAGTTAAGCTTAATAGATATAAGCAATGCCTAAACTGATTGAGGTGACTCTGCATTGTGGGTGCACCCCAGTTAAACAAGATTGATTTTTAAATCAATCCAATCCAAGTGATGCTGTGGTATAGACAAGACTGGAGAATTTGAGGTACTCAACCCTAATGAAAAATACTTTCATGATCCAGCTTGCTAATGTAGAGGCTAGTGGAAAGGAAATCCAGTGGCAAGTGTTAAATCAGCATTCTAGAAACTTGACCATTTTGTGCTGGCTGAAGGGGCTATTAACTAACCCATGTGCTGTTGTAAGCCAGGAGTAGGTGCAACCAAGGAGAGCTCATGTAATTTACAACTGACTCCGTGCTGGCATGTAATTCTTCTCCCTTGGTCACAAATTTAGGAATATATTGAATTTCTCACTAACTCTCCACTGAAGTGTTTTAAACCTCATCTTCCAGAGCTAAACATTTTACTAAAAGGTCTTTGAATTTTTTTTTTTTTTAACTTAAATAGAGATTTCTGGTGCAGAGGTTTAGGAAAATTATCTTCAGGTTGAGAGGATTTTGCTCTTCTCATAAAGAGAGATCCCAAAAGCTGAAAAAGCAGGGGTGAGCAGGAAAGTGCAGGCTGTACCACAGTTCAACCTTCACTATCCATAAAGAATAAGAAAACTTGCACACCCAGACAGGTCCATGGAGAAACATCTTTGGAATAGCAAAAAATGAAGAATATGAGAAATTTGGGGTGATTGTTTTTCCCCTTTTGTTAAATTTCTTGGCTTATTTTATTCTTGCATCTCATTTGCCTCTTGTTTTCATTAGATTCTGGAACGGCCTCATTTTCACACATCCACTTTTGACTTTTTTTCATTTCAAGGCAACTCCTTGAGTTTTGCCTGTTTTTTTGTCTCTCCGGCATGCACAGATAGGAACTTTTTCAGTTTTTCTTCAGTGTTGACCAATTTTATACAAATTTTGTAAACCTAGAAAGCTGTTGCCAAATGAATTTGTTGTCCCCTGATCAGCTTCAATTGTTGCTCAGTGAGAAAATGCATGGTGAGAGCTGATTATCAGAGCACATCTTTACAGGCCATTCTTCTTTCCTATATTTTGGGCCAGTGTTTGAGGGTGAAATCAGGACAGTATTTTTTTAATGTGTTTCCTTCAGTGAACTTTGGAGGGAGATCAGAGCAGGTAAAAAAGCACTGCTGTGTTGACTGGCTCATTCTTTTCCCAAGTTCAGTCATTAGCTCCAAAAATTAAGGGTTTAATATGAGCAGGTCACATATTTTATGTGCAAGTGCTGGGTGCTTCCAGTTGCTTGTGATGGGTGAGAGTGTCTGAAATATACAGCACATCTTAATTATGTGCTGCTCCTTGTAAAAAAAGATTTCCCTAAATCTTTTGTGACCCAATAAGGATTTCTATTGTAGAAGAGATGGTTTCAAGCAGACAGGGTATTTTTTAAAGATGCATATCCATATTAAATAACTTAATCTTTCTTGTGCAGGAAGGCTGAAAATGCAGCACGGGGATAAATCAGCCTCTTTCAACGCGTAATTGAGGGGAAATGTTATCACCAGTGTATTTTTTATATTGACAGGGAATGAGACTATCTGAAGTTTGATATTTTAATACCTTTCTGAATGTATTGTATAAGCATCACCAGAGAAAATCACTTACTGCCAGCATAAGCTCATCAAGCTTGGTATAATTAACATAAATTTCTCACACAAATACCTAAGTTTCTAATAGACCCTAAGCTAATCTCATTTTCATTTTTTAAATACCTGAGAGGATCTGAAAGCAGTTACCATCAAGCATTCAGCAGCGAATACAAAGGGGACCCGCGTGCGGCGACCTTTGCGGAACGTTTCGAAAGCCGCTAATTCGTATTTTTCCACGCGTCCTCCCTCCCTGGAGAAGCGAGGGAGCATTCCCCGAGCCCTGACAGCAGCACTCAGTGCCTCTTTTCCCCCCTTGCTCCAGGTTCCGGATGCGGCAGGTGAACGTGGTGGGCCCCAGCCCACTGAGCCAACCCTCGCGGGTCATCCAGACCCTGCAGGCACCGCCGGACGTGGCCCCCGGCAGCGTCACCGTGCGCACGGCCAGCGAGACCAGCCTGTGGCTGCGATGGGTGGTGAGCAGCCCGAGGGACGTGGGGATGGGGATGGGGATGGGGCTGCTCCCCCAGAGTCTGGGCAGCCCTCCCAAAGTGCCTCCTCCTCCTCCTCCTCCTCCTCATGGTGCAAAGGAGCAACGGCCAAATTGTTTCCTTTTCCAGACTAGTCGGAAATCTGAGCCTTGCCTTAAGTGCCTTATTAATCAAATAAATTGCCTACTGCCACTGTTTCTGCCACTTCATCAGGGGAATGTGGCTGCATGTAAAAGCTTGGCTTTGAGGAGCTCCAGGACCACAGTCTGGGTCAGCACATGGGGCAGGAACGGGCCACTCCAGCCAATTTGCCGCTTTCCAGGGCTCGGTTGTTTGCCCTGTACAAAACGGTCCTCAGAAGGTGCACCCCAGCCATGGGCAGCATCCTGTGCTTCTCAGAGCTGTGGTGCAGCAGCGAGGCTGGCTCTCCTGTGGGAAGATTAGATTTAGCTGAATCGGTGTGGAATTATGCGCTAAAGTGCAGAGATAAATGATTAATTGTGAAGATGCGGCAATTGCTGACATCACTGTGCCCCTTTGCCCGTCTCAGTTACCTGCAGAGTTGCCACTTTGGGATTTACTTGGCAATTAACCTGCTCCAGAATGGTTTTTTTTCACCCCTGTTAGGCAGAGTTTTCCATCGGGGTTACTGTGGTGTGAAGTTGATGAAGCACAGGTTTCGTTTTGCCCAAATGTTAGCTTTTCCATGCATAAACTCATTATGGCTGGAAGTCAAAATCAGGCTGGGGACAAGAGGGTTTTTCTACTGTTGGAAAGGAATAATTCCAGTTTCTCAACAGGACACTACACTTAATGCTGAACCTTGGCAGACCAAAACCTGAAGATTGAAGGTGTTGCCTCACTACCCACAGATGAGCCATTGCAGTTCCATTGAGAGGCCCCACACAACTGTCATGGCTTTTCTGTGTGAATATCATGCCCATGTTGGTACTATATCCATACCTACATATCTTCCATCAAAATTAACTCCAGGTTGTTTTAAGAGCCTTTAAAGCATTAAGATTGTGTTACCTGAAAGCCTATTTTCCTTGAGTCAATTTGTAGAGTTCAGGAGAAGCAACAGCCACAGCTAAAGATGACCTGATAAACGCTTTTCATGGTTAATAACATCAATATCTGAAAGTATTTAATGTCTTTTATTTCAAGACCTGCAGGTGCATCTGTTTTCCCCTGAGAGCTGGGGATTCCTCCCTTCCTGCAGAATGAGGGTCATGCTTCTAGCCCTGCATGCCTGCGGGGTAGAGTCTTCTAAGCTGTGAAATGTTAATGTGCATACAGCTTTCCCAGTGAATCAGAGCTGAATCTCAGCCATCCGTGGCATCGTGTAGTTAGTTTTACAGCAGAAAAACTCCAAACTTCATGAAGTAGGCTAATTATTTCATATTTTAATCTCTGAAATTGCTTGGGGAGTTAGAATACTAGAATGAATCTCTACTGATAAATGAGTAGGCAGAGAGTCAGTAAAAAAAAGGCAAAAAATGTACGATAAATGAATTTGTCACATGCTTCAGCAATTTATCATTCATTTCCATAATTAATCACAAAGCTCTGAAATACATTGTATTCATATCATCTCTGTTGATATGAATACACCCACAGCAAAGGGCTTGGTTTTGTGAGCAAACCTCCTTGGCTCAAAATTAAGGTAAAAAATCAAAAGAAAAATACCAAACGTAGAAATCACAAAGCATAAACCACGAAATCAACCTCTTGATCATTTTTGCCTTGCTATGGCCGGTACGTGGGTTCAGGCAGCCGTGCAGAGCCCTGGCCGTGTGCTGACGGGAACGTTGTGCTTTCCTGTCGCCCGCCAGCCGCTGCCCGACACGCAGTACAACGGGAACCCCGAGTCGGTGGGGTACAGGATCCGGGCGTGGCGCGCGGACCTGCCGGCCCCAGCCCTGCTGAAGGTGCTCGCCGACCGCCTGGCACGGGAGTGCACGCTGGAGGAGCTGCAGGAGTGGACCGAGTACGAGCTGCAGATCCAGGCCTTCAACGCCATCGGGGCAGGGCCCTGGAGCGAGGCCGTCAGAGGTCGGACACGCGAGTCGGGTGAGTCCAAGCGCAGAAAACCCAGGAAATTCACCACTTTCTGCCCTTTCGTTCAGATTTTAACTTTTACGTTTGGTGTTTCGAAGTTGGGCAGGGGTTTTTTGCTTGCTTAGCCGTGAAATCTGAAATTAAATTTTAAAAAAAGCTATCTTGAGATGCACTTCAGGCAAAAAGACATACAGACATTTGAAGGGTTATTTCGGTTTTTTTTATTCCTACCTTGCTTTCATGCACAAACCTTCAGGTTTTTTATTTAAAGCAAACAGAACAACCTCTCCCCATATCTGCCCCAGTGTGGACAGCACAAAGAGAAGCTAGTATAGAGACTTTTGTGACTGAGATGCTCTCTCATGCCTCCTCTTCTCCCCAATACTCCATTTACCCTAATCCTCCTCTTTTCCCCATCTACTTCTAGCTTGAGGCACATTCTCTCACGGCTGTGGTTACCTGAAATTTCATTTCAAGCACCATATGATTCTAAAAGGGCACAAGTCACATTTGAGAGCTGATTACACAGAGAGAAATAAAATAATTATCTGGGCTTCTGATGGCACGTTTTCAAACCTGCCTTCCAAAATTGTGTGTACAAGGCTGCGTAGACATAACCTGCTCACAGACCTGGAGCAGCAGGGCTGTATTGTTGAGCTGAATTGTCCAGGCAAGCACAGAGACTTCAAATATCAGAAGGAAGCTGTCACTCTCAGGCAACAGTAAATTACTGTTAGCTCAGGAGAACAGTGAAGGCAGATGTTGAAAAGCTGCTCTCTAGCTGTTGACTTCCCCAAAACTTATTTCCAGACGTACTCTACTTGCACCTGGGAAATGAAAAGTTATGTTGCAAGTTAGCAACAAAGTGGGTGACATGTGCAGTTTAAAAGTTTAATAATAAATCTATTTGTGGCACTTCTTTGTGCAAGGTTCAATGCTGATTTTTTTTTTCCTGGTTTGGTTTGGTTTTTTGGGGTTTTTTTTTGCAATTTTTTTTTGTTAAAGAAGTTTTGGGATTAATCCCATGCATGCCTGATGTATGCATGTCTGTGCCCTGTGTACCACACAGTGCTCCTTGGTGGGAAGCGAGACCAGGCTCAGCAGGGCTTGGTCTGCTGGTTCAGATAACTCTGCTTTGAACTAGCCAGGGAGAAAGTTAACAAAGTCATCCCCCTCCATTGAAGTGTTGCTCTTTGGGAAGGAGTAATTGGAAAGCGATTGCCAGAGGTATTTTAAAGAAGGCTTGTGCTGGAGTTAGAGATAGCACAACCCAGACAAAGCAGTTCTGTGTCGTAATAAAAAGATATCACAGCCTCCACTTTCGCCTCTCCGCTGCTCTTCAAACACTTCTTTTGAAATGTAGTAAATACTAAGATTAAGTCATTTCATAAAACCTTAGGATTGCAGCACTCTTGCTCAGCATCTAAAGATCAGAGGTTATGCGTGGATCTGGCATTTTCTCTGGGAGTATTAAGAGAAGGTTGACTTGAAACTGATTGTAGGAGGCACACAGAACCCAGGATCAAAATAATACAAAGCTGTGATCTAGGCCGTAAGGACTCGTTTGGTTTTCTCCATGTGTTTGCTTTGATACTGACATCTGATTTCCTGCACAGAGCAAGTCGGGGCTCAGACTTTTGGCTGTATCTTCCTAGATTTAGAATATACAAGATGTGCTGGCTTAGCAGCAAACTGTATGAAAGCACTTCAGGGAATCTGGAATTAACCTGTATGCACAGTCAAATGGGGTTAAAATGCAAATAAAAGATATTTAAAGCCGGAGAGAAAGGTTAAAGCACTTTTGGGTCTGTCTTTGGAACTATAAGAAAAATTCTATTTATCGCTTATGTTCTCCAAGCACTTCAAAATATTTATTTTTCAGTTTTTTTAGATACAGAGTCTTAGGGAAGTTGGTTTGCTGGTGCTGAGGATTGTAAACTTGCCACACCACTGGCCAGAGGTGCCTTGGCCAGGATCGTGTGGCGCTTCCTTGGCACAACTCCTGGTTCCATGTCTTACACCATTCAAGGAGATAAGGAGTAGAGCCCAGGCACTAAACCAGGTCGTGGTATCTGATGGCAGTGCAACCACTGGAGCCCAAAATCTTTATTGAAAATAAAGCTCTGTTTGAGCATTTGTTTGCTTTAGCTTGTGCAATCACAGCAGTGATAGCTGAGCACAAATGCCAACAACAATAGTGGGACATGTCATTACAAGTACTCACTGGTTTCTGAAGCTCTTGAATATATAAAACAAATCAAAACCAAAGAAACTATGAGGGAATAAATAATGCTGTAGGTTTGGGTGACACTGGCTTGAAAAACAATTGGGAATTTCTAAAATGAGAATCTGGGATAGGGTTGCAAGCAGCTGAAGGCAGAGGGAGATGAATTAGGATTTTTAAACAGGACAGGTTCTATCAATCCAAAATGTTTTTGTAATGTTAGAAATTAAATAGCTCATTAAATTTTACAGTGTAAAATAACTTCAGAGTAACAAGCTCAGTTTCCACTCAATAAATTGACAACGACAGTAGGTCCAATATAGAGAAAGCAAGAAATTGCAGAGGCATCTGATGTATTAGAACAACCTTGGCAGGGCTGCTTCCTCTTAGATGCAGACCCTGTTGCTTTCAAAAAAATTCATCTCAGATACACCTAACCCAGTGCCTTAATGGATTTTGTGTTCTTAATATTCAGCTACATGAATGTGTACACTTGTCTTACAGGATGAGCTACTGTAGGAGCGTGGTCACACATCCATGGCAAGGATCAATCTCCTGGAGCTTGGGAGTCTGACCTTCACAGAGCAGTTACTGTGCTGTGATGGAGCATCTCTTGATAATTCACATGTGGTCCAGTGTCACTGTGGGAATTTGTCAGTTTGTACAAGCTGAGGATTTGGCCTGCAGTACCTAATTTTATAGGCAAAGTGGATGTGTGCTGCAGCTATGCTACTTTTGCTGTGAACCTTGCTGGAAATTTGCCCTTCTTAGCAGACGTCAGATGTACAATGTGCCACTTTAATTTTTGCTTTCAAAAAGAATGAGGGATGTCCAGCTAAAATGAGCAGCAAAAATGCAGAGAACCACTGCATCTCACTCTCTAGCTTTCCTAGAAAGCCAGAATACAGACTAGCTTATTAAAAGCTCCTTTTGGCCCAGTTAGAGACATAAAACGACATCATTTGCTGTACATCAGATGTGGCTGTGTCAGATGTAGAAAGAAGATGCATGATTTTAGATGCCAAAGTGGATAACCTTAAAAACCTGAGCTCTTATTGACATTCCAGTGCAAAGTGCCAGTAAGTCTGTGATTTCCTACGTTTGATCTTCTGAAGTGCTCCGTGCTGGCACTTTGCTGGATTAGCTCACCGTTTAGTTTCCGTGTTTCTGGTTCATTTTGTTCATGCTCTGGGATTTTTTTGGACACTGTTGCTTGTCTTCTGTGCTGTTCTTGCAGGTTATTAATGAGAACTCAGCTTTTTGGAGCTTATAACAAAGTCTTCAGTGCAACAGTTTTAGGAAACCAGCATTAGAGAAGGGAGTTTGCAAAGGAAAGAAGGGATTATGTGCCTTACTCACTAATTAGTCTTAGCAAACTATAATTTCTTCAAATTACAGCTTCCTGAGAGAGGAGATGGGTCAGAGAAATGAAGGTTGCCTTTCAACTCATTCTTTTAAGGGTCGATCAAAGTCTGTTACTTGATAAAAGGCTGGCAACAATAAGATCCATAAAATCACTTGCAGTTCCTGAACTCATATAGAATCAAATTCTCGACACTGAGGTGAGGACTGAAGATTTAAAGCTTGCTCAATGAACACAAGGATTTTTACCATTCAGGCATTGGACTCAGATTTCTTTTCAGTGAGAGGGGGCATTCAGCTGCTCTGTCACTGGGAATTGAGAGGGGTCTGAGCTAATGAACCTTCTTCTCTCCTTTGTCAGCTCTCCAGTGCCCCACCAGCAGTGTGACCATCCTCACCTCCAAGCCAGGATGCCCTCGGGGCCACCCCGGGCACAGCCTCTACCTTCTGTAAATTCAGGAGAGTTCCTGGCTGCTGATCAGAGAGGAAAATAAATATTTGTAAAATAAAGTAACTTTTTCTCTTTTGAAAGGCCTAAAACCAGATAAAATAGAAATAAATGTGACTGGAAAGGGCTTCTTTCCTCCACACATCCTGGTTTCTTGCTGCCCACCTCCACCCTTTCTCTCTCCAAGAGTGATTCATGTGGGAGTAGCTCTTTGTGAAGATCTACAGATAAAGTTATGGCAGCTATCCAAAGACATTCATGGCTCCTGGCAATCTAGTTTCCTTTAACATAATTATATCCTTGTGGGGGATAAATCTGGGAGAAGATTTAAAAAAAAAAAGACACTTCAGTGTTGGAGGGGGGAAAAAATTTGATTTCAGTCTGCTGCAGTGTCATGTGATGGTGCTCTGTTTCTTATGCCCCAAATAATTAGTATCAGGGAAATTGTTTCAGAAATTACTATCTCTGCCATTAACATTGAGTGCACAGGGGTGGGGGTACCATGTTTTGGGGGTGTGTTTTTTCCATTTTTATTAATTCTGGTGTCATCCTCATTATCTCATTCATGTTGCTAGGAGCTTCAGGAGCTCGCCTCCAAAACAGCAGATCTGTTCTTTCACTCGGACAGCCAGGAAAGCTTTCCTTTGGCAGAGCTTTGGGCTGCTTTTTGTGATATATTCAGGCCCTAATCAAGCTGTACTGTCCCTAAGTGCTTGTGTAATGTAACTTGGTGAATGTTCCCTGGAGGTCTGACAGGTGTATCAGGCTTTAGAAAAGATTGTACCCTTCAGATGCTGGAAATGCCATGGGGGAAAAATGCAAAAGGGCAGCATAAAATGTGAACTCTTAAAAATAGCCTCACATCCTGCTTGCATAACATGACATGCTGTTAAGCTTGCCTACAAAAGGCTGCAGTTGTATGGTTCTGCAGCACTTCGGGTTTTAATGGCATGGGAAAATGCAAGTTTGCTCTTCTCTGGAGTCAGAGAAAATTACAGTGTTCCTGTGCCATCAGTGCTAATGATGTTTGCAGTTTCACGAGAGCCAATTTTGCAACATAGATGAAATAGGCATCTCTCATTGACACCGTATCAATCCCTGAAAACACTCCTGGTGTTAATGCATCCATCTCTAATTGATGTCTTGCAAATGTTGAGTGCTATCACATCATCAAAAGGCTGCAGAGGTTAAAGAATTCCTTACTGAAGTGGGAGTGCTATCCAGGGGCAGAATTATTGCTAGCTCTAGACAAGATGTTACAATTTACTTTCAGATAATATAGGAAGCCACGGGGGCATAAAACTTATTGTTAGAACAGATCATGCTATAAGATAAACTCACATTCAGAGAGAGTTCGGGGTTTTGGCATAGGGAATAAAAGGTATGGTAAAGAAGTACTGGGGGATAGGCTTCTGGAGAAGTCCAGGAATTTAAACTTGGTTCTAATTACTGCAAATATATAGAATTTGAAATTTATTCACAGCTGTCAATATTTACTGTCTGTCTGTAGACACTGATAAGTATTAAATGTTTAGCTCTTTACAAACATTGTCATTTCTGAGATGAACTGGCAAGAAATTGTGAGACAGGCTGAAAAATAAAGATGATGTAGAATGAATACAAGAAGAGAAGGGATTTTCTAAAACATATTCCAGCTCTTTTGGGTTTGAATCCTCTTCTGTGGGATCCTGGAAGATTTCTGGGCATGTAGGGAGACGGAGAAAAATGATCTGCTGTGTTTGACCTATTTCTGCTCTTTGGTGATGCTGTGTGGTTCCAGTTCCCTCTGCTCCTCCTGAGAATGTCTCTGCTGAAGCCGTGAGCTCAACCCAGATCCTGCTGACCTGGGCAGCAGTTCCTGAGTCTGAGCAGAATGGTCTCATCCTGGGCTACAAGGTATGCAACTAGACTTTCATACTCGTTTGATTTTTAGTGTAATCCCAGGACGTGATTTTGTATTTGTTACTTATTATTCACCTGCTGGGTATTCTTATTGTTCCAAAGTCAGCTGGAGAAGATACAGGAAGTGTGCTGGCTTTGAAAGGGATGATTGGTGAATGTAATCTCATTTTATACTGGGTGACAAGGAGGAATCTCCCTCTCTTCAGTCCTCATGCAGCAATCTCTTTCCCTCTGCGTCTCATCCACATTTATCCTGCAGATCCTTTACAAAGCAAAGGATTTGGACTCGGAACCCAAGAGCCAAACAGTGAGGGGGAACCACACCCAGTCAGTGCTGCTCTCAGGCCTGAGGAAATTCGTCCTCTACGAGCTCCAGGTGCTGGCATTCACCCGCATTGGGGATGGGGTCCCCAGCTCCCCAGCAGTGACAGAGAGAACCAAGGATGATGGTGAGTTTAGAGGTTGCCAAAATAACCATCTTATTTGTTCCAGCCTTTTAATGCAGATGTCTTCTAGTGGTGCAAGTGTAGGCAACAAAAATTTGGATTTTTTTTCAGCTTTGAACCCAAAGGACAGTGGCTGTACCTGGTATATAACTCAGCAGTATCCCATTGGTCGTGGGCTGAGGATCTGGCAAAAGCACAGAAAACCACTGTCCCCTATTTTCTCCTTCCCTGCAGCTAATGAAGAGGAAGAAACCATCTGACATTGAACTTTGTAGCTTGGTGGAGATAATTTCTATTGAAGACAATTTTAGAGCCCAATTAGAAATTCCTATTGAAGTTCAATCATGCTAAAAAAAATTGCTGCAATTGAAAGCAATAAACAAATCTGGGTCTGACTGGACTGAACGAAAGAGATGGAATTTGTGACTTCAGTAATCCACTCTCCTTTTTTTTTTTTTTTTTTTTTTTTTTTTTTAACCCAAAAGAATAAAGTATTGACCTTGGAAGATGATCCTACCAGCTTCCTTTTGCAGCTGCCTCCTGCACTTCTCAGGGGGTTCCCAGTGCAGTTGGATGTCCTTAAGGAACCCAAGCAAGTGCTCCCTGAGCACACTACTGTGGTGGAAGCACTCTTGCTGATGGAATTCTATAGAAATTTGGTTCAATTCTTCAAATATCTTTGGGCTTTGCAGATGCTAAAACTGCTTTTACTTTCATTACCTTTTCAGGAATAAATAGGTTGAGATCAGTGTGAGAGGCTTCTTCTGTTTAAGTCTCTCTCTTTCTCATCAAAATCTTTTCAGAATAATAATGGAGTAAACATTGGTTTACACAAGCAGATTCATTAAGGTAATTTGGCCGGGCTCAAAGCACATTTAGACTTCTGGCTTAAAAAAACATTTTCTGTGCAGTGCAGGGAAGGAAGGAGTGGGAGCATGCAGGGTCAGGAACAGGGGCAAGAACTCCCTGACATTTTTTTTTTTAGCCTTTTCCTCAGTATACTCCCTGTGTGTGGACCTGGCTTTTCTTTGAAAAGAAAAATAAGAAAAATTACTGTTAGCAGAACTCTGCAGGGAGAGAAAAGCACTCAATGAAATGTACATATCAGACTGTAATGAGAAATACTTAAAACTGTTTGTTTTGGATAACCCCATTATAGCAGTTCCCTCCTTAAGTGCATGTTGGCAAATGAAACTAATTGTTCTTCCATCTCCATATCCCTGACATAAATATGTTGTGTCTCCTCTGGGCTCAACTTAATTAAAAGTATCACCAGGAGTAATGCAGGTGGAATTTGTGCTGAAGGGGAAAATTCATGGATGGTAATGTATGAATTAGCATCTCCTCACCTTGTGAACCTGGGCTGGTCAGTGCCATTTGTGTTAATGTGCCTCTCACCTGCCTCAGGTTCTCCTGCTCACACCTCAGTGTTTAAAATGCAAATGTAAAGTCGGGAAGCAGTTCAAAGCTGGTGCTGATGACACAGGGAAGGGATATTATTGAATTCCAACAGGTAGGAAGTGAATTAAGCTATCTAACTCTCTGTAAAGGCAGCTTGGTGTCCTGCTTCACGGTGTGTTCTCAGTTACACCAGTGGTGATGCTGCAGGGAGAAAAATCCTACAGAGCTCATGGTGCAGTAAAAAAACAGTGTAGGGTGCACTGGTCTGTGCTGTGTTTGGTGTCTGAGGGTGTTGGAGGCCTTTATCCATGGACAGAATGTATATTTATATACAGAATAAATTATATTATGCACGTGCACTATTGGAGAGATACAGCTTGGGTCATCATTCTGTGTAGGGTGAGCAGAAATCCTGTGCTGCCTGTGGTGTGCAGTCCTTGCTGCCATGCCCTCTGTGTTGCCTTGCAGCCCCCGGGCCCCCTGTGAGGCTGGTGTTCCCCGAGGTGAGGCTGACGTCCGTGCGCATCGTTTGGCAGCCGCCGGAGGAGCCCAACGGGATCATTCTGGGTAAGATGGAGCAGCAAACCCCAGGCTGGGAGTGGAGGGATGGAGAGCAGAGCAAGCTACAGCTGTTGGGTTTTCCTGTGCCTTGCACATAAGCAAATCTCTGGCTGATGAAAAGAAAATGTGCTGCTGTCAGCTGAGGGGACAAGTCCGCAGGGCTCCGTGGTGTGGCTTTTCCTGAGCCAGAATTCAGTGTTGTTCCAGGCCTCATGTCTGGATGTCATCTCTCCTCCCATCTGCATTTGGGTTGGTAACCTGTTTGGCTGACTTGGGAAAACTGCCTGGAGACCTGGATTTTCCCCACCTCTGCCAGACACGCCCAGTGTTTCAGTTTTATGTGTGCTTCCATTTTATTGCTTCCTTGAGATAATATGTCTGACAGGTCATGAGGAGTTAAATCCTATTTGCCCTTCCATCAGGGGAAGGAGAGGCAGCAAGGCATGACAGGAATTTGTGGAAAACCTTCTCACCTTCCTGCTCTCATAACTCTTGGGTTGTCTTTGCAATATGTGCACCAGCCACTGTTGCACTAAAAATGTGAAGACTTTTACAATGTAAGAGTCCATTCCTGCCTCTAAAATTAACGTAGCTCATAGTTACCAAACAATTTAGTGTTTTCTGCTGCTGCTGAACACATTTTACAGCAGTTCTGGCTGGTGAGTAAAGATTTGTGTCTCAATTCTGAGAACAGAAGCAAAAGCTTTTGTTTGTATCTAGTACTCAGTCTGCCAGGCCTTTCTGCTTCTAATTTCACTGCCATCATTCAGGCTCACGTGTTGGCTTCCAGCAATATTCCCTAAAGCCTTCCTTGCTGGCTGGAGGGTGCCTGCTTCAAATGCTCCTGCAGAGGTGGCATTGCTTTAAATACAGAACTCATCCTGCATTGCACTTCAATCTTGAGTCAAGAACTCAAGGTGTTTGCTCAGGTGTGTAGTTTATCAAAGAGATCCTGGCATCTGAAGACACTGGGAAATCATCAAACAGCATCCAAAGGCAGGTGCTGCAGGATTTTCTGAGCACGAGGAGGAGTCTGTGTGAAGCTTGGCAGCAGTGAGCTGCCAGAGATGGATCCACGCTGGGTTTCTCTGCAGCTCAAGGAAGCTTGGCTTCCAGGTTGTCTTGTGGGTTTGATTTGTTGCTTTTTTTAAGGAACTGTGTGTCCTAGAACTTGCTCTCAGCAGAGATTGAGATTTGACTCACAGGATGTGGTTAAGGAGAAAAAAAATCATTTGATAGGAATGAGGAGAAAGCACAAAAGACATTTGCTCCCCCAACTGTGTTCCAACCTCTCACGTTGCTGCACTTTGTCAGCCTCATTTGCTGGAGTTTCTGCAAGCTCAGTGGAGTAGGAACTCTCCTTTATTTTGACTTTGCAGAATACTTTGTGCAGTGCATCCCCACTGCAGCTGGTTCTTGCTCATTGCAATTATGGTGATGATAAAATCATACAAAAAACAGGGCTGGAAGGAAAGGGAAAAGCTGTCCCTTAAAGAATCTTTAGCATGTTTAGCATGAAGAGTGTTGTTTCCAAAGTCTTTCACAGCCCGTGCCCAGTAAGACATCCCAGGACACTTCACACAATCCTTGACTACTCTAATGGTGTAACTAAGTCAGTTTGTGTCCCACTGTTCATTCCTTCTCTTTCCTACAGAACACTTCGAGGTCAGCCAGTCCCCCTTTCACAAGAATGTTCAGCTTTTTCTCTTTAAGTGTGATAATTTGCAGATGCCTTTATTGAATTTCATCTCACTGATTCCAGACCATCTCTCTTCATTACCCAGATCTCTTTAAATGACACTCATGTCCTCTAAAGTGTGCACAGCTTGGTTTCATTTTTGGAGTTTGCAAGCAGATTGGCAATTCCATCAGCGAGGCCATTAATGAGAGTATTAAACAGGACCAGACTCATTCATGAGGTCTCATGAGAGCTTACTATATCCTCCCAGGTTGTTAGCAAATCATTGATAACAACATTTTATTTTTTTAAGCGTTCATTTCAAAATGTGTGGTGTTCTTCTTAGATTCTGTTATTGTGTTTGCTTTTGGTGGGACTGTGTGCGACCATATTAAAGCCTTACTCAAAGTCAATGTGGATCATATCTACTCTTCCCACCTGGCCAATTACACTGTCAAAATGGAAAACAGATTATTTGATATTTATTATTTGCTCCAATCAAAGAGATATTGGCTGTTCCCTGGCACATTATTATCCTCATGGATGCTTGTATATTGACTCATATTTTTTTCCAGGCTCTTTCTGTGTATTGAACTTTAGTTTGATTTGTCCATAATTCCTTTAGTCAGTCTTGCCTCCTTTAAAAAGATGCTGTACTCTGTTTGCCCTTTTGTAATGTTCTGGGATGTCACCTGTCGTGCACAAGTCCTAGAAGAGAATGGCTAATTATTCAGAGATGGCTCCATCTCTGCAGGGAAAATTTCATCAGGCCTTCTGACTTGATTACATCCAGCTTAACTAAATATTCGTTAACCTGTTCTCCATTCCAGCCTGCATCCCTACTTACATTGTTGTCACTTTTAATTTGTGTGGAGGATCCTGTCAGCGCCCACTTCTTCTTGTGTGTAAAAATGCAGCCATGAAGGTACCAGCCTTCCTTCCCTCTCTGCCTCACCTGTCTTGTGCTCCTTTTTCCTTCCTGCTGGCTGACCTGTTCTCCTCCTCTCCCTCCGACTTTTAATGTATTTATGAAATCTTTCTCATTGCCTTTGCTGCCCTTCAGGTGATAACTCCCTTTGCTCTTTGGCCATTCTGATTTTGTCCCTACATGCCTGTGCTGTCTATTTATACACTCTCTTAGACCTGTGTCCTGTTTCAACTTTTTGTTCAATTCACTTTTGATTTTCAGGTCATTAGTGATCCCTGAATGCAAACATATTGGCCTCTTAACATCTTTTGTCTGCGTTGGGATAGTTGTACCTTTTTTTTTTTTTTTTTTTTGTTCTTAAAATGGCCAGCTCACCTGGAGTCCTTTTTCCCTTAGAATTCCTTCCCAGGGAGATGTTACTTGCCAGTCCCCCCATCCACCACTTTGAAGTTCATTGTCTTTATTCAACAGTTCTTACTTTTATTTTCTCAATAGTAGAAATACTGAGGTTCCTGGAGGAAGTAGTTAGCTGCCAAAGAGAGAAAAAGGGAAAATTGCTCATGCTGGGTACTTCTGTGATGTTTCCTAAGAAGTGAACCAGGCTTCAAAAATAGATAAAAAACTATGTGTAGCGTTCTAAGGAAAGGTTGCAAATTTGGGGAGTTATGGGTTTTTATTTTTTTTCCCTGCACACTTTTTACATCTCATTACTATAATGAACCTCCAAAACACCACTCCAACCCTCTAGTCATGTGCACCAAAGTGGAGTCATTGGGAAAAATAAGTGAAATAATTTTGTGCGCTGCCCTTCTATTCAGTCCTGGGGATCGAAAGAAAAACCACTTGCTTTGCAAGAGCGACTTATATTCAGAGCCTTTGAACTAATGTTCCTGCTCTGGCTGCCTTGTCCTCTGAGCATACACGCACCTTTGCAGCTAACATTTTTGTAATCTATATAAAAACATGTTCTAGCATTTCAGAGAGAGATTAGCAGGATGAAATACTGGCAGGCACCAAGAGGGAAAACCACTTGTTTGTTTGTTTAAATATTTTACCATGCAAAACTGTGATATATTTCCCTTTTTCCTTCTGGGAATGTTACTCCAACCATCTGAGACTTCACTCTGTCTTCCTCTCTGCACTCAGTTCAGCCAGCACCCACATAGTTCCCTCAAATACTATTAAAGATAAATGAGGCATTAATGTGCATTTGTGCACTTCAAGTTGTGAGCTCCCCCTGAAAACAAGAGCTTAACCCACATCCTCCCAGGCCCTGGTTAGTATTCCTCACGGTATCCTCGTATTTAGCATTTACCTGGAGCTTATTGCAAAAAAAAAAAAAAAGTGTAAGAACTCCGCCGAGAATTAGAACCAAAATTGGATGTAATCCATGTTTGCAAATTCCTATTTTGATCCCAGGCTGCATTTGCACACCCGCTGGCCCTAAAACAGATAAGCAGGAAAATCAACAAACTGGATTGCTGCTCCGCCGCGCCGAGCGTAACCTCGTGGTATCGCTCAGCTCTCCCCGAGTTCTGTGACAAATTAATAATTGTTTGTATCTCTGCTGCACCGTGGCCTGCACCAACAGGTGCTGTCACTTCTTGAAGGGCTTTGTATGGTGATGAGCTTGAAAGCTTTTTGATATTCATGGGGTGTTGTCACCCTCCTGCTGCCTGTTTGCTTCGGGGAATCCAGCGGCTGTGTTGCGGTGACCTAACGTTTAACAGGCAGCTGCCATTTACTGAGCTGGGGAAGTGTGCAGCTCATGGAACTGCCTGCACTTGTGCAAAAAAAAAAAAAAAAAAAAAGCTCAAAAAGATGCTGAAATGAAAAATAAGTTTCAATTAATAAATAAGCTCCTGAAGACTTGATCTTTCAGGAGAGTTTTTAATGCTATTTTGGCCTGGTGAGTGGCAACACTCCCAATAAAAGTTATTTGGGATCTAATACTATATGGCAAAAAAATTAAGAAAATAATATGAATTCTTATTGACCATCCATATATTTCATGTTCTGTAATATATTCCTTTCCCCTAAAAATTTGCTCCAATCACCTTTTAAAGGTTACACTTTCATTCAAAACCTTTGATTTTTAATTTTTTTCCCCTAATATATCTGCAACATCTTATTGTCATAATCTAGCAAGGAAAGGAAGCTGCTCATTCCTCCACTGCAGCAATTGCCTGTTATAGCCCTCGAGCATACATTAATTTCTCTTTGAACACTTTCCATTTACCTCTATTGATTTGCCTCGTTTGATTTCACTTAACATTTCCTTTCTTCTCCTATCCCTTGTTGCTGAAATTCATCAACTTAATAATTTTATCTTTTTGATCTTGCATTAGCCCTAGTTATTATCCAAGTTGTAGTTTAAGTACTGAGTCTTCTGTGCCACTCAGAAAAAAATAAAAGTAATGCTTTTTATGCCAGTCTGGATCCTCATTGTCCCAGACTGTCTAACAGGAGATGCAGGGGTCAGAATTAAGTACTGGGTGTCTCTCGGGTGGGTTGCAGGTAGCAATAAAAGTGAGCTGAGTTCAAGTGTAGAGCTTGGATATTTGCCTGGGAACCAGACCTATGGAAGTGTTGAGTTTCTTAAGAAATCTGTTAAGGTAATGGCTCTAGTTGTGTAAACTCAGGAAAGGAGATATTTCCCCAGACTTTGAGCCAACACAGCACATGATGGAGGGGACAGTGAGAGCTGCTGCTGCCTTTCACAGGGATGCAAGGAAAGGGAGTTTGCAGAGCCTGTCACAGAGACAGGCTGTGACAAGTGATTTCCTCTTTCTTGCAGCTAAATTAATTATTTCACTAGCCACAGACTCACTCTCATAGAAGATATTGTAATGGCCTAGGTATGTATGTGTTCCTTTGCCTAATCTGGGTGTGTTTGTAATTGCTTTCCAGCATGAGTGCCACCATTTAGCAGTAAATAGTTATCTTTCTTTCCGCCCTTACATTTTAACTATACTTCATATTTTACAAAGGTTTAGAAAAGAGAGGAAATTACTCGACAAGGATATGTCCCAGATATCATACTTATCTTTTAATAACTAGATAAATCAACTTTTCTGTTCTTTTAATGTTCTCTGTTTCCCTCCAGGTCTTATTCTTTAAGTCTTATATCCCTTTATCAAGCTTCTTTAGCCATCTTAGTTGCTTTTTCCTTCATCTTTTTTGCTTCTGTAAAAATTTCCCCAGTGCTTTTCTTTGACTGTTTTTCCTCCTTGTTAAGATCCTGCACTGGGGTTTTCACTCCCGCATTCTTCACATCAGTATAAACAAAAAAGATCACATATATCAGTTTCTCCTCCCCATTGCTCTCTGTCTTTCTGTGGACTTTTTAAAAAGATCCAAATATTGCAGCAATAAAGATACAGAAATACTTCATTGAAATATATTGGACCAGTAATGGAAGAACTAGTCCCGTGGATAAAAGGAGATAATTTGCAGGCGAAAGAATGAAATGTTGAAAGTGTAAGACCCCAAGACTTTGCTGGGATGTAAGCATACTCAGGAGCACTGAAAAATCAGGATACTTTTAAATTGATTAGAATAGAACAGAACTGACTATTCCAGTTGGAAGGCACCTATAACAATAATTAAGTCCAGCTGCCTGACCAGTTCAGTGCTGACCAAGTTACAGCATTATTAAGGGCTTCATCCAAATGCCTTTTAAACACAGACAGGCTTGGGGCATTGCCCACTTCTCCAGGAAGGCAGTTCCAGGGTTTGACCACCCCCTCTGTAAATAAATTCTTCCTTATGTTCAGTCTGAACCTTGGCTGAAGCAGTTTTGAGCCATTCCAATGTGTCCTGTCAGTCTCAGGGAGGTCATAGCACCTGGATAGTTTGGGTTAGCAGCAATCTTTGAAAGCCATCTGGTCCAACCCCCCTGCCATGGGCAGGGGCATTCTCAGCTAATAAAGGTTGTTCCAAGCCATGTCCAACCTGACTTGAATATTTCCAAGGATTAGGCAGCCATCACCTCTCTGCACCAGTGTTTTAGCACCCTGGTAGATCAGCACCTCCCTCTCCACAGGGAGCTGTGAGGTCACCCCTCAGTCTCCAGGCTGGACAAGCCCAAAATCCTCAGGCACTTCTCATAGAACATTATTGCCTTCCTTTGAAGGAATCTAAAGCTGTCCTCCCAGCTGTGGAAATGTTCCTGTAGGATTAAACCAGCCACAGCCTGGGGGAGCTGGGGCTGAAGCCACAGGTGCTCGGAAAATCCAGGTCACTCCTCGAGGTGTCAGTGCAAAATTGTTCCATGTGAAGCAGCCATGACTGCTGCCCCACGTCCCGAGCAGCTGCCAGGGAAGAAAGGACAAGGAAACCCTGGTGCATCATCAGTGGCACTGTGAGAGTCAGCACAACAAAATTAATACCATCTGTATCCCAATTAAATTCCACTGTTTGTGGCAGAGTGTGCTACACGCGAGTGGCATCGATTCCAGGGACTGCAGGAACTCCAGGCCTTTTCAGGGAGTGGCAATGTGGCAATTGTGGCATATTCACAGTGGGAAATAAACGTCATTGGGTTTTCTCTAATAGCCATAGGTAAGATCAGCCCCTCAGATTTCATGCACTGACCTTCCCAAATGAAGCATGCCAGGTTTGGCTCCCCTTGGTCTTGTTACAGCCAAGATGTGGTGGGAGTTCAAACTCTAGCTGGGATATTAATTCCATGAGAAAGAGATGGCTCAGGTGCTGCAGACCTCTTTTGTCATTTGGAGGGTGAGCAGAGGGTTGGCAGAACTGTGTCGTGACTGTTTTGTTTTCAGCTGGTTTGATTTGGATTTGTTGGCTGCGCTCTGCCCTGTGTAAGTCCATGGAGCATTTAATCATACATTCAGCTCAGGCAATAAAACCCCACATCAGTTCTGCTATTAATTGATTTTGGAAGTCAGCTGCTGGACTGGAAGTTACCATTGAGCTCCAGAAGTGAGAGCCTGATTGAATTGCTGGATTTACAGAATAGATTTGAACATTTGGCAGACCCTCTTTGGGGGACAGTTGTCGCTAGTGGTGCGTAAGAACCCTGGAAGCCCTCCTTGCACAGTGGAATCATTAATAACCCGGGCTAAACTGTGAGCTCCTGATTGTCAGGCAGGGTGGAAGGGGGGTTATCACTTACAGGCATCAGCAAAATTGATTATTGAGACCTGCCTGCATGAAGCAGGACCACAGAGCTTGCAGGCTCCTTCCCTGGCTCTGGGCAAGGGCAACGATGCTGAATGACAGAAGGGTGGCTTTGCTGGCAGCTCTGGCACTCACTGCAGAGGGAAAAGCACTTGCAGAAAGGAGGAGCAAGCTTTGACTGGAGCAGTGTGAAGGCTACATGGTTTGGGCAATCCAGCTGCTGGAGCTGCAGCTGAAGAACCTTGAATTGGAGCCAGTGCTGAAGCAGAGAGAGGGCAGAGCAACCTGTGAGCGTGGGTTGGAAAGCTGGAACTGGAGCATTGCCTTGAACCGCCTCAGTCAGGTGACACATTGCACCAACTCTGTTCCTTTGCTTTCTGAAAAGGTGCCAGAATGCCCAGGAAGGATTAAACTGGTTTTGCATCTTGTTGGCCTAAGGAATAGAAAGCGAACTCAGTTTCATGGCAGTTGTACCCAGCAGAGCCTCATGTGTGAGTGATTTCCTTTGTAAGGTGTGTGTGGCATCTGCCAAAAAGCAGAGCTTTATAACACCAAAGGCAGCAAATTACTTTTCTCCCGACTTCATATAAGCATGTAATTAGGATAAACTAATAGTGCTGGCGCTCTTTTGTCCCTGCTAGAGAACCAGCTGAGCCTTTTCCCCTCTCTGCTTGCAGGGTACCAGGTTGCCTACCGCCTGGCCAGCAGCAGCCCCAACAAGTTCACCACGGTGGAGGTTGGCTCCACAGTCCGGCAGTTCACGGCTACAGACCTGAGCCCAGAGTCAGCCTACATCTTCAGGACATCTGCCAAGACCAGGCAGGGCTGGGGGGAGCCTCTGGAAGCCACGGTGATCACCACTGAGAAACGAGGTAATGCTCGCAAGCCGTGGGTTCAGGGAATTTCTGTGCCTGCCCTGGAGCCTGCGCTGCACTTCGGGGGATTTTAATAGCAGGCTACTCCTCCCCCTTCTCACCCCATAAACCTGCCCCAATCCATGGCAGCATCATGATTTGAGAAAGCAAGGCAGACATTTATGAGACACAGTTCTTCTAACCTGCCGGGCTGTTGGAATTGATTTTTCCATCAGCTGCTATATTGGCCATGTGCAGCCTCCTTTTGCAGTCAGGTTGGTTTTTTTTTGGTTTTTTTTTTTTTTTTTTTTTTTTTTTTTAGCTCTCTCGTTTTCTAGAAAGATTGCAATCTTAAGAAAGTAAGTGATGGATGAATTATATTGATTAGGGAACGCAAAATGAGAGGCAGTGGTGTTGCAGAATTTCTCCACACGTGCCTCAGCCCTGACCTAATGTGTTTGTAATTACTCTGGCCTTTCGCTGCCACACGCTCCAGCAGAGCCTTTGCATCTGAATTGCCCAGAGTTTTTCTGCTTCTTGCATTAGCCATGAAATGGTTGTTGGCATCCTGACTCTCCAGACAAGTTCTGTTGAGGGGAATCTAGAAGGTGGAATTTATATGTGTTTGTAAATGAAACCAGATGCTTTGATACCAAATGTACCAAAATGTGAAAGACATGTAAGGTATTACAGGATCTGCCCTGCATCACTGCTTTTTTTTAATGCTTTGGCTCAAGGAGCTGCTCATTCCTCCAGTTTTAGAAGTGGTCTGTAGAGTTTCAGTTAAAAAGTTTGCATTTTCTACTTGTGCATGAAGATTATTTTTTTTTTTTTTTAATTCAGAGCTAAAAGAGAATATATTGCTGAATATTGGTGGAGAACAAGACTGTGGGTTCTTCCCTGGCCATTTCCCTGCATTTTTTTTTGCACACAGGCCATGTTCCACTGCAAAGAATGTATTTGGTCTCTTGAGCTGGCAAAATCAAAACAAGCCAGGGTAACTACCAGCACCACTGGGTTTTGTGCTATGTCTGGATATTGATATTTTTTTAAGTAAAATTCTCCCTCAAAAACTAGAACCATAAAACTCCCATGCCTTATAAAAGTCACAGTTCAGAGAAGAGCACACCACAGCAGATCACCAGACCAGACCTCCACAGACATCTTTCAACTGTTGTTAGAATTTCTGCATGTGCTTGTGGGCCTGCTCTTGGTGCACTATTGTGCAACCAATGACATTTGCTTTTAATTCCTAAAATGTTCCTGATAAGCAATCATTTGTTTAAAGTCCTTTCTACACCTTGCACATCATTTATTGCAAAGGTAAGGATCTCCCATTGTATTTGCCAACAATGTCTTCCTCATTATTTTTTCTTTTAACACTTCTAAGAAAAGTTGATGTTCAGCTACCAACAGCAAGAGCCTGTGAGGTGCATTTCAACTACTCCTGGCCTGTTTGGTTGGGTTTAAAATTCCCTCTGGCAAAGCTCTGCAGGTCATGTGCAGCCTTCCCAGTGCATAACAGTGCAGTCCTCAGGGAAAGAACCTCTGGAGATGTATCTGGAAATTGGAAGTGCCTCTGCTAAAGGTACTGTCCATCAAAGAGACTTATCAGCTCAAGGTTTCTCCCACCCCTGTCTGATTGCTGTCAAAGGGCAGGTTCAAAGCCTGACATGTAGAGGCTTCCAAAAGAAAAATCCACCATGCCAAAAAAATGTGAATTCTCAAATCTCAGAGCCTTTCCTGCTCAATAAAATGTGCTGAGATTCCCCAGACTGTGCACAAGGATGCACAGCATCTCAAGGCAGAACTCCCAGCTCACTATGGGAACAGTGACCCCTTGTTGCTATCAATGTTTTAGGGTTATCTTGAGTACCCAAATCACAATGTAACATGATCCCTTTTGCTTTTTGATGGACAACTCTGCTGGGTCTCTCTCTACGTGCTTTGGAACCACAAGTTTACTGATCCCATATAAAGTATAAAGACAACAACGTGTTTTCTCACATCATCAAGAATTATAAAAGGGGATGACAAATAAATTTATCCAGTGCAGCTATTTTGCTGATAAGAAATTAACCTGAAATGTGTATACATGACAATAAATATTCCAGAATGAAAAGATATCTAATTCCTGTTAATAAAGATATATTTTATATCCTCATAGTCCTTGATACTAAGGTAGACAGACACAAAAATTCTCTTGAAAATTAACAAAATTAGTCACTCTTGCCCTTGTAAATTCCTTGGGTAATCCCAGTATAAATCTTTACATTTTGCAGCGATGCCTGTGATTTATAGATCCCAAGTTATATTGTGGCTTTATTCTCCAGAGCCTCTACTGCAGTGCTTTGAATCTACAGTTCAGAATAGTCAACACTGGTGATCAGGGCAGAACTGAGTCAAAAACTCAAATGTAGCAAGAAATTAAACGTAGTCTATAGAGTCATGTGGCCTGGTAGAGTCAAGCCTGCACTGACAGTCTCACCTTAGCATTTGCTTGTGGCTAAACTCCCATAAATAAACTCTTTATACTAATGGGTTTGTACAAACAGTCAGGGAGTATATCCTGCAACAGGGGAGATTTTAAGATCTCTCATTATCAGCAAAAGGAAACCAAATCATGGGAGACTGACTGCAAGATCTGACCTGCCCAAAAGTGCAGAGCTTCTCAGCAGAATGTATAAAATCCCTGCATGACTCTCCCTCCCTGGCATGGAATAACCCCACGTCCCTGTCTCCGCCTGTCAGTGTAAGGCACTGACCTTTCGCGTCGTGCTGCTGCTCGCAGGCTGCTGGCACCCAGGGCTTCCTCCAGCTAATAGCTTACAAGTCTTTGGGCACTGATGTCAGCGAGAGCAGGCTGCAGAGAAATGCCAAAACATGCAGGAAATGGTTGTAGGGGACGGCAGGGAAATGAAGCACTGGCCATACGGAGCTGTGAGGAATCAAGCAGGCAGAGGTGTGTTTATGGAAACAAGTGCTGATGAAGTTGAATTGAATTGCTTCTCAAAAGCAAGTCACTGCGGTGTCTCCAATCAATTTCTGCTTTATTACATGCCACACATTTTAATCAGAATCAATAATCTTCATGATAAACAATTAAACAATTATTCCTCACTCTATAGAGTTTCTCTATTGAAATCGATGGAGTGCGGAGACGCGGTGACGGGAAAGGAGATCTGTAATGAAACAGTTGGGGGCTGGCATGCTTACACCTGCATTGCCATTCCCTGCTCATCCCAGAGGTGTGAGGGTAATTACTCTGGAGAGATCTCCCTCAGCACTGGCTGGTTTGACTCTGCAGGTTCAAGGTTAGTGGGTATGAAGGGGAGAGTTGGGGAGCTCTGGAAGGACCCTGCAGCAGGTGCTCCAGCCCCAGCTCTGGGCTGGTTCCAGGCTGGGGTTTGGGAACAGCAGCACCAGGAGCTGCTGATGCCTCCTGGTTCCTTGCCTGGTGCAGGAATTCAGCATCAGCTGTGTGTGCTTGGGCTCTGTCACACAACAGCCTGTTCCAGCTCGCCCCTTCCTCTGCCTCACGCCTCAGCAGGGGGAAGAGGACTCTGCATAGCACAGAGAGAACAGAGTTCCTGGTACCAAGGAGTAAGAACAGGTTAAAAAGTGAGCTAATTTACACACAGATTCTGTCAAAAGAGCAATTGCAGCCAGAAGCACAGCTGAGTTTCATTAAAGACTGCCTTGCTTTGCTTGGCTGTCACTCCTGATGATTCTTCTTTAACCTGCCAGGTCAAGACCCCCCCACCAAGTTTGAGGTCCACTGTGAGGAAGGTTTATATCCTGCAGTGACCTTTGCTGCAGGGAGATAAGAATCCATTTTACTGCTCCTCCTTGCAGTAGAAGGTTAAGAAATTGGGATGGTTGTGGCAAATTCAAAATGGTTGTGGCAAATTGAAAAATTCAGCGCCCTTTGGCTTCACCACTGTGAAAATCTGACCAGGCCGTCCCATTTTACGATGTTTTGAATTTCCTCTCAAAGCAGCTAAATTATGGTTTGATTGCAGAAAGACCAGCACCTCCCAGGCAGGTGATGACCCCTCAGGGCGACGTGTCCTCCCGGAGCCTGGTGCTGACCTGGCTGCCTGGCAGTGATGGATCGTCACCAATCCGATATTTCACAGTCCAAGTGCGGGAGCTGCCACACGGAGACTGGCAAACCTACTCCTCCTCCATCAGCCACGAGGCCACATCCTGCATTATCGAAAGGTACCACGGGATCCCAGGCTAGCACAGAAATTCTCATACTTTCCCACTAGTTAGGAAACCAAAACAAGCATCACTCAGCTTCATGTTCTCTTTGGGGGAGAGAGGTTAAGTGAGGCCACTGCTCCCATTTTAGAGGTGGTGTTATGAACAGCAGTTGAGAGATTTGCTGAAGGTCATGCAATAAATCTAATTAAAGTTGGACTGCAGTGCATCTTTTTGAAGACTTTCCTGGAAGCTCAGCACCACAGATAACACTACTTGGGCTAAATCATATGTAGCTACACAGTGCTCTGTAAAATACAAAATAGTTAAAAATCCTTTCAGTAGTGACTGATGTTAAAATCCACTCTGAATGCTGCATTGCAATTATCTCTATATAAGCTCTTCCAGATGAAATGAGAACCATTTTTATCTGTATTTTCCATACTGAAGTTTATAGATAGCATCAGAATGTTTAAACTTTGTTATTCAGGCTTCATTATATCCTCTGCAATACTGGTGTAATTAAAGTCCTTGTAACATCAGCAGAAGTAATTGAATGTCTACGAGCAGGTACTTGTTTTGCTGTCCATTTCCTCTGTTGACAAGCCGGTACAAATCAGATTATTTCTAAAAGGCTGTGAGCTTTAGGCGTTAGAATCAGGTATTCTGAGCATTCAGATACAGGTATTTTGGGTGTGTTATTAAAAACATTGGTGGCTGTGGTGTATGGCAGCTCACTGGTTGTGTGCCAGTATATTTGCAGTCAAAACCTGCAAAAACAAGGAAACCATCAATGTCACTTATACTTGACATTGGCATGACTAAAAACAAAAATCAAAAAGGATGATTGACATGAATCAAGTTGCTATAGGTAATTCTGTCCTGATAGGGTGGCAATACTGGAAGAGATTTCTTCTCCCCCTTGCTAAAAGCACTTTGCTGTGCAAGTCCGGAAGAGTCATGGACGGGAGAGTGCTGCCCATCAGAATGCATTATCCTTGATGTTTAATCATTCCTTACAAGTAACTTGGGTTTGTATCAGTGTTCCATCTGCCAGTGGATGGTTAGACACTACCAATTAATTAGTGAAATCCCCCATAAGTTACAGCTCTGCATTTCAAACCTCTGCCTGCGACTCCAAAGGCAGCCTCCCCTTCACCTCCCCTGCCAAGCCAAGACAGTATCATCTTTGCAAGGTTATGTCAGCTGGAAATCACTCTTTGCATATCTTAAAGCACCACATAGATAAAAGAGCTGCAGGGAACCTGTTGTCGCCGTCTTTATTAAATAATCCAAGTAATGGCATTAATTTGGGATTCAGCAGGAGCAAAATGCACTGCTCAAGTGGTGTGGTGTAGGGGATTAGCTAGGAGCTGGCACTCTGAATTCCAGAGCCTGCTGGGCCCTGGCTGACCCTGTGCGTGTCTCCTACCTCCTCCCCACCTGTCCGTGCTCAGAGGATGGGCTGAGCCAGGTGGCTTTGGAGGATATCTCAGCAAAGCACCTTGACAGCCAGGCTCTGCACAGCACTCAGGTAGCGAGCCCCAGGCGTGGGCTGCTCCATGAGCTGCAGCCTCAGGTCTGTGTTCTGGTGCCCAATTCAGCAACAAATCCACGAGTGTTTCTGGGCACTCAGGGCAGGGGACATCTGGGAAGGTGCTGATGGCAGCAGGGGTGGGGACAACTGGGAACTTGGGGGAGACTGCAGAGAAGAGGCGATGGGGAGAGGAGACAAACTGCTCAGCAACTCTGGTTGTCAGTGGGCAGGTTCTCTGTGGAGGCAAGTTGTGATGAGGGAGGGAGATTTCATCTCTCAGCCTTGTTTCCCCCATTCCACAGCTTGAACCCGTTCACATCCTACAAGCTGCGTGTGAAGGCCACCAACGACATCGGGGACAGCGACTTCAGCGCGGAGACAGAGGCGGTCACGACCCTGCAGGATGGTAAGGGAGGAGGAGGAGAGGCACACTGGGGGCTCCCCAGAGCTCCTGGAGCCACTGCAGGGTGTTCTCCACGGAGGCTGGAGTGAAAACCAACAGCCAAAGTATTTTTGTCCACAGGAAGCTAACACAGGTAGCAATGAGATCTGGCTGAATTAACAGGCAGCCATTAAGTGTCCTGCTGTGCCCTCTGATAATGAATCATACTTTCAGGAGTCTCAAAATGGATTTAAACTTCATTTGATTGGCTTCCAAACTCTGCACTAACCATTATCTTTGCAGAAATTGAATAATTTACAAGAGAACATTAAAAATAAATGTAGAACCCTGCATACATTTGAAGAAGTTTCTTCAATTGTTTTCCCCTCACAATCCACATCAGTCTGCAGAATGGCAAAATTGCTGAGGTATAAGTAAGAAAGAGTATGAAGCTCCTGGAAACATGAGCATTTAATCCTGCAGATCAGGACTAATAAACTGTGAATGACATTGACAAGGCTTTTATTTTTAGCCTTAGAGATCAGCTTCTAATTCCTTGATTGTATAAAGTCGATGCCTGAATGCAGAAGTAGTTCTGATGTCTTGAATGGAGAAAGGAACTCTGCAAAGTAGGAAAAGCATCAGTATGTGCTTTTGCCCTGGGAAATTGGGTAATCCTGGGATACATACATGGATAAATATATATATGCGAGTGCTGTGAGGGGGGGGTCAACTTCTTCTCCCAAGTAAGAAGTGGTAGAACATAAGGAAATAGCCTGGTTGCACCAGGGGAAGTGTAAATTGAATATTAGAGAAAATTCCTTCACTGTAAGGTTTCTCAAGCACTGGCAAAGGCTGCCTAGGGCAGTGGTGGAGTCCCAGTCCCTGGAGGGATTTGAAAGCCATGTACATGTGGCTGGGGACATGAGTTAGCAGTGGGCTTGGAAGTGCTGACGTAATGGTTGGACTTGATGGTTTTAGAAGTCTTTTCCAACCTAAATGATTCTATGATATTATATATATGTGTGATGGTAGGAATTATTTCTTACAGAGCAAGGAGTGATGAGTTAGAAATGACTCTGAAATATAAAAATAGGAAGCCATTCTGCCAGGGAATGTGATCTTGAAATCAGAAGACCAGAGAGAGGACAGAGCTCAGGAGCATGGGATGTTAAACAGGAGCCCATTTAGTACCTGACCAATGTGCTAAGCAGCCCCTTAAAGGCATCCTGACTCTCCAGCTTCCTGCACAGCAGCAGCAGGGTCAGTGCAGGCTGTAACTGGTGCTAATGAAGCAGCACTGACTCACTGTTCTGGAATTTAAAATTTCATTTTAAGTTCTCTTTGAATTTAGCCACAGTGGATCCAGAGTTGTGCTTGGCCTCCTCACAATACTGCTGGGAAAAAAAAAACTGTGAAAGCTTCTCACCTCCTCAACAAACTGAGCATTTATTTTGCTGAGCAACCCCGGTGCTGCCACTTGAGCATTGCACTGTAGAGGGCTGTGAGCTCCTGATAAGCCTTTGCTTCATGTCTTTGAGCTGCTGTGGAGTGTCTGGGAGTGCCACAGGCCATGGGCACAGGAAGGGGTTAACCTGTGCTAAATCAAGCTGTTCTGACTAAAAAATCATGTGTGACGATGTGACACACACTCCTAAATTCAAGGTGGGCTTGCCCCAAAGGCGGCAAAAAATCTCCTGAAAAATCTGGCAGCAGTTTTCTCACCCTTTGGAGACAGCACACAGCTGGTTAAAGTTCCTTACTGATGGGCATCTGCTGGTCTGTGAGATCTGGCTGCTGCAGCCCCCTCCAGGTTTATGTCCTGAGCTTTTCTTCCTCTGCTGAAGATGCCAAGGCCCCAGGTAGACCAAGGGATGTAAGAGGAGTGCCTGGCTTCTCCCTGGCTTCCAACACCCACATCCACCATGCTGCTTTTGAGACCAACAACGAAGCAGCTGGGATGGAAGCTTTCCTTCAGCAATGAAGAAAAAGAACTTGATGAATGAAAGAAAAGATGTCCCTTTTCCACACTCTTGCTGAAACTGCTTTTGTTTCCTTTTTCTCTTGTTTAGTTCCAGATGAACCACCCAGTTCTGTGTTAGTGACTCCCCACACGACTTCCTCTGTCCTTGTGCAGTGGCAGGTAGGTAAAATGAAAAATTCTGATGTTCCTGTGAACAATTTTTTGGCTGCTTTGACTTGTTGAATGTAAGGGTACATTGCCAGGGACATTCTCTGGAGCTGGAAGTATTGTACTAACATTGAAGGACTGCAGCTACTTCCTTATTTGCCTGATCTAGCATAAATTTTAGTGATGAATGGAGATTCCTGTCAGTTGTTTTTCCTTTGTGCCCCACTGGGAGGTAAAGGAGTGTCTGTAGCTATGTCCAAGATTGTTTCTTATCACATTCTCATGCCCTTTCATTGCTATCCATGGATGTGCATCTTTACACAGAAAACACTCCACAGAGCACGGTGTTGGTAAGATCGGGTAATCAAAAGCTCACGTCGTGCACAGCCTCCTCCTGCTGCTGGAATGATCAGAAACCTGAGATCAGTGCCTGAGATCCCATTCATACCTCTGAGGAGCTCCACGTGCCCTCTTGACTCTTTGAGAGGGAAACATTGAGTTTCTTCAGAGAAAAGAAAGGAAGTTTGAGCTCTCCGCAGTCTCTCCGGGTTGGATGGGGAAGTATTTGTGTCAAGTCTGCATTTTATATTGGCATTTCCTCTGCCTGCCTTTATCTCTCAACCCTGGCCTCCTGGGAGATGCAGGAACATTTTGTGATCCAGTGCCTGAGGTTTCTTTTTGCAGAGTGGGCATTAATAGAGGGACCCCAGTGGGGTACTACACATTATCCAAAACCCATCCTGGAAAGCCTCTGCCCACCCTGCTCCCCAGACAATGCCCCCCACACCTCATAAGGATGACTTTGGACAGACTGCATTATGGTGAAAAATGTACATATGCATTTACAGCACAGATGGGACTCCTTGCATTTTTGGAAGAAAAAGATAAGGATGAGGGTGTGTTTATTGGTGTGCAGCAGCACTTGAAAGTCTGCCTGGCTGTGCTGCTGGGTGCCTGGCCTCAGCTCTCACAGCACAATCCTGAGCAGCAGCGTTGCTTACAGCATGTCAAGCAAATAGGAGGCATGTTGGGCAGTTTTACCAGAAAAATTATGGAGAGATGCAAATCTGCCTCCCCAACTACAGCAAGAGCCCCCAGCAAAGAGGAAAAAAGAGCAGAAAGAGAGGACAAAGAGGATGTGAGGCACGATGGACCACAGAAGTAAACGTTCCCCCAGCTGACTGATTACTGGTGTGTAGTTAATGTGAAATAGGTGGTTGTTTAGGTAATTGGATGCTTTTCATTTCATGAAAGTGAAATGGGGTTGTTGTGCCAGAGCCATCTCAAGGGAGTTGTGGGCGATTATATGTCATTACCACATGTATATTAATAGGCCCTGGTAATTCAACCGTACTATATTTTTCAAATAAACAAAAATCTTGAAGTCCCACAATAGCCTCCAATTAAGAGGAAGTTTCACAGCAGTGTCTAAGAAATAATGTAAACTGAAAACAGCAGTCGAGCTAAATGGGAGAGTGGATTTCCAAGCAAAGCTAAATTTTTAACTTTGAGCTGTGTTAATAATTCACAAAACAAATTCTCGATGCACTGTCTGGGCTTTTAGCTGCTTGGTCCAATCAGTCCATTATTTTTAAATTTAAAGGAGGAAGAAAATAAGTGATTTTGAGTGAGGTCTGTTGTATCAATAATGCAGGGTTATTTCAAATGTTCTGGAGGATGTTACACTTAACATCAGGATCATGTACTGTTCTGCTTCTACCTTAGAGATAACAATTATTCAAACTTACATTTCAGTCTTTATTTATTTATTTCTCTTTAGAAACAGTACGAAGATGTTTCTCTTACTTCTGTACCACATTATGGACTGCCACTCATAACCATTTTACCTATTTCAGCAGATCCCCCAGGCCTTTCTACAAAATCCTAAATAATCCATTACATCAAAAGCAGAGTTTTGTCCACAGAAGACAGATAGGAAGGAGAAGACCTGACCTTTTAGCAGAGTACCCTTTCCAGGAAAGAATCATCATTTCCATGGCAAAAAGAGAGACAGTTTGCAAGCTATTTATTTTCTGAGCTTTCCTGTCCTAATTCTCAAGGAATGAAAAAATGGAGAATCATATGATAGCATAAGAAAACAATGTTTTATTTTTATATATTGTTTTATAAGGAAACAGTAAGATCAGTGTTGGGTCACAAGAAATTAAGCTTTACTTGTTAGGCAGTTATATGTCAGAGCAGGGAGTCACAGTTTCCTCCTCAGCTTCAGCAGGGTTTTCATTTTGAAGTTATGCTCTCTTCAACTTTTTTTTCCCTAAATTAAAAAAAAAATGTTTAGTAGTAATTAAAATAGGAAAAGTCATAAGTAGGCAAGGACACTGCTGTGCTGTGGAGCCCTTCTCTTCAAGGGCACCATCAGGGCTAAAGTAACTTCAGTGTAATACAGAAAACAGAAAGTCAAAATATTGGAAAAGGAAAAAGAACATATCAAGAGAGAGATACTGATCATTTCCAGTAAACCCATCTCATCTCCTTGCACAGGAGAGTGTTTCAGCTGGTCCCTGAGCAGTAACACCATGGGGCAGCCCTGGAGAAACCTGGCACTTTATTTGGTCTATTTTCTTAGTCCCTTGGACAAGGGTCTCTCAGCCTGAGACTAGGAAAGGCTGTTGTAGGAAAGCTTGATTTATTTGCCTTGTAAAATGCAGTCGTAGAGGGAATATGATTGCCCTTTCTAAAATACATCGCAGGAGTAAACACCCCACAGGGAGAAGAACAATTTAACCCAAAAGGCAATGTTAGCACAGGAACAAATGGTTAGAAACTGGCTATGAATTATTTAGATTAGAAATTAAATGAAGGTTTCTAACGACCCGAGTGGTGAGGCTGGGAACAGCTTTCCAACAGGAATACTGGGAGGCTGAAGAATCAGCTCCATTTCTGGTGGAGGTTGTTCTGTCTGTGAAAGAAGCTTTCAGCAGATGGGGTTCTGCAGTTTGGAGCTCCCTAGATGGTCCTCGAGGTCCCTCACAATCCTGTATCCACAGCATTGTTCTCTGCTACAGATGCCAAGTAAGGGTGAGAGGTGGTCAGAGCTTTGCCAGGGGATGGAGCACAACGATGAGCATGAAATTATGAATAGGAGATCTCCACCCAGGCAGAGCAAGTGGAATCTTGGGAGGGTTTGGGTTGCTTTCAGCAGGCTCTGTGCAGGACAGCTGCAAAAGAAGGCAGTTTCCTCCTGGTGCTTATACTCTAATTAATGTAATTTTGTTTTTTAGTTTCTATAAACTACGGTCTTTCTACTTGATTCCTTCAGCCCTCACCCAAAGCAAGGTCCTTGGCACTGAGCCAGGGCAGTCCTTTCCCTCCTCTTGCCATTGTAATGGAGTAATGGAAAATTCATGTCATTTCTGGAAGCAGAATTACCAAAGATCTTCCTCCTTTCTATCAAGATGTCCTGACTTTCTTCATTAAAATTACATGGTGCATTACCTTCTATTGTGACAGTGTTTCACACCAGCAGTTAATTTTTACACAATGCTTTTCCTTAGTAAAGTCCTCAAGGCTGGTAGGGATCTTTCTGGATTAAAGGCAAGATTATCATTAAAATACTTTTCATTTACACTTTCAGCCCCTTGAATTTCAGTTAAAGAATCTTTAGAAGATAAATGGCTCAAGGCATCTCTTCTCTGCAGTTCTTAGCCTGCATTAGACTCAGGAAAGTAATTTTTTTCCAAAACATGAGGAATCCCTTTGCTTGTCTCTACTTAAGCGAGACGCTCAGATATAAATCTCCTTTTCAGTGTGCCAGCTGTGTATCTGTAGCTGAAGGGGGATGTGATGGGCTGCTGGAGAAGCCTTGCTGAGGTGTTTTGTCTTTGAGCATCTCCCAGCATGATGCTGAAAGAAAAAAAACTCATATTTGAGCCATCTCATGGCTGTGTGTGCCACTGCTCTGAGCTGTTATGGAGGAGCCCTCAGTTTTCCTCTGTGACCACACCAGAGCACATCACACTGTAACTTCTCTCTAAATGCCTGTATGAGGTTGTTATTAGACCAAGTTTTGTCTTCCTAATCAAAGCCAGAACAATTTTTAGAATTCTTTTTTATTTTCCTTTTTTCATTTGATCATCAGTCTTTCAGTAAAATAATGAAACCAAATGAAGACTGTCCTGTGATCAGTCCCTAAGGAAAAGGAAGAAACTCTCCATTTCTCTCTTTAACTGAATCTGAGACCCACATTGCCTTTAATTGTGCTTTTCAAACCACACAACCTCCAAGCCAGTGCTTCACTAATGTCTGTTTTCAGCAAAGCCACTGCCCCTGGTGATGGATGTGTGTTGCCATGCCCATCCTAACGAGCCTGTTCTTCACGTGGGTGTTTTTCAGCCCCCCAAGGCGGAGAGTGTGAACGGGCTCCTGCTGGGATACCGCATCTACTACCGGGAGCTGGATTACGACACCGGGCCTGGGACAGAATCCAAAACCATCCAGAACCCCTCAGCTCTGAGAGCAGAGCTCACACGTAAGCCTGTGCTTTGGACCTTAAAATATCTCACAGTGGTAATCTGTCATTACACCAGGCACTGCATCCCCCCTCTTGCCCCATGGAAATAAAATGTAAGTCTAAGAGAGCTGGGAATAATTCAGGTTTTACACAATCAGCCTGAAGATGCTGGAAAATGCAAGTGACTTCAGTGTGATCAGCATTGTAATGGTCTGTGCTGATCTCTGCCAGCATGCTGGAATTGATGGTCTGTCCCCCACATACCCTCTGATTTCCTGCTTCCCCCTACCTCCACTTCATAATTACCCTGGTACACTTTGTTCTGCTTTCAAACGAGAGACGCTTCATTTTCCTCAGCTGGCAATTTTTTCCTTTCTTGCTGGTTTTTTCAATCGTTTTTATAATTGACGTTTTGTTTTTCTTTTTGCGCTATGAGGAAAACAGCTGAGGAGAATTTTAAAACAGAATTTTTATAATTTCAAAGTGCTTGTCCACATTTTAAAAGAAAATAGCGAAGATGAGCAAGAATTTTTAGGTGCCTGTTTTCCATTTTAGTCACTGGGATTTATGGCTCACATGGAAAGAAAGTGGAGAGGGAGTGGAATAATATAAAAAAATGAAAAGGCTTTTTAGATAAAGGCTAGAAAGGGAATCAGAGGGAAGAATAGGCAGAATAAGATGATGTGAGGTAGACATGTGAACACTCAGTAGCTTGAGAAATAAGGTCCAGCAATGAGATGTGCTCATGTAGGGACCAGCTTTTGTCCTCTTCGATGTCACTGGACTATTCAGAATAAGATAATACTCCATGAGCAGCAGAATAGGGTTCGGTGAGACTATTTTAATATCTTATATCATCTGCCATGCTTTCCTGAACCCATAGAAGTGATTTCTACAAAAGCAAGAGTGAATTTTAATGTGGGTCTGGATAAGTGGGTGCTTTAATATAAAGTAAGCACCTAATTCTGACCTCACTTACGTGGTCAAAGCTAATGAGACTTCTCAGACTGAGCAGCTTGAACCAGGACACAGATGTAAAGCTCTCATAGGTGTAGGAATGCAGAAGGGCTTTTCTCAGACAAAAACCGAATGACTGACAGTGTACATTATGAAATAGTGAATTTGGATGCTCTCTCAAGATGGGGAGCCTGTGAAACTAACCAGTTTTATCTTTTGCCTCTTTTTGTCTGGCCCTGCAGCAATGTTCCTAATTACTGTAGAGGAGAAAAAACAAGCTGTACCTCTCTCTTGACTCCAGGGAGTCAAGAGATAGAGCAAGGGGTGGAGACAAAAGCATTTTAAGATAAATTTCCCTCTTTCTCCTCATAATTCTCAACTTAGAACACCTCTATTCCTCACTGACCCACAGTTTTGCACAGTTTAGCATATTATTACAATTCACTCACAGCAGGAATCTTGAATTCTGTAAGTGAAACTGGGAAATCAAATTCACACCCAAAGAAACAGGTCCTGCCCTGATGTAAGTGTTGACTTTGTGGTCCACCTTCCAGCTCAGCACTCTGCAGCTCTTCAGGGTTTGAATTTTGCATCTTGAGAAATCAGGATGTAATGCACCACTGAGAGTTTTCGCCCCTAGAAATCATTTAATTTTTACTCATTTGTCCTATTTAATCTTAAAGCCAGAACATCTTTGTGTTGTGTATTTGTGAGCTCTCTGTTTGAGGAGGAAATGAAACAGCCCCATGTGGGCGAGATACTCTCGATGTGTTACGAGAGAGTGATGTGATTTTATTGCCCTTCAAGGTATATTCCTAAAGCTTAAACTGTGTATGGGTGTGCTGCCTCATTTGCCTCTGTCTCTGCTGTACATCATTTGCAATAACTATTTCCTTGCACTGTAACAAGCTTTCTGCTTTGCTTACCCTGAATAGCCCAAAGCAGCTTCAAGACAGTGAACAGCAGCTCTGCATTAACGACGTATGAATTAACACGTAAGTGCACACTGCCTTCAGTTGAGACTCTTTGTAATGGTTCAAAATATACCATGGGCAAACTCCTGTGGCTCTCCTCTGTAGATCCAGCAGAAATCAACACAGATTAATGACTCTGGCTTTCTCCAGTTTCTTTTTCTTTAAGCCTTTGCTTCCCCTACACCCAGAGACAAAGATGATGCAAGTAGGTAGCTGTTGTAAAAACGTGGCTGCTGGGAAGGTAAAACATTATGACTGTAACAACCCAGTATTGCTGATGCTACATGAATTTTGATTCACTTGCTACGTATTCTGCAGTCCATCTGAGTTTAGCTGTATCACATCATTAGTCCTATGATTCAAACATTGCGATGTTTGAACATTCCATGGAGTACAAGGCCAATTTAGAAAGGGCCCAATGAATTTATGTGCATCTCCAGAGGTGTTTTCAATTGGAAATGAATAAAATAACATTCGACAGAGTTAAAAGGCAAGTTGCTTTGTGGTGCTGATGGTTCACTAGACAGGTTTTGCCCAAGGCTTTTGAGTCACAGATTGTGATGGACTAAAAAAAAAAGAAAAAATGAAGCCCGATCCCCACTGGAAGTTGCATGCATGAACTCTCGTGTTTCATTTTCTTCCACATCCAGTTAACACTAAAATCTCCCTTGTGACTTCTCATGGCAGAAAAAACAGTTTCTCTGTGCAAGCTGCCCAGTACTATACATGTGTATCTTACTGTTGTTGGTTTATGAACTCAGCACTGTTATTTCTGATTTGCCTGCTCCATCTTTTGCAGTCCATCAAAATTCAGTGATATGACATTTCAAAAAATTGGGATATATTAGGTATAATTTACAGTATGCCAGAGACTGGGGAATGATGCTGAAGTCACAGTCAGATATTGGAGCACAACATGGATAAACAGTTCTGTGACACTGAAATTAGACAAACTTGCCTAATTAGGCTTTTTGAACCTTACCAAACCAATGGCACACTGTCAGCCCTGTGTGAAGAGGACTCTGATTCATAGATAGCAGGGAAAATTATTGGCAAAGGGAGAAATTTGGACCTCTGGCCATGCGTGTCTTAATTCAATGCTCATTTAAATGGGGCAGTTTATATTATTGATTGCTCTCTTACTCTAATTTCCCTGTTAAGTATTGTAGATGATAAATATATCTGTTAGGATTGATTCTTTCATCCTGAAAATGCAAAATCTGAAACTGCTCAGGCGCTGCCTCCCTTAATGACAAGATTCTGCTCCACCCTCGTTGCATCTGTTAATTACCCACAAACAATTGGGGTTTTTCGATTTTTTTCATGCTTCTCTCACTCTCCCGCCTCATCTGTCAGAGTAGTTTCTCTGTGTCAGCAAAGAAATTTGTTGCCTGGTGGCCAAATGGAGTCCAGCCTTCAAATTCTCCTTTCTCATTGTGATTGATGGTTGGGCTGTGGTCACGTTGGAGAAGTTCCTTGTGGAGTATCTGGAATGGGACTCCAGATTCCACACTCAGCTCTCCCTCTGCACCTGCTTCAGCTGTTCTAGAGCAGTGTAGTTGCCAAATGCCCCCTGAAATGAGCATTCCAGGGATTAGGCAAAGGCTAGGCGAGATCTTTCCTATCTGTGCAGATCAAAATGAGACTTTATGGTGACATTCAAAGTCAAATCCTGCCATTTTCTGTACTTAAGAATTACCTAGAGATGTTCCTCTGGTTAGTTATCTATAAGAAATAGACAAAAATCATTATTCCTCTTACTGCCATTTCATCACAAATATCTTTCAAAATGATGCAAATACTATTGTGATGTGTGAATTCAGGATGGCTTTAAATAGACATTGCACTGTTGTACTGTTCTATTGCCACTGCTCTATTCTGAGAGACATGTCTGGAGATAAAGAGGTGTTGAAGTCTAAAAGATAGCTGTAATACATTATAAATCATAATATATAATATTAATATGTAATATTTTACTTTTTCAGAATTGAAGAAATACAAGAGATATGAAGTACTAATGACAGCATATAATGTCATTGGTGAGAGCCCTACCAGCACACCAGTGGAAGTATTTGTGGGTGAAGCAGGTAGGTGAAAAGAAAATCAGTTGATTTCTTTTTTTTTTTTTTTTTTTTTTTTTTTTTTTTTTTAATATCAGCATGTTTTAGTATTCTCCAGATAATGATCAATAATTGTCCCGGAAAGGGATTATTTGAAAAGTTCCCCAGTCATCATTGCTGACAGTTTTTTGTTGCCCACTCTCCTGGAATAGGCACTGGCAGTTTCTTGCCATTGGAAAACCAGTTGGTCTGAAGGAAGGAGGGAAGAAAGGACATTTGAAAGAAAGAAGAGAAAATATTTTTGGAGTTGCAGGAGGATGACTGTTCATACCAAATTAGCTTGAGGGAAAAATTGACTCGAGTTAAAGAAGTGAAAAGTGGAGCACAGGAAAGCCACAAGGGAAAACAAACAAAACTACAAAACAAGGGAGACTCAGAAAGCTGATCCTTTTATTTTATAACTCTCTGTGTATAAATGTTGCCTGGCACCACACTTGGCTGTGTTTTTGTGCTCTTGAAGCGAGAAGATGCCGTGTCTGGTTTAATGCTGGTTTTGGAGGCAGGGGTTGGGTGCTCCCCGGAACGTGCAGCTGGTCCCTGCACCCAGCCCTGCTCAGTGGCACTGTTCAAGCCTTTGCTTACTCTGGATCTGGTGCCTGAATCCTTTTTGATCATTTTAAAATTATCAAAAAAGAAAGCTCCTTCCCTTCACTGGAAGGCTGGAGGTGGAAATCAGGACGGAAGAGTTGAGCAAATGCTTCTGTGAATGCCCTGAGAAATGGGTGGTTTGTGAGAGCCCAGATAAGCCCCAGCCAGTCTGTCCCCCCAGAAACTCCAGCTGGGAAGGGCAGGACTGGAATAGCTGCTGCCCTCCTGCAGCTCTGGTGATCCCAGCTGGAGGGAGGCTGGCTCTGAAATCCTCATTAGTTCTGGTCTCCATTTCTGCAGCAGCAGCGTTTGAAGCTCAGAACAAGGGGAGGCAGCTCAACCCTCCCGTTGCCTGGCCCAGCAACAGAGCTGACTGCACTTTGTTCTGTGTCTCAGGGCTGAGCGATGGAGGAGCTATCAGAGCCAGCACTAATTCATTATTACTCATTAAACATTCTATTGCTCAAAACTAAGCAAAGCACCTTTTTTTTAAGAACTCTACTGCGCATTTTTTTAAACTCTGCTTAACCTTTTTATTTCAAATCTGGTGCAACATTCACCATCTTTCTTTGAAAACATCATAAATTAATCAGAGCAGCGTTGTCCTGGAGAGACAGCTGGCAATATTTACATTTTTTTTCTAGTGTGCTGCTGCTCCAACTTACTCCTGCAACTGCAGCAAAGAAAGTCCCAAGTGAAGGCAACTGTATCTGGCTTCAAAATACATTTTTGTTTCAGAGCTAAGTATCTCCCTGCTGCAAATGGAGCCAGCATATGCACTTATACACATGTACACAGCATGGGAAATCAGCTGGGGAAAACAGGGAAATGCTGTTATATTGTGTCTCTTAATCCCACAGTCCAGATCTTCCCATCATAACTCAGGGAACAAGGCAATGGAAGGAGACAGACTTGAGAGGACACTGAGATAATTACAGGACCCCTGAGTGTCTGAAGGAAGCGGGGCTGGAATTAGATGAGCTTTAAGATCTCTTCCAACTCAAAGCATTCCATGATTCTGTGCTATCCAAGAGGCCTCCTTTCCCAGGCAGGACTGATGTGTCTCAAGTTGTAGTGAGTGACTTGGCTGTTGTTTTTGAGTTCCTGGATTTACCTCTGGAAAGGAACTATCCAGGTTCACACAGCAGAGATGATGAATGTAGGATCTTCCTGCCGATTTTCACTCTTGTTGTGTGAAGTTATTACACTTTGTTATATAACTGCCTCTTCCACCTCCAGAACTGGCTGTGATTTATACTGTGAGTAAAGTGATTGGAGATGGTATTGCAATTTAAGTTTTAAATTGATTTGTGACACCTTTGAGTTAAAGTGTGCTGTGGAAATACAAGGTTTTTGCTGTTATTGTTTGTTCAATGTTCTTACCCACGGTAAAGGCAGTTAAGCAGCAAGCTGGAAAGAAATGAGTTCTGCTCAGCTCCAGCAATGGGGCATCCAGGTTAAAAACAGAGAAAAGCTTCCCAATAAACAAGTGCTGACACAGGCACAGCACTGGGCACAAAGTGAATGAAGGTGGCCAGTCCCTGGGCTGAAGCTCTTAGGTAGTGCTTGTCTCAGTGCTGTTAAACGGGGCCTCGTTCTGCCCTAAGCATTGCAATAATTCTGGGAGAGGGGAGAGCATTCCTCTCTGGCTCATAAAAAGGGATATAAAGCCTTTGTGCCTTTGGGGAAATGTGCTGGGTTTAGGCCAGCTCAGTCAAAACACACATTTCTGTTGGGTGTTCGTGTTGCTGTTGGTTGTGCTGTTCAGCTCCTACAGAGAGATGCAGAAGGAGGAGTGCCTGTGATTCCTTCCTTCTCTCTTGTGCTCTCTCCTGTTAGATTTGAAATTTTCCCTATGATCAGACCTGGATTTTTGTAGTCTAAATGTTCCAGTAGGTAATGGAACCACCTGAAAAGCCTGGGGGGAAAAGCCACTAAAAGCAACCTTCTTCAAGTTTTGCCAATTAAATGAGCAAAATATACCCAAATGGGGAGTTTGTCTCCAGCCCTGGAGTGCTCTTGAGCTGTGCTTCAGCCAACTGCCCCCTTGGGCAACCTAAGCAGGTCTTCCCTGCCTCTGACTGATGGGCAGGTGGAAATTCTGGGAGAGAACAATGGGACAGCCATGATTAAAAGGCCTCTGTAGCCCAACTTGCAAAGCTGGATGCCAGTGGTTTGGATCTTCAGGGGTTTTTTTAGTGGTGGGTTTTTTTTTATTCTACAAGTACAGGAAATGCTTTTCCTTTTTCGAGTAGCCCATAAGATCAAAGGCTTCCTTTTGAGTTCTGCCTGGATATTGTCAAAACTCACTGGTGTGGAGAGCAGTTCTTCCCCAAGATGGGAGAGTGGGCTGGGAGTCCTTGAGCTCAGCACAGCTGGGAAGGATGTGCTGCCTGTTCAGTCTGAGCAGAGCCCGTGTCCTTCCCCCACCTGCCTAGAGCATCTGCATCCCTCTCCTCCAAGGCCCAGAAGATCCTCTAACACTGCCTTTTTAGGGCTGGCTGCAGCTCTGCCCTGCTCATTAGAGAACCATGTGCATCTCCTGACAAATGACAGAAAAATTGAAAGCCACCACTTGCAGAAATTAGGAAGGGAGTAGCAGCCCCGCTGGCAAGCCCCCTTTTCGCCTTGTTAATTCATTTAACAGTTCAGCTGTCAGGGATGCTGGCTCTGATTGGGGAGGCAGTGAGTGTTCAGTGAGAGGCTGGGTACTGATATTCATCCCAGCCCCAAACACAGCTGCTACCAGAGGTGCTGTTCTGCTCCACTGAAATTAAGACTCTGTTAGAGCAGCCACTATATCATGACCATTATTCTACCAGGTTGCTGTCACTACCTGATTGTGTGAGGGGCTCTGGAGTTTGGGAGACTCCACTACCTGCATTTTAATTAAACAGAAATCACAGGTTTGGGCCAGATGTGCCTCACCTAATTTGGGAAGGTGAATAAAGTAAAATGTGGCAATACAAATCCTGTGCTAAAGAGCATGCAGCCTTCAGTGATTCTCCCATATACTGCAAATCTGTTTTGGATGAAAAGTAATGGAATTCATCATTTCTTCCAGCAGCTGTTGCTGGAGTAGAGTGAGTGTGTGCAGAGAGGGGGTGGCAGGAGGGGTGAAGTGCTTCAAGAGACATCAGCCTTTAAACAGGTTGTAAATCCATTTGTGTGAAGAGGGGAGTGATGTGTGTCATTATTACTGATGGTGACATTGGTGACCTTCAGAATTCACAAGAACTGATGAGGCTGGGTTGTTGTTGTTGTTCTTTTTAATAATGGTCTCTGAGAGGTGGCTCTGTAATGGGAAAGGCAAGGAGTAAAAAGAGCTGGGAGACAAATCCCTTTGTTTAGAAGTCCTCCTCTGAAATGCCACTTCGGTTGTACCATCATCTTTCAGAGAACATTACCTGGCTCTCTCATTTTCTTCCAAGTGGAACTGTAGCTTGGAAAAGAACAGCAATGGGGCAGGGTGATGTCTGCTTCTTACCTCTGTCTTCAAAAGCTGAATCCATCTCTTAGTGCAAAGCTAGCAGACACCAACCAAATTTCTTCCTGTTATGTGCAATTATTTTCATCTGCCCTCCAGCCTGCAGCTCCACAGGTGTTCCTGAACTTCACAAATTTTATTTTATTCACCTATAGCTGACACAGGGAGGGAAGATCTGCTCTTCCAGTAATGTCAGGGGAAGCACTTGGAGGTGCCTGGCTATCTCCAGCATTTCACAGGCCAGAAACAGAAACCACCTGGAAAAAAGCTCCAAGACTAAAAATAGTGAAATAGGTTTGGGACAGAATAGGCTACACTGAGAGAGCGAGCTATGATAAGGACAAAGAATCCTTGTAAGGAAGCAAAGACTTGACTGCAATACTTGGCTCCCCTTTAAAATCTGCTTCCAGCACAGAGCTCTTGTCCCTTCTTACCTGGTTATCTGTGCTGGGGCAACATCCCTTTGTGCTAAAGGCAAGGAAGGTTGGCAGGACAAGGCTCCTTTGCCCTTGGGTGCTTTAATCTCTTCCCTCAGGCCTCACTCTTTTATGTTTGCGCTCCAGATTCTCCCGGTGATGCCACCTCAGTCCCTTTCTGGAGAAGGGGATCCCTCAGCATTACCTAGGCCCCCCTTTCTCTTACAGCACAGCAGCTTCATCTCCTCCCCTGGCCCAGACAGCAGAGGAGATGCTGTGTGCAGTCCCCTGTGCCTCCTTGGTGCCAGGCTGGGAGAGGAATGACAAGATTCCAGCGCATCCCAGCTGGCAGCCCTGGCTGCTCTCTCCTGTCTCGGTGGGACACATGTGCTGGCTGTGCCTCTGCAGATAGCAGCACCTTGCTGCTGGCACAGCTGCAAGAGCTGGGTGGGCAGTGCCATCCCAGATGCCACTGG